TTACCTAACAACCGAATGTAAGCTACAGTATCAAACTGGACTAAATTAACCTGATCAGACGTAAACAAAACTAACGTAACCCAAACGACACCGCGGTGCTTAACAATAAAATTTTTGGGTATGGTGTCATACAGTGTGTCCAGCTAAGGATATTATTGTCGCTACCTCGCTACAGGCATCACTCAAAGCCTGGTGTTACGGTTATGACTATTCTATTGTCAGGTTTGTGTGTCACAGGAAACTGCCAAGTGATGTGTGTCTTGGTGTATTCTCACGGTAGATCCCCAGTAAGACGAAGATAGATCCAGGCCTTTTCTAGTGTCTGGTGGAAACGATTGGAACCATCATAAGAGAAATAAGCCTGTAAGGCAGTGTGTTGTTATAAGTAAACTGCACGCACTATCCCCAAAGCCTTCATTTGTGGTCTATAGATACAGTAAAATCTTACACAGTTATCGTGAAAACTTTCAGTAATGTCTGCGCGGTGAGATCACACAGCAAAATGAACAACCGGCAGGTCTCATGTTAGTTTTGTTGACGGTGGTTCAAGAATTTTCTTATAGTGCATGGGAGCGTTAGTCTTGGTCCCAAGGCACGACATGTTTCAGAATAAATTAATCACGTACTGCATAGTTAAGTAGTACGATATGTCCTCCGTGCTTGGGACACATGGCATTAAGTGTCGCCTCACATTCAACCAGATTCCATTGATTATTTCACTCCGTGTTAATTGTACTTAGGGAATTAATTTTCAAGAAATATGTCCAGAATGAGGCTTTTTTTTTTATTAGCCACAAAATAAATGAGTGCGCGACTGGAGTAGCTCCTCCTCTGGGTAAAGCAACCTTAAATATGGAAAACCCGTTACTTGATTGATGATTGCCTGGAAATGTTTTATAAGGTTAGAAGCTGAATAATTTATGGGAAAAACGTAGACCAACTGGTTAGCGGAATTCTAGTTTGATGTCAACAAAGTTATGATACTTCAAGTGGGTATAAGTACTTGGTTTGAGACTGAACTTTGATTATAAAGAAAGTGTACGTGTACCGGTAATCTAAAAGTAATTAAAGTTTGGTGAAATACTGTATCTAAGTTTGGTCTCTGGCTACCAGTGTGGATGTGATCAGTGGTCAATGAACGGAAGATAATTAGTTTTTAGTATGACGTAAGTAAAAACAAAAGATCTTGGCGTTGACAAGGCCACATACACTGCTAAGCTGTTGAAGGCTATTTTTAACTGAGGGAGAAAATCATCTTGGTGAATCGACAGTATGAGTCATCCACCATAAAGGTAACAATGCGGCAGACCAGGAGGATATTGCTGCTCTATGGAGGATACTACTCTGGGGAACCTTCACTTGTCATAATAGTGATAACTCTTGGAATGGATTTATAGGTAGTAGGCAGTTACCAAACAGGGATGCACTACCGCCTGGGAAGATATTGGAAGCATAATGTATTGTCTAATGGTAGACCCTGCTGCTATATGGCATCACGAAAATTGTGACCACGTCCCAGGTTGCTGATCTGACTTTCTGCCTCATTTACACACAATTACAGGGTCTCAATTGTTTCTCTTGCCATTAACAACATAACATACATACTGTTTTTCATTTTTTATTTCTTTATGGTTTATTATTATTATTTTTATTATTATTATTATTATTATTATTTTTATTTTTATTATTATTATTATTACTACATTTTCGCCCCCAGGTCCCGTTGTGGGCCAGTGACCTGTGCCCGGGTGGGCTAATCCCCGTAAAAAATAAATAAATAATAATAAAAAAAATATATATTATTTTTATTTTTTTATTAACTTTGAGAATCCGAGGTGTGTACCCGACTGTAAACACAAGAGGTAATTAATCCGAGAAGCCATTAAAACAGTCATGTGGTTAGTTGTTACAGGTTGTCTTGTCATAAGTAAGTTTTCAGTGATCAAATTTAGAAATGTATTCATTGCACATATTTCCATTTGGTTAAAAAATTTTAAAGAAAATGAATCCGGTCTCCTAAAGGAAATAATTAGTATTCCTTATACTGTATATGGAAATGCTGAACCTCGGTGAACTTATATGGCCATGTTATCGAATAAATTTATATCTACTTTCATTCATCGTTATTCTTGTCCTTTCGTTTTTTTTTGTTTTTTTTTTGCATTCATGAATTTTGCTTACACAGTTTATCAATTTGTCTCTTGACGTTACCTCTTCAAAATGTGTCACAGTGGACGAAGGATTTTGACAACCCTACCAAGACAACAAGATTCGCAGTGTTATTTTGAAATTTATCGGACCCATCCGTAAAGATACTTCTCTGATTGTGTGTACATTGAGTATACAGTGGATGTTAAATGCACGAAAATATATTTTGATGAAATTACATGTACGTACGTTCTTAAAATTCGCGTCTCTCTCAATATGATGTCCAGGGTTCGAGCCTCGGCCAGGATACACGGTGTGACCCCAAAGTCTAATTGGACTTTATGTGACCCTATCAATCATCACAGGTTTCCCGGTCTCCGTTTTCTACCTGAACTAACACTGGATAGACCAACCGCCCGAACGGCTAATAAGACGATAAGTGACGAAAAAAGTGTCAAGGTTTCAGGTCACGGCTGAAGATTAGAGCATAAGTATGGCATTGGGCATATCATATTACACTACAGTTCTCTCGTAGCTATGACAGATGAGGTGACCGGGGGAGGATTGCTTCCCATGTACAAACTTACAATGGACATGTTTTAACACTTATTCGGAAGATTGAGTGCATCCTTTGCCAGCCGGGTGTGTGTGGTTTGCTTTATGGATGTAAACCTAACATGGAAAAGGCTATTGTTAATATGAGGCATAAATGAATTTGTTTTTAGTGTGGTTCTTATGTTTCTTATGTTTTCCCAAATCCTCGCATATGCATTTTTTGGTGTTGCTATAGAGTGCGGTCTACATGATATTTGTAAAGTTAGCTTAGGTTAGTTTAGGTTAGATAAGATATCCTTGTAGACCGCACGCAATAGTAGCATCTGTTTTTTTTTTTTTTTGTTAGTGGGTATCAGACCTATTTTTTCGTGTATAAGTAAGGTATCTCGTGTTTTATGATATACAGTAATTTGATTCTGTATTTAGTGATGTGTTGAAAGCTCGTGACATTGTGACTGTACAATATTTGCTGGGCTGATTTTCAAATGTCTAGAGATAGATCGTTTGTTGACATTGTAGACACTGTTATATTGTTCATCATAAAGCTGAAATCACATTATTAGTTGGCGAAGAGGACAAGAACATGCCGAACTTTACAGTATGATGCTCCGTCACCTTGCGTGTACCTTGAACCCCGGTATTATGCTTATTTGTTTTTAATTCCGACGTTAAAATAACCAGTACAGTATAGGGAAAGCAGTGCATCGTCGTACGAAAGTGGCTTGCTGTTCTAGTCCTGGGCAGGGCAGGGCAGGGCAGCCTGAGTTTCGGTATTGACTCCAGGAGATGTTGTGACGTCAGAGCGCTCCTTGGTCCACGCTGGGGAGGGCTGGAGAGGCTAGATTGGGATGTTAAGGGGTTGGAGGCGAGATGTGAGACCGCTTCATCATCCTGAGCCTCTTAACTTTACTAGATTTGTTATAAAATTGAAGTACGTCAATTTGTCTAGTAATAAGAATGTGTGAGCACTTCCAGTGAAAGCGTAGAGAAATGAAAGAGGACGTGGGGGAGATCAGCGCGACAACGGGTAGGCAGGTAGCCAGACCTTGGTGGGAAATACCGACGGTGATGTCTTTCAAGTTTGTTCTTGTTGTATTATGCTGGTAGGCGAAGATACATAGCTTTTAATAATATTTATTGCCAGTAATCGAATCCAGGGAAAAAAGTCAGATAAAAAGGCATGGAAAAAAACTAACCTAACTACTGTACCGTTAAAATTAGTTCTCGTTATTTTTTTCTTGAAAGAATGTAATTATAAAGACGAGAAAGGGTAAAACATATACTTATTTGTTCTTCAGCCGTCGTAAAGACCCGTCTAATTACCAGCAATTAGAACACTCGGTGAGGTGGGGGGTGGGGTTCCAAGATAACTTGTGTTACTATATCTGGACGAAGGCGACAGTCCTGTGTGTTTTAGAGCTTCATCCATTTGTGTATCCATAATAAACACTAAAATCGTGTAGGCTATTATAGTGTCACTAGCAACTACTCTTATATACCTGGGACTCCGCAACAGAAATTTGATATACCCATTGTCTGTCCAGTCGTCTCTCAAAACTACTTGGAATTGTATGAGTCGTTAATCTCGCCTTGTGTTTCTTGTTTCGATGCCTTCATATTTTGACTAAACTTTGTGTAATTATTTGTCAGTATCTAACGTTATCAAATAATTACTTAAGAACTGTGAGTAGTCTCTACAAACTGAGTGTATGAAGTGTAACCAGGCATAACGTTGTTCAATTATCCGGTAGAGATTGACTTGGTAATTAAAGAAGGAATGTTTTGTGTACAGGGCATATACAGTATATATACACAGATATCTCTCTCTCCTGTATATGCCCTGTACACAAAACATTCCTTCTTTAATTACCAAGTCATTCTCTACCGTATATATATATATATATATATATATATATATATATATATATATATATATATATATATATATATATATATATATATATATATATATATATATATATATATATATATATATATATATATAATTTTTTTTGTCAATGTGTACAAGTCATGAGACTTTTTTTCCTGTGGACTTTTATTTCCGTCCACCCTGTACTCACCCCTGAAGATGTGAATTACACGAAAGCGCTTGGGAACTTCGTGTTTTCTTGTTTCATTGTGGTTATCAGCGTATACTTGGATCACACGCACCTACAGTGATTTACGTGCATATATATGTATGTATGTATGTTTTATTTGTCACTTCTGAGTGACATGATAATGTAAATTCGTGACTCATTCTAATAATGTTTTAATGTTTTTGTTATGTTCTGCAGGACCTGCCACCTGGTCTAACTTGTACCCCATCGCTGGTGGTAGGCGCCAGTCGCCCATCGACATCAAGTGCACAGCCTGCAAGTCTGACTCCCACCTTTCCAAGATTCAAGCTGTGTACAGCGGTATTAAGGTGTCCGAGGTCTCCAACACTGGACACTCCTGGAAAGCCCAGGTTTCTGGGGGATCCTCCAGTAAGTATATGCTTACATAATGTTATCGTATGTGGTAACTACTGTAATGATTCCTTTCTTCATCATCTGTGGTGGAATGTGTGTTCTAGTGTAGGTTTTCAATCTCTCTTTTATGCTTTTCATCATCAAAGACATTATAGTACTTGCCTATTGACCATTAAAGTAGTGTTCCTCTCTCTTTAGTGAATATTTTGAATTTAGTGATCACATAACACAGTCAAGGATGAAATATAGCCAATTTATCGACCAGTGAAATTATTGTATACAAAGGAGGGAAATGAATGGGGGTCTTCTAGGCCTGACGGCCCATTAGTGGCAGCGTGGATACTGCACATTTTATACGGCACAATATTAAACCTCAGTTATGCACGAAGGCAGTGTGGCCAACCGTGCAAACTACAGCCTACACTTTCCCAACCTTAGCATGGTATTCATTCACAACCAAGTGGAATGAGGATAAATTGGACCCAAATTCTGAGAGTGGCAATATCGACAATATGCAGTATACCTAGATTTTGCCAAGGCGTACCTCATGAAAGGCTAAGAATTAAACTAGAATGGTACGGGATTCGGGGAAGTTTTCGAGCGTGGATCGGAGATTTTCTGCATGACCGCTAGCGCTGTGTGATGATTAATGGTACGAAATCGTCACGTGTACCTGGGGCAGTTGGGGTACCACAGGGCAGTGTATTATTGTCCGTTGTTGTTTGCTTTTTCCATAAATGACATGCCAGAAGCTATACACTCCTCCACACAAATGTTTGCGAACGATGCCAAGTTATTTAGGGAAATTAAGAGCTAAACAGACTGCGTAGAGCTGCAGAAAGATCTCTGAGCTTCAAGAGTGTTCAAAGAAATGGCTGCTAAGATTGTGGCACAAAACGGTAAGGAGACGTTTATGTCCCAACGGGACGAAGAAACTCCATTAATTGAGACTGAATGCGAATAGGACCTGGGTGTGTATGTTGACAATGAACTGAAGTTCTCGGGCCATTGTGAGAAAGTGAACCAAGCAACTAAATTATTAGGTCCTATAAGAAGAGAGGTGCTTCCCCGCCTGGAGTACTGACACCCCACCTGGTCCCCGAGATATGCTAGGGACTGTCAGTTGACTGAAAATGTCCAACGGAGGGCCACCAGACTGGTACCTGCAATTTGGTACCTCAGCTACCCTGAGAGATTATAGCGCCTGCAATTGCTTAGCTTATGCTACAGACGGGCAAGGGTGTATAAACATCTCAAAGGGAACTACTCAGTCTTTTACTCTCTTCACTACTGATCGGAGCTGACGGACGCCCCCCCCACTGGAGCGGGATCAGATACATTCAGGAACCAGTACTTGCCAACAGTGCGTAAGAGACGTGACCAAGCGGCTAACGAGCCGTTTAGTGGTGAAGAGGATAAAAGTAAGTAAAAAAGTAAACAAGTGACCACTAGGACAGGAGGCGAGTACTTGGTCACCGTATATCTCAACTGAGAGCGATGGAGTGTTTGCTTTGTTTTTCGTTCATTCATCTTTACCTTGGTTCAGTCTGCCCTCTTTATATTTTGTTCACTTTTACTTTCGTGCGAATTTAATCACGATTCAAGGTATACTGCTGGTCAAACAACCCAGAAAACTTAGATTTTGAGCTGCTGTATAGTCGTATTGGACGAGTAAGAAATGAAGTTGATACTTGTACTCTTTACTTTTATCCTCTTCGTCACTGATCGAGCCGATCAGCCACTTGGGCGGTCGGTGACGTCTCTGTTACTCACTGTTGGCAAGTGCTGGGCATGCACCGGCTCCTGAATGTACTTGAACCTGCTCCAGTGTTGGTCAAGTCTGATCTTGAAAGAGCTCACACTCGATGCCGTCACAACACACTGGCAGGTTGTTCCGCGAGTTCACAACTCGCATTCCGAAAAAGTTTGCCCTCACAGTTATCTTGGACTTGTGCCTTAAAGTATTATTCTTTATTATTGTGTTTTCAACACAGTGATACCATTTTACGAGGGTCAGAGTTCACCAAAAATGCATAAGTTTGGTTCTGTACAGTATTTGGTCTAATTTAGCCATTTGTAAATCAAGTAGGATTGGATGGGGAAGATATGTTGAATATGCTGGTGTAAGTTGCCCAGTTTATATATTTTTTTCTGTTACCAAATATTCTAGGACCCCTCTCAATTCATTTCAGTAAGAGAGCCGAATAATGTATGTACAGTACAGTCTCAATCTAACAATCTAAAATTTGCAAGCTATACAGTCTGATGATTATATTCACGTCTTTAATACTCCTCTCATGGCAGTGACAGTGTAGTTCTAACCCACTCCTTCAGCCACGAGTCATATGTCACATAAAGGTGTACACCATCATCTCTTAGGTCACTGTTGTACCAAATTCCTGCATCTCAATTTTCAGAAGGTTGGTTAAAGGTCTCTCCATTAGAGGTCACGACCCTCAAGTTAAGGAAAAACACAGAATTTATGTCTAGAATAAGAGTTAAGAACTAATGGAGTAAGCTATCAGAATATTCTAACAGCAGTAGGTGAGAACCCTTTTAAATCCAGGCTAGACCTGCATTGGCACATATTCAGGCACTGTGCATTAAAGAGCCGGTGCTCCGTACCTACTAATACTGCATAACGAACACTGAATGGCTAGAGAATAATCAAGAACTGCACTGCACAAGTTATTCCCCCAGCTACCTGGATATGTGGAGGCTCCTCTAACTGGCCATCTCAAACGGATACAAAAATACAGTGTAACTAGATGTATTCTTGTAATCCCTACTTTTATCCTCCTCATCACTGATCGGCTCGTTAGCCGCTTGGGCGATCGGTCACGTCTCTGATTACTTTTCCTTTTCTTGCACGGGAAAAAAAAATATTAGAGTCGATGAGAATTTGGATCCTGTCACCACAACTGGAGTTCATTCTCCGTAGAATAATAATAATAATAATGATGATGATGATGATGATGATTAGTTAATTTTACCAATAATAACCGACAAAGCCATGGGATGCTTATTTCCAGTAGGGTCCTTACTTTGAAGGTATGTCAACAGCAAAGGGCCGGTATACACAAAAATGTCTTTTTAATGACAAAATAGTTCTGTTAACTAGCAGTAAAATTTAAGTGTATATACAAAGCTTAACGCAAACTTTTACCGCACAAACAGTTGGTGAGTACCGCTAAGGGTAGCAGGAGTTCATCATATAAAATGGTCTTATGGCTGAATAACCTCAATATTATTATGAAGATTTATTTCAATATTTACATTTATTTACATTTTCATCATTAAAAAAAATAAAAAATATAAGTATGCAGTTTGAAGGAGGATATATTAACCAAGGATAGTGACCGATGGCTTGACCTTACCGTGGTGTTTGTTAACAACCCTCATACACGTGTTATTGAGGAGCGGAATGGAACCCTCAACCCTGTGTCGGCTTCACCTTCAACATCCACGTCATTTTCCACAAGTAATGGAATGTTGTGATCTAATAATAATTTCAAACCAGATTAGTCCAAAATTCGTGCACTTAAAAGGGCTCCCGAGGTCTTTTAACTTAACAGAACTATTAAGGCCCTTGAAAGTTCTGTGTATGTACTATTAATTCTTAACAGGAAAATATCAACCTTAACAACTGTTTGTTCGCGCTTAAAAGTTTTGTGTATACCGGCCCACCCAGTGTTGTTTAACTTCACTGATCAGACAAGAAACTCTTCAACATGATATGGCTGCTGGAATACAGTGATGGCCACCCCATAGCAATGTCTTTTGACGTCAGATCAGTGTGGTGTGTGCTTATCTGTGTCTAACGCTAGCTGGGGATTGTCATCTTAAAAAGAAAACAATGGATACATTATACAGTGCAGCAGAGATTAGTTAATTTCTTTGGGTTTGGTCAAAGTATAATGAATGACCTATCTTCTATAATGTATAGCCAGGAGAAATTTTAAATTCTGTACTAATATTTTTTTCCAGGCCTGAAGGGAGGGCCACTGGGTAGTGACGAGTATGTGCTAGAGCAGTTCCACTGCCACTGGGGCAAGACCAATGATACCGGCTCTGAGCACACTGTGAATGGCAAGAGTTATGCCGCAGAGGTGAGTGTCCTGTTATGCACTTTACACTTATACAGCATTAATCTACATACAGTGGGGTATGCTATAACGAATCTAATTGGTTCTAGAACCTTGTTCGTTATAGCATTCGTTCGTTATAGGATTAATCCGTTCCAGGCCCCCAAATACAACCACTTAACACTGAAAAATATAATATAAAATTGTAAAAATTGTAAAAAAGTGCATAAATATGCATCTAAACCCCTGAAATAAAGAATATCATTAATATTTGTAATAAAAAAACAATAAATTAGAAGAAAAAAAATTTAAATAATGTTCGTTGTAGGAGTTTCGTTCGTTATAGCATACCCCACTGTACATACAATACAGTACTCAAGATGGCGAAGAAATAGAGCCGTCTTGGAACAGCTTGTGATTTTCTCTTGGAGTCAGTGGCACTAGCAAGACAATCTCAGGTCTGGTTTGCTGAGAGAAATATTGGCTACTTTTTTAACATTACATCCAAACTGTCTACACTGTGTTCGCTTCTCGGCAGTTCATGTTTAGGGAAAAAATCAGATGTAAATGTGCTTCAAGACTTTGAGCCTTTACATTTCTCCAACATTACAATATTAAGGGAAATCTTGGTTCCCCATTTAAGAGAACTTCAAGTTGTATAGTTTTCCTTTTTTTTATATTACAGTACAGTATACTGTACTGCATAGTTGAACAGCTTGATCCAGAGCAAGAGTTCTCAAGTTGGTGTCAGGAAAGTTATAAAAAGAGAATACTATGTGAGTTGGGGATCCCAGTACAGTACAACATTTACTACTTGCTCTGTATTGAAGATAGTTTTTGAAAATACATCACTCTGGATTTACTCTATTTTGACATTGCTTGCAGCTGCACTTGGTTCACTGGAACAAGAGCAAGTTCTCCAGTTTTGCTGAGGCTGCCTCAGCTGATGGTGGACTGGCTGTCCTGGGAATGTTTCTGACTGTGAGTTTTTGTATATTGCCAGCTTGTTTTTTTATCATACTATCATTTTATAAGCTTTTCCTATAATTATATAATTAGGGTTCACAGTGTTATGCTGACAAGTAGCAAAGAGGATAATGTAAAGCATAACACGAGTACAGTATGTTAATATTAACACACTTACAATAGTGGAAACATGTTTCTTTTAATTTTATAAATTACAGGTATGCATTTTAAAAAGCAGTAGCACTTCAAGGATTTTTACTTAAGGACACACACACACACACACATATATATATATATATATATATATATATATATATATATATATATATATATATATATATATATATATATATACTGTGGTGTCCCATAGGTTTCCATACAACGTATCACCAACGCCATTACAAGCATAACTCCAGCTGTGCTTGAACGTGTTCTTCAGCAGTGGAGGACACGCATTGAAGTGTGTTTTCAACAGAATGGTAGTCATGTAGAGCATATTGTATAAATAAAAATGGATTTTCATATAAAATTTATTTTTCCTATGTATGGAAATTTATGGGACACCCTGTATGTACCAGTAACTGTACAGTAATCCCATTCATCTGATTGTACAGTACAGTATTTGTTAACTACAGCACTTCAATACACTTTCAGGTTGGTAATGAGCATGTAGAACTGAACAAGGTGTGCAAATTGCTCCCCTTCGTCCAGCACAAGGGTCAGGCCATCACTGTTACTGAACCAATCAATCCAGCAGCATTTATCCCCAGTAAGTGACTGTGTTGTGTAAATGGTAACAAAGCTTGAAAAGACAGAGACATACAAGTACAGTACGGTATACAATACATTGTGGCAAATGACAGAATTCATTTTCAGTCCACCTTCTCTTATGATACACAAAGACTACCTAATTAGTGAGGGAGGTGGATGCTAGCACAGGAAAGCCACAAAGTCTTAGATTTGAGTCCCAAGTGGTTCAAAATCAATCGACTTAAGACTACACTCTACCAACACTGGCATGGTTCAGATACATTCTGGAGCCAGTGGATGCAGAGTAATTGCTAACAGTGCATACCAGAGATGTGACCAATGGACCAAGTGACAGAGGAGAAAGTAAGGCAAAATAATTATGTGATATGTGTGATATTTTATGAACATCCTGTATAAGAAAGAGAAGGGTGTAGTTTGATGTCAAGAATCAGTGAGAACGAGAAAGTAACTAAATGATGTTGCCAGGATTAGATGGGAAAGGAAGTATAAATTGGTGAGGTTGGCAGAATTAAAACAGATATTGAACTTATTGGTGTAGTTGGGAATAAATGAGAAAAAGAGAATGTAATTTAATGGTTTGAGAAGGAATAGAGGAAGAGTAAAGAAGTAGCAAAGAAGAACCCAAGTTATTTCTATGAAAAACAAGTCAGTAGGGGATAAATATATGGCTCCCAGGTTAATGTAAATAAAGTTGGAGTTTAGTGCATTGAGAATTAGGCTGTAAGAAGGTCATTCACCAACATGTGACCAAAACAAAGGAAGAATCACAGTTAGTAAAGGTGAGGTTGTGTTTATGATGTGGAAATGGGAATGGAAAAATATTTGTTGGACTTGTATGTGGGATAAAAAGTGTGCACAGCTGATGCCTACAGCCAGAACACATGTAGAGTCCAGGTACTAACTGGAGGAATAGCCCTGAAGCTGTGGTAACCTCTGTATGTGTGTTTGCATACATGTACTTCAGTGAGGGATGGCACAAGATTTGAGAAGAGGTTTCAACCACCTGTGTACATTTTAGTTTATGCTACAAAAGAACAAAGGCAATATAATGCAAGTTTGTGTACCTTAAAAGACATTACAATATGCAGTCAAGTGTAATTATCACTCAAGAGCTGCAAGTAAAGATAACGGGTAGGACTCAATTTTGTAAATGCTTGTGTGTGTGTGTGTGTGTTTATGGTCAAGGGGGGGTGTGTAGAGTGTGTGTGTGTGTGTAGTGCACAGTGGTAAGGCCAAGTGTCTGAACTTGCATTTATGATGGATATTGGCAGATACTGTATTACAATGTGTAGTGATAATTTATATTTTTTCCGTTTTTAAATACTACACTATTTAAATGTTAGTTTTTGATCAGAATAACAAGTGTAAGGACTAGATGAATCAATAATGTCTTAAGAATTAAAATGTGTGCACCATTTACTTTTTTTACTCATTAAAAACCATTATAACATACCCACTATATTGATACATTGATAAATACAGTACAGAACAGTATAACCATTGCTGTGATATAATAGACTGATTCTTCTATTGCCTCACTCTAACAACCAAATTTATGTTGTTATCACTCAATTGCCAGATTACTCTACAGTACAGTATGTCAATAACTCCCTACAGGTGTACTAAAAAAAAAAAATAGAATAAAAAAGAATGTAATATATATATATATATTTTTAAACATAACATTCTATTATGTATTTTCCAATTCCAGGTAACATATTGTAATTTAAATGATATTGAATGTTTTATAATAATTCTTTGAGGTAAATTTTATTATTTTTCAAGTGTCGACTAGGAATGCCTGAGTCTCACCTGGCTCAGCCACATTAATATTGTTGCTGTTATTCACTTTGTATCTTTTTCTGGCTAGATAAACTGTTTCGGTGTTAATATCATATTTCACTTTAATATATTTTTTTCATTACAGAAAATGGTTCATATTGGACATATGCTGGTTCTCTCACCACTCCACCATGCTACGAATCTGTTACCTGGATTGTTTATGAAAGCCCCATTCAAGTCTCACAGAAGCAAATGGATGCTTTCAGGTTTGTACAGTATGACTTTTTCTCAATCATTTAATGCCAAGCAAAGATGTGTGGGAGTCAACATTGAAGATGATATATTTTGCACTATTTGCCTAGATGGTCTTTCTCGAATAAGGCTATTCAGAAGTGTAGTGCTACCGTAGATCTGTAAGTCTGCTTTGTTCTCCAAGACTACCAGAACATGGACACCTCATTTACCAAGAGAGACTCGAATGTTTATAATTGTCCAATTTACTGTATACAACAGAAGGGTAAGTGGTATTTTATTATAAATTTATAATACAGGTATCCCTTGTTGTGCAACGAGCTTGCTGAGCCCCTGAAGATCCTTTTCTGTAAAAGCCTGGATGAGCAAATGATCCCCAGTGATTGGAAAATGGCTTATGTGAGTCCTATCTTCAAGAAGGACGATTGTCACTCTACGAATAACTATAGACTGGTGAACCTGACCAGCATAGTATGTAAAATACTTAAGAGCATATAAGAGATGCCATGATGGAACATCTACTACGAAACAACCTTGTAAAGGATTGTCAACACGGTTTTATGCCGGGGCGCACCTGCTTTAGACAATTACTCAAGGTACTGGATGTTTGGACCCAAATTCTGGAACAGGGTGGTAACATCGACAATGTATACCTAGATTTTGCCATGGCTTTCAACAGCATACCCCATGAAAGGCTGAAAATTAAACTGGAAGTGTACGGAATTCGGGGAAATGTCGTAGCGTGGATCGGAGACTTTCTCCATGACCGCAAGCAGTGTGTGGTGATTAATGGCACGAAATCTTCATGTGTACCCATCCCAAGCGGGTTACAACAGGGCATTGTATTGGGCTCGCTGTTGTGTGTGTGCTTTATAAATGATATTCCTGATGCTGTACATTCCTCCATACAAATGTTTGCGGATGATGCCAAGTTATTTCGGGAAATTAAGAACCAAGCGGACTGTGAAGAGCTGCAGAAGGATCCCTATGAGCTTCAAGAATGGTCGAAGAAATGGCTGCTAAGATTAAATGTCACGAAGTGTAAGAGGCTGCACCTGGGACATACCAACGGTAAGGAGGCATATCATGTGTCCCAACGGGACGAAAAAACTGCATTAATTGAGACAATTGTGAAAAGGACCTAGGTGTGTTCCTTGACAATGAGCTGAAGTTCTTGGGCCATTGTGAGAAGGTGACTCGGGCAACTAAATTATTAGGTCTTATACAGAGGTCGTTCAGATATCTAGACGGTCCGTCCCTTGTAACGATCTTCAAGAGTGAGGTACTTCCCTGTCTGGAGTATTGTCACCCCTTCTGGTCCCCAAGATATGCTAGGGACTGTCAGTTGATTGAAAATGTCCAAAGGAGGGCCACCAGACTGGTGCCTGCACTTTGGCTCCTCAGCTACCCTGAGAGATTAGAGAGCCTGAAATTGCCTAGTTTATACTACAGACGGGCAAGGGGGGACCTAATTGAGGTGTATAAACATCTCAAAGGGCACTACTCCGTTAAGTGCACTCACCTGGAGCTGGCGGACGCTCACCCCACAAGGGGTCACTGCTCAAGGCTGAAGAAGCCGCAAACCCAGAAAACTGTGAGGGGTAACTTTTGCGGAGTGCGAGTTGTAAACTCTAGGAACCTTGAGTACAGATACAGGTTGAAGCATCTTAATCTGCACTTCCTCGAGAGACGTAGAGAGAGGGGCAATGTGATCGAGGTGTATAAATGAAAGTCAGGGCTAAACAAAGGTACTCAAACCATCCAACCAGGAGCAAACTCATAACAATGGTTTTAAATTAGACAATTTTAGATTTAGGCGCGAGATAGGTTAACATTGATTTGGAAATAGAGTTGTGAATGAGTTACCAATCATCATCATTAACTCAAATATGCTGGATAGCTTCAAACATAGAACATAAGTTAAATGGATATATGAGCAATATGGGTTGGGTGTAAATGGGACTGCCCAGTATGGGCCAATAGGCCTGTTGTAGTTTCCTCCATTCTTATGTTCTTAAGACATTTATAATGTAAACAAGGTTTTTCATAGGAGTTTGTTCTCTCTGGAAATTAACTTCTTCTGGTAAAGATAGGGATGCCTTCTTAAACCCAAGGAATTCTTGGATACTGTACCACCAAAAATATTTATTTTATTAGCGATAAAAATCTTTAATTGCTTACTCATAAATGAGTATCATTCACTTCTACAGCACACGTACAGTAGGTAGCCATGTCCCCTCAGATCCCTTGGCAGTAATCTTCACCTTAAATCTTTGTCAATGCTTATTCAAAGTTCAAGGAGCTTGATGTTCTGCCCCAAGGTAAAAAGACTTTTTAATTATGTTGCATTGTTATAGGCTCATTATTTTCTGTGATCAGTGATTGTTATATCCCTTTGTTATCAATTAAGCTTATGGTCTAGATGTCAACTGTATTAGGTACTGTACTGTCCTTTGCTAAGAAATTTTGAGTCGGATTTAAAGTGAGATACTCCACTTCCGTAGGGTATTTATTACTAAGGGTTTGAAATTTCAATAGAACCATTGTTGGACTTTAAAAAAATAATCTTGACCTTCATTTAAAACTTAAAATTACACGGAAAACTTGATTTAGGTTGATAAGTTTTCTTAGTCACTACTCTAGTTTGTTATGTCCTAAGACAGCCGGGTTTGACTACACAGACAAACTCACATATCTTGTATGAGGAACAATCCCAATGTACTCATACTACAGGTCCCCGTTCCAAGATAATTGAAAGTTAAGAATGACAGATCAATGTGTATGCAGATAGTGGGAGGGTAATAAAAGAAAATGGACCCTCAGTATGGCAGGGAATCCTAGTGTTTTTGGACATGGTCATCCGAAGGGGGTTATAGATACTCATGTATAAGCAATGTAGATTTTGGATAATGCTTATCTTACAACGTAATTTCAGTTTTGAAGCATTTATGTTGAGCATTGTATTCACTATTTAACAATGGAAATCTGGAATTTTTTACTCCATTAAGCTTGGGCCCTTCCCATGACAAACTACTTTTTTGTAGAGGAGTTCTTTAAAGAAATAGACTACAAACTAAAAGGAGAAATGTGACTACTGTATCATAAAGATACGATCATAGAGATATACAGTACTGTATGTTGAAAACATTAATGTACTTTTTAAATAATTTATATAAATTGGTACATTGATAATTATCATATACTGTAGTAATAACTGTTCATGTATCTTTACTGTGTAATGTTGATGTTACAAAATCTTAACAGGGACTTTTACTATGAAGAAAGAGTAATTTTCTTCTTCCAGTATACCCAAAACATAGGAACCCTCCTTGAGGCTTAGGTAGCCCTAGACTCTGAACTAATTTCTTTGCCCCAAGTGGGAATGTTTAAACTACTCTGTAAATGTGAATTTTTTTTTTTACTATACTATTCATATACTCTTTTTCAGGGCTATGAAGTCCTATCACCCATGTGAGGGTTGTCCTCAAGATGAACTAGCAGGTGCACTTGTTGAGAACTACAGACCACCTTGCCCACTCTGTGAGAGAGTTGTCAGGGTCTTCAAGGATTCAGCAGAGGAGGAATAAACCTTGAGCATGAAGTGTAATAACATTTTCAGGGCATTGTAAAATTGTGAAGGATGCAAGATACCTTTTGAAAGTGTTTATCTCATTGCTTTATGGAAACTGACCCTAAAACTATAAAATTCTGTGATTACTTTATGCACATATTAAAATCTAAGAACATGACAATCAATTAAATGAAGATAATGTGAATTATTCCAGTGGCAGTGACAGTCACATGAAGAGTGAAGATACAGATGCCAAGAACCTTGTAGTACAGTACAGTACTGTATTGTGCTTTGCAATGTGCAGTCTTTGCTTTAGTTATTGCATGTCTAGAAAATATGTCAAGGATATTTAGCATGCTCAGATATTCCTGTAAGATCCCTAGTGGTTAACTTCATTAGTTTCTTAGGAATTTGCATGGTTATGTAGTTTAAATGCACTAAAGGTCAGGTAATAGAAAACCGGTGAAAGAATTATATGCTGAAGATGACAATAATAATCAATCTTTTACCTTCAGCAACATTAGATGATTCTTGGGTTGGTGAAGAATTTACCATACCAGTCTGTAGTTGAAAAAAGTTGTTACAATAATTGTCTTCCCTGATTTAATTGTTGGATGCCAAATACTGTTAAATAATTTATATGTTAAAATAATACTACCTAATGATAAAGTTTATAAAACATTTTCTTTCTGGAGATATTCATCACACACAAAGTGTAAACGAAAGATGAATGTAGACATCTGTTATGCATTGCAGATATCATAAATTTGATTTTTTCTCAAATTTCTGTAAAGCTTTTGTTTTGTAAATACATATTATTAGTATTGTTTACTGTAGATGTGTTGCTATTCATTTTATTGCACTATCATTGCAGTGATAAAATAGAAATTATATTGTTCTATAAGCTCGTGGATTTCTAAGAAATTCAGGGAGATGGACGTTGTTAGAAAAAGTTTATAGAGAGGATTTTATATCCTAAAATTTTCCTGCTTTATGGCTTGATTATTTGTAATTATGACCATGTTACTATGCAGGATATTCCAGTTCCTTTTTAAGCAAGTGCAGTGTATTCTTTAGTATTTATGTAGGTTCTTTTGTTGTATATGTTAACTTAAAAGTCATTCCTTGTATTCTATTTAATTATGCACTAAAATATAAATCCTGTATTTTGATTGGAGACGAACATCTTGGTTCTGCAAACACATTTTGATTGTGAAATCTTTAACTTGTTGATTGTAAATTGTTCTTGTTAAAAATGGTGTGGACCTTTAAATTTAATATATATTTTCCTAGTGAAATGTTTTATCAAAATAAGCCTTAATCTAATGAGATAACTGGAAGTAGATCAGTGGAGTTCAGTGATCTTCCTCTCATTACAAAGTGATCTAACTCGAGGGAAGTCTGTTTAATTATTGTACTGTATTAACATTTAAATCATATTCCCAGTTTCAGAAAATGTAAAAAACTTAAGCTCAGAATATTCTTACCTAAAACAAATATATATATATATATATATATATATATATATATATATATATATATATATATATATATATATATATATATATATATATATATATATATATATATATATATATATATATATATATATATTAGTATATACAGTACATACATATATATATTAATAAATAGATCATGCATATTGTTGTTTTATTTAACCATGACAAAGTAGGCATGCATACTTCCAGTTAAGGTATTTCTTTACCTAGGAAACAACCATAGCTGTTTCACCACCCCCTGACCCTAAAATTACGACATCTTTTTTTTATAATAACAAAAGTTCTTTGATCAGCAAAGCACACTTAATTTGTGGCTATTTACTGTATTATTAACAGCCACACTTTATATTATCAAATATTAATCATATTGTTAGCACCCATGAGAAGAACTAGGAGATATTTAAGTTTTGGCAGTTACTGAGTAGTGAAGGTGGAAAGGGGGAGAGAGAGAGAGTGGTGGTGAGTGGAGGTGCCGGGCATATGTTTACAGGAGGAAGATGCTGGAATTTGCCGATCTGTCAGGAACAAGACGCCGCCTAGTGCCTCGGTGGTTCCCTCTGCTGTGAGGGTCAGTAAACGCTTTGGAGCCGTACTGGGAACACCCCTATCTCTCCTTAAGACCCTAACAGGTAAGTTTGTTTATGGAACATTAGTGTATACGTGAGAGCCCACCATTGTGTTATTGTGTCAAGTTCATTGTGTTAAAGAATGTGCTTAATATCCCACTGTAGTTGTATTATTGTGCTAAGTTCATTATGTTAAGGATTGTTATATCAAAATGATGTTTACTTACTTGTAATAAAACAGGTTTTGACCGAATAATGTTCTGAGTGTCCATGTGCTGGGTCTCCTTATCCTGTGATCGCATGATTGCCTTAAGGGCGATTACAGTCAAAACGTGGGTCGACCATCTATGGCAACACTCGACGGGGCCACCACCTACCCGGACAGCACGTGATGCTGGCTCTCTGACATCAGGGTACGCCCACTCCCCTACTCTCCTCTACAGCCGGGAGGCACCTGCGGGAGCACCACTGGAACCCGTGTCACACTTGTAGGCTTCATCTCGGTACCAGACCGACATCGACTGTTTAGACCATGAGTGAATTAGGGAATCAGTGAAGTGAATTAGTGTGACCTCTGTCTAGTTAGTAACAACTCCTGAACTTCGTCGTGTAGTGCTGAAGGTCTCTTGCTTCGTGCCAATGGTTTGTCTGAAGTGTATATGAGTTGGTGAAGTGATGGCTTCGTGAGTCCATGTGTTGCCGATTGTGACCAGACACACCAGAACCACAATGAACCTAAGTGAAAGAAGTCGAGTGGGTGATGGGGCTACTGACTCTTCTAACTATCGCTCACCTGCCAAGGGTGTAGACAATTAAGGTCACCCAGCATAAAAACTGCTCACCCGTCAGTTGTTGTAAACAGTACACTGTGGAGGGTGACAAATCTAACGATGTAAATGACTTGGTCTGTGAAGCCCTGGATGGAAGTGAACATACGCAAGATGGAAAATCGACCACGGCCTTGGCTCTCGCTCCATCTAGGCGGGACGATGAGAGCGGACCTCGGAAGCTGGTGATACGTGAAAAGGAGCAGTCGTACAAAGTAAAGGGACGCCAGACAACTGGGAGCAATCCGAAGACGCAATGACGACCGAAGCATGTGCACGGGCGATCACGCAGACAGAGGCTATCTTGAGGGAGTGGAACACTCGGTCTGAACGCACCTTGAGGGAACTGAATGAGCTGTCGAAGGCACAAACGGAAGTGATCTTGAAGGCGCTCAGAAATGAAGAAACCAAAATAAGGAAAGGGACGATAGGAATTGAAATACGGAATCAATTACCTCTAGCTCTAATGGACACTGAGGCGTGGTTGACTACTGATTCCTCCAGCAGTTCGGTGAGGGCACTGGAAGATGGAAACTTACCACAGTTGACCCCGCTTGATGAGGCAGATGGTGAACAGAGCAGACGACAGGAAGTCCTGTATGACGACAGACACCAGATGCAAGTGGGACTCAACCACGGACTGGCTGAATCCCCTCAACAGGGGGAGCCTGAACATCCCGTTCCATTCTCTCCCAACAAGGTACTTCAGCAAATATGCCTGCTGAGACGTGACGCTCCAGTGAGACCAACTGGTGGTGAGGTGTCGGCGACATCAAGGAACCAGAATTCAACAGAGGGTACAGCAGTGTGGCAAGGACGACCAATTCCTTCCCTAATGTACTCGGGGTTCACACGCCTCTCCTGACATTTACGGGACAAAGCCGAATTGAGTATGGAAATTCATTCGTGTATTCAATAGGTACCGTTTCAACACAGCGACGTCTGAATCGCATAAGTTATCTGCTCTTCTATTGGCCGGCATGAGTGAGGATTTAAAGATGGCTTTGGAGTCCTGTGAACACTTCTGCCCTCAAAAGGGCTACGAAAGGGCGCTAGCGCTTCTTTCGCGGAGATTCGGAGGTGAACGGGGATAAGCAGAAGAAAGAATAACAAGCCTAATGGAGGGTCCAGTCACAAAGGCAGGCGATGGTGAAGGATTATGAAAGCTGGCAGATACATGATTGGCAAGATGGACTCTTGATCGTACATTCAAAACATAGCAGCAAGGTTACCAAAGATCCTACGGAATCGGTGCAAGGACGAACTACATTCGCACAACGAACGTCACGGGTCTTACCCTGGAATACACTGGCTACAAGAGTTTGTACAGAAACATGTGTACAGAGCAAACAACATACTCCTTAAAGGTAGGGACAACAGTGAAGGCTGTAAAAAAGAACAGTCTCCTGTCCCCTGGAGAATAAGTCTTCAAGTAGACGAGTCGTGGGCATGGCAGTTACCACTGATCTAAGAGCTTAAGGGGAAGGCTGTTGAAGAATGCAAGGTTTTACCAGCACTATGCTGAAGAGATGAAGCAATTGCTGTGCAAGGTTTACGCCGAATTGTTTCCCGCATCCCAACTCGGTGCAAACCCAGGAAAAACATGGTACCTCCCACATCACCCTGTGTTGAATCTCAAGAACCCAGACAAAGCACACTTAGTCTTTGATTGTGCCGCTGTGTATGCCAACATGTTGAACAGTCAAGTTCTACAAGGACCATACCTCAATAACAAACTAATAGGTGTCCTGATACGATTTTGCCAGGGAAGGACAGCAATCATGGCAGATATTGAAGCCATGTTCCACCAAATTGGAGTCACGCCTGAACATCGAGACTCCCAGAGGTTTTTGTGGTGGGACAGTGAAGACTTTACTCAAGCTCCACGCTCGTATAGAATGAAGGTTCATCTTTTTTGGGGGTGTGGAGCCGGTCGTGCGCAGTATACGCCTGAGTTAACTGCAGCTGTCGCCAGGGCGGAATGCAACTTCTACGTGGATGACTTACTTCCATCACTCGACTCTTCAAGTGAAGCAACGGAAATGTCACAGCACCTACGACAATTGCTCAAAAGAGGGAGGCTTTCACCTCCCGAAATGGGCAAGTAATTACAAGGAAGTACTGCATTCCATCCCGTCTGAGGAGAGACACGTTAGCATAAAGGAACTCGACTTGAGCCAACAGCTACTACTTGTGGAACAAGCCTTAGGAGTCACATGGGACTTGGAGAGCGATCAGTTTGCTGTCAAAACTCAAGTCCAAAAGAAGCTTGCCACAATAGGAGGACTTCTGAGCGTTGTCAGTTCGGTCTACGACCCTCTTGGCTTCATAGCTCTGCTCGTCATTAAGGCGAAACTGTTGTTTAAGATGAATGCCGACAAAGAAGAGGATAGGATGAACCACTACTGGAGCACAATAACTTGGCATGGAATGCGTGGTTAGAGGAATTGCCGCACCTGGCGACACTCAGCGTTCCTCGGTGTTACAAACCTAGAGACCACAGGTGAACCGTGTCAGTGCAGCTGCATAGCCTTTGCGACGCTTCGCAAGTGGCATACAGCCTGGTATCATACTTGAGACTGACGGGCAATGAAGGAAATATCCAGTGTTCCTTCATATTTGGTAAAGCAAAGTTAGCTCCCCTCAAACAACAAACTATTCCCCAACTAGAGCTGTGTGCAGCTGTCTTAGCCATCAACGCTGACCAGATGATAAGGCAAGAACTGGAGTTGAAAATCGAAGAGTCGGTTTTTTGGACGGACAACATGTTGGTTCTCCAATGCATCACAAACACCAGTCGTCGGTTCCACACCTTTGTGGTGAACCGAGTGGCTGTTAGACAGGAGCTCTCAGAGATAAATCAATGGGGGCATGTAAACACATCACTGAACCCAGCAGGTGATGTAACACGTGGACTCACTGTGGATGAGATGGCCGACGACAGCTGGTGGATACAGGGACCAGACTTATACATAAGAGAGAGGATCACTGGCCAGAGAGGTTAAGACTAACCATGTAGTTGTATTGTTATGTTAAGGATTGTTATATCAAAATGACGTTTATTTACGTGTAATAATTGTTGTTGACAGGTTTTGACCGAAATATATTCTTCGTGTCCACGTGCTGGGTCTCCTTATCCCGTGATTGCATGATTGCCTTCAGGGCGATTACACATCTCATATCATATAGTTAATTTAAGGTCGTGCAGGTTGTGTCGTGTTGCGTCTGTAACAAAGCTTGTTGGCACTCGGGCCTTCCTTATTGAACAGCGGCAATTGGACAGCGATTACGTAAGAGCATCAAGATTATCCTAGTGATGTGAATGTGTAATATAGATGTAGGATTTTCAACGTTATTCGCGATTGTATATATTGAAAAAACACTACTGACTGGAGATACACAACCACAAAATCATTGCCATATGACATGGTTTATTCAGAAAATTTTAAATGAGTAGAGTTCCTGGCTGTGATTGACCATGCAAAGGCCGATCGGAGAATGTAGTATTGTGCCTTTAGCTAAGGCAGTCCATAGTGACAATAAGTACTAGAGAGCATCATAAGAGATGCCATGATGGAATATCTGCTACGAAACAACCTTGTAAAGGAATGCCAACACGGTATTATGCCGGGAAGATCCTGCTTAACACAATTTCTTGAGGTACTAGATGTTTGGACTCAATATGCCAGATGCTGTACATTCCTCCATTCAAATGTTTGTGGATGATGCCAAATTATTTCGGGAAATTAAGAACCAAGCAGATTGTGAAAAGCTGTAGAAGGATCTCTGTGAGCTCCAAGAATGGTCGAAGAAATGGCTGCTGAGATTCAATGTAAATGAGAGCAAGAGGCTGCACCTGGGACATACCAACGGTAAGGAGGCGTATCATATGTCCCAACAGGATGAAGAAACTGCATTAATTGAGACCGAACGTGAAAAGGACCGAAGTGTGTATGTTGACAATGAACTGAAGTTCTGTGAAAAGGTGAATCGAGCAACTAAATTATTAGGTCTTATAAGAAGGTCGTTCAGATATCTAGACGTTCCGTCCCTCGTAACGATCTTCAAGAGTGAGGTGCTTCCCCGTCTGGAGTACTGTCACCCTGTCTGGTAGATACTAGGCTTGCACTGGCTACTGAATATATCGGAACCTGCTCCAGTGTTGGTCAAGTTTGGCCTTGAATGAGCTCGCACTCGGTGCCGTCAATGCTCTCAAGCAGATTTTTCCATGAGTTCACAACCCTCACTCCGAAAAAATTGCCCTCACAGTTTTCTGGACTTGTGGCTTCTTCAACCTTGAGCTGTGACCCCTGTGGAGTGGACCGAGTAGTGCCCCCTGAGATGTTTATCCACTTTGAGGTTGCCCCCTGCCTGTCTGTTGTATAAGCTAGATAGTTGCAGGCGCTCTAATCTCTCTGGGTAACTGAGGTTCCGTAGAGCAGGCACCAGTCTGGTGGCCCTCCTTTGGACATTTTCAATCAATTGACAATGTCTAGCATCACTTGGGGACCAGACGGGGTGACAATACTCCAGACAGGGAAACACCTCACTCTTGAAGATCGTGATGAGTGACGGATCATCCAGGTAAAACAACGTTGACAACCCATCACATTCCACTCAAGCCCAATCTACATATCAGCAAATCGGCTACCCCACAGCCAAAGGGCTGTAGTCAACAAATTGTACAAGAAATGGTGGAACAAAAGGTAATTCAACCTTCATCACCATGGAACTCGCCTATATTCCTAGTTTCCAAGAAAGATGGGGGATGGAGACCAGTCATAGATTTTTGACAGGTCAACCAAGCAACCGTACCAGACAGGTTCCCAATGCCTGTCCTAATTGACTTACTACAGTCTCTAGGAAAAGACAATGCCTTCTTCAGTAACCTAGATTTGCTTAGCGGGTACTGGCAAATTCCCTTACATAAGGAATCCCGTGAGGTAAATGCGTTAAGCACACCAATGGGACATTTTGAATTCTTAAGAATGCTATTTGGTTTGAGGAATGTGCCGCTAACATTCCTAAGAATGGTAAATACAGTGTACCTTGTTTGCTGGAATGATAGGAAACACCGTCTATGCCTATCTAGATGATCTTATAGTAAGCAAAGATTTACAAAGCCATTTAAAGGAACTGCGAGAAGTCTTCACAAAGCTACAAATAGCTGGATTGAAAGTGAAACTTTCCAAATGTGATTTTCTTAAATCCAGAATCCAATTTCTCGGACACGTAGTGGATGGTAACGGTATACACACAGTAGATTGTAAGGTAAAGGCGGTGAAGTTTCATTGTTGAGGATCAGGAGAAACTTGTTTTGTTCTGGTCGGAGGTGAACTCCTTGGGGTGTTTGGAGAGGTAGCCAAACACACAACGCCGGTACAACACTATCGTGACCCAGGCCTTCTTGTTGGAGCACCAGATGACTGGGAGGGGCTCCTTAATAAAACTCTTAAGAACTCTAGGGGCCTTGGAGTGGTATACCAGCATCCGAGTCCGCTTAAGGTCCCCCTCAGCATTGCCTCCAAGCAGCAATATAAGGCAATCCTTGGCCACCTTGAAACCTGGTGCAGTCTTCTCTTTGGCAAGGAAAGTCCTGATGGCATCCTCTTCCAAAATAGGCCCATCTTGTTGAAGTTCAAGACCTACTTGGTTGTCGTATCCTCCTTCCTCCACCTTAACCTTCTGGAGTGCCAGGAAGGCATTAGCACTCATGTTAGCACTGGCTGCCTCACCAGTCAGATAGTGGTTGTGGAAATTGGCATGCTTCTTGAACCAGTTGATCCATCCAGGACTAGGCTTGAATGATGCCTCAGTGACACTGCTCTCTGCCTTCAACGTCGTCCAGATGTTGCAGGCCTTCACCATGATGATTGCTGTGGAGAGAGGCAAGAGGCATTGAGTCTGGTCCTGAATCCAGTCTTGGAGTAGCCTATCCATGATAGGTTCACGCTTCTTTAATGACCTAGATGCGGAGACTCAGCTCACGTTCTGCTCCATGGCCTTCATTTCTGGTGCCTTAATGATTGTAGACATGCTTCTTCACCTTTCTCATGCTGCTTCACCTCCAAAGACACGGTTTTCCTGGGTGCCTTGGCTTTCCCAGATGCAGGACCTCCAGCAACACGCTTGCTAGACATTTTCGAAATTACACTGCTCACTTCAGTCACAAAAACAGAGAAAGCACTTCACAATCACAAGAACCGAACAAGAGCACTTATCACAAAAACAGAGTTGAATCTGAATGTTAATGATGTCTTGTAACTGTAAGGGAACAAAATAATGCTAATAACGTAATAACAATGATATTGGCTGACACTGCTCACATTATGTTCACAGCAACAGTCAAAGCACTTTACAGTCATAAAATAACAGCAAAAATCACTTCAGTCACAAACACACAGTACAATGTCAACGTTAGTGATGTTCTCTCAATGCAAGGTAAAGAAAATCACCTTTACTGACAGATAATCGTTGAGCTACATGATCATGGGTAGATACAATCACCATGAAACAATGTTGGACTGTAGTGCACTGGGTGGTGCAATGGTAGATGATCCCACAGCTAGAGATATGTTCCATATACTGCACGTCAGCGATTTTGGCCGGATGATGAACATTGTTTATATGAACTGTTTTGATCATATATAGGAGAGTGGGCTTAATACAACCCCATCATTAAAGCAAAATACAATAAATAGGGAGATTGTAAATTGGTAGATACCTGTATGTCTCCTACATGGGGGTGTCACTCATTCAAGCTTTTCCCAAAGTGATGCAAATGTATAGATGTAACTTAGTTCTTTGTGTTCCACTGAGCTATAAATCGATGTTTCGGTACTCTATAAAGTGTCATGACTGAATGTGGGCAATGAAGCAGGATAGACTTTTGTTCAGGTACAGTCGGGATCAAAAGTTTGCTGCCGCCCAAAATGAAGCAGCATCGATCCCAAATGAGATGAAACAGTCAAGGGAAGTGACTCGGTTTCACCAGTGGGAGCGAACTTTTGTCCCCAACTATACCACTAGTAATGTGTATTGCTGGAAGAAATGGAGGTAATTAATATGAAGTATGAAAGGGGTAGAAGTAAGAACAGTACTAAGACACTCCAACAATGTGAAAACATTCCAAGCATAAACCCTCCACCACTGTAAGGATGCAACAGGTTTCATACTTGGCTTCCCTCATTTACAATTACTGTAGTGTTACTGGGAAATTTGACCCCAATCATTCTAGAGACTACATCCTGTTAGTTTATATATGGATGGTGAAGGAGTTTGTTTAGCAGACATCAAGTGCTGCTGAAGGGAACTGACAAGTATAAAATAATGAGAGGTATAAAGACCACTATCAAGACAGCAGTTCCCTAAATAACTAAGGAAAAATAGTCTGTAACTTAAATGCATCTATAACATTGATTTCTATCTGTGTAAGAGGTAAAATAAAATTGATATTTTCCAAAACTTTATTGTTGCTTATGCTCTACAAAATAACACTAAGAAAAAATAATCTTTGGGATTTCCAGTTTTGTCTTCACAATAAATATAAATTTCATATAGGTTAATTACATTTATTTTTTATGAAAGTCCAAAGAAACAATCATGTCATGCATCCAAAAAGAATTAACAGCAACATTTGCAGGTTTAACTTTCATGGATTTCATTATTCACAGGTCGTGTTATTCCCATTGTTCCACAGTCACTTTGTGTTTACTGTACATGACCGTAACACCGCACATGCTCTCTGTCTCCCTCACAGTAACACCTACAGCTCACATATTATTGCTCTTTTTTGGTGATTTTTTGTTCTTAGTGATGCTTCTTAAACATACAATGAGTAGGGTGAGTGGATCAAGTGGAAAGAGCCAGAAGAAAGTGGAGTTGCTTATTCACTTTGCTAAGGGTGATAGTGTGGTAGCTGTGGGACGCCATTATGGTGTTAACGAGTCAACTGTGCGCTCAATCAGGAAAAATGAGGAAAATATTTGTGCAAGTGTGTGTGCAAGTATCCCCAAAAGTGCTAAGCAACTTCTCAAACCCCTTCCAATATTATTGTCATCTCATCAGCATCATTTTCATTGGTGAGTACAGTACATTACTATGTTTTTACATAAACTTTATTTACAGTATTTAACATGTACTGTACTGTACTGTACTGTACAATACAATACAGTAAAAACCCTCCAGCCCTTATGAATCATGAGATTTTGCAAAATATGAGGAACACCTCCCGAGGGAAAACAAAATGATGCAAAACAGCAGTACTTTTCCTTAAGAACCCTTTTAAAACTCTGCCTAACCTATTTAAAATAGGTCATCCTAGACCCAATTTCAGGTTCTCTATCTCAATATTCAGCTAAATGTTGCCTGAAATTATTGTAACACCTGAAGATTAGAAACTTGGAAAAAATCCTTAACTAAATAATTTAGGAATTAGGTCTTGTTGAAGGAGCACACATTAAACTTTGAATTAGTACAGTATTTCCGACTTTTACCGATTATCTCATATAAACACTTCAACAAGTTCTCATTCTATCTTTCCCATATCTATTTCCTCCCATATTCAATTACAATAGGCTTATCATGCAATATATAACCATTACAGACAATAAAAGCATTTGTTGCCACTTCTTCATTTTGGAATGTAACAAATGCTTGTCCTCTCATACGACCATCAAGTATTCTGTACATAATTTTAGGTCCATTTAGAATTTCAAAATGTCCCATAAGAGATGCTAGGTCTTGAGGAGTGGTCTTGTGAGATAAGTTTTTAATGTATAATACAGGTGATGGCTTTCCTGGATCATATTTCTTAAATTTTTCCATATTCCTGAGTTCCTCAATACTTTTCTTGTTTGATTTTATACTTTCCAGTGGGATAAGATCACTATTTGTAAGTGTCAAAACAAAGGGTTTAGTTTTATTAGCAATAAGCTTCTTGTGTTTCTCTCTTATCCCACAAATGTTACTCTTTTCATCCTCAACATTGTCTTCAGGTAAAAAAGGTGAATAAGTCTGATGACTTTTAACTACTTTAGGTATTTTCTTCATATCCCACAAAGACTTCGGTTTTTCTGACAAATAAATAATATCAGATTGTAGCTTTTTTCTACTCTTCCTTGCAGGACCTTCTGTAGAACATTCTCCAATATCACGTTTCTGTGGGTTTGCATCATTATTTGCAGCCTCTCTTGGAAATAAATCTTCTTCCAATTGCTTAATATAGTGAATGGGATGGTCTGCTGGAATGGTATCATCCTGATGTGGCTGAAGACGAACAAGACAGGCAGTGAGTTTTTCAGCTACAGCACTGTTTGGAACGACAATACACTCTTCTTCAAAGTCATGGCGATTCAGGGGAACCGCTCCATTAAAATGTTCTTGTTTGCACAAAAATGCTTCAAGCTGTTCTTGCCGTTTGAGCAGTTTATCTTCTATAGCTACAAGTCTCTCTTCTCTAGCCTGGGGTGCTTCAAGGGAAGTATTACTTGCATTTTCATTCATCAAGAGATCAATTTCAGATTCTGAAAGTCCACTTGACTTTAAAATTTGCTTTACATTCAATGAAGCTTCTAAATTTTTGTAATCTTCACATGATGATAGTCCACTAGTACTAGCTGTAATAGATTCTTCAGCTGTGGTTCTCATGAAATTTCTTTGATTTTGAAGTTGCTGCTCCAAAGATGTGTGGGTGGCTAACTGTCTCCGTACAAGGTTTTTCATAATTTTTTCACGTAAAGTATTAGTTTGAGGTTTCTCTGTCTCCTCTTCTTCCAGGCCAAGAAAGCGATACTTTTTGGCATTGTTATAAGTTACTGAAGCCATGTTGAATCTTTTTCAAACCAGAATATCTACGTTGCAATTTTTAGGCACAGACAATTTTAGTTTCAGAATACACGTAATATATAAAGTTTAACTGATAATTAAAAAAATTATAAAGGTTTTAACTGACACAAAGACAAAACTCTAAAAAAATTAAATCTTCACACATAAGGGTTCCAATTGCTTCCATCTTCGGGAGTTAAAGATCCAGTTATCAACAGAACAATGTCAACAATCCACCAGATGCCAACACCACCCATTGTGAGAAGCTTTCCTACGGCAGTTCCAGTTTGCCCAAGACAAAAGCGGTCCATGCCTAGGAATCCAAGCAGAACACTATATATTAGTGTTGTTACAAAGTAGTGTCCACTGTATCTGAAGGAGAAAGGGAACACTCTAAGAGTCAAATACTGTATAACAATCTCAATATTCATGAGATTAGTATATTATGTGTATGAGATACAATTAAAACTACATAGTGAATATCCAGCAAACCACTTTATAATTTGTGATGGGATGTAAAAATATGATAAACGTAAGATAATATTGAAAATAAGTTCCACTGCAATTGTTTTAGATTAAGCTAAAGTGATTTATTGGAAGTAATAATTGTAACTGGTATATACAGCAAATGAGATTGATCCAGAAATGCCAGTTTATAACCATGACCTGGACAGCAAAACCAAATCTACCAACAACTGCCTGTATGATATAAAAGGCCACAAAATGTATGTACTTAGGAAGCTGAGTGATCTCAGGCAAATGACCAACCATGAGGCTACTTGGGAAGAAAGTCTAACTTCCTATCAAACATCCTGCTCTACTTAACCTCTTAATGGTCACGGACATAAATTACGTCATCCCTTGCCATACGCTAATTGGTCAACGACATAGTTTACATCACTTTAATAGATGAGAGTGTGGAGGCCGCAAAGACAATGTGGAGTGTGTGTGTGTGATGGAGGGAGGAGCGTCACCTTCCCGCCTTCCACACACATATGTTGCCACATCCCAGTGAAAACTTTCAGGATGCTGACACATAACTTTGTGCTTCCAGTGTACATAGTGCATATAGAGAACTAATTTTATAGTTATATTGATTAGTAAATAACATAAGGAAGTGGTAGCAAACGTGCTGGCACCTCTGAATGACATTGCGTGCATGACAATGCCTGACTGCCTAGTGCCTTTAAGCCAGGTAAGGAGCTTATAGGTGTGCTTTTCACTGTTACCACATGACTTTCGGGGTCTTTTTGGGTCGCTTTAGCCAACAAGAAGAATGTGGAAAATCTTTGACCATCTGAGCATGACTTAGGTTAAATTAATTGACCAGCATCAATCCTGACTAACTCCCTGGAGCCATCCAAAACCAAACAATCATCTTAATAGACTAAGCAGATAATCCATTTTAGCTTTAAGAATTAAGGGGGAAGGTGGAAAGCTATAAAGGAAGAATTAATTGATATCGTAGTTCATAACTGGTATGGATTGGGAGAAACATGCAGCAAGTCACCCTGTCTGTTCAGGTTAAGCTTTAGAAATCCTGTAAAACTAGAACACTAAAGCTAGGATCTGTCCTGGCTTAACTCCTGTCCTATAAATTGGAATTAGCACTGATGAGCTATGCATTTCAGGACAATCTTGTGATGTAGCCGTTTCTTTACATAAATATTGTGTTAATATCTATTGCAAGGGGTATTAAGATGAAATTTTCGTGAAAAATAAAGGACTTACCATGTATAGGGAGGCACATAAGTTACTTTACAAAGAACCTTTGTACTGTACAATAGCTCATAATAAGTGACTTATGTGCCACCCTGCATAGAAAATGACTTATCAACCCAAAAATATAACCAATAAACTTATTCTATGCAGTATCCCCCCAAATTATAATTTTAATACACATGAGATAGAATGATAATAATTTAAATTAATAACCAATAAAAACTAACTTGATGCAAGGAAAGCCATCACGGAGGAATCTTCTCTCACCACAGCAGTCGATGCCGTCCAGGACTGAACACCATACTTTTGTAATTTCCACATCCTCAAACCTTTGTCCTCCAAACTGAAATTATTGCACAGAATTAAATGAATTGTAAATTTAAAAATAATTTACCTCAACTGTTACGATGAACTACTACCTCAGTTTGTTTAGGGAAGACTATGGTCACATGATGGCGCTGGCCATCAGTCAGTCTGGGGTATAACTCGCTGGTCTTAGTACAATAGTATGTGGAGCCCTGTGATTGGTCCTGGTTGGGAGGTGGAAAATCTGGTGTGCTCCAGAGTCAGTTACTGAGTATAGGCTGTGAAGTCAACATCTGGTCTCGTCTCCTAAACCATAAGTATGGAGTGTTAGTGTACTCCTACTGCTCCAGACCAAGGCCACCTAGAAGAGAAGGCCTGGGTCTCCCTCGCAAATCTGATGATGACTTCACAACTGAAGGCCGACAGCGCCAGTTGCCTAAGCACGTTGTGAGAGAGTGAAGGAACTTAGCAGTCTGTTTTTATTCTTATTTCTCTTTTTCTGGACTGGATTTCATGAAAGGTAAGACTTGGACATGTTAATCTTCTTGTGTACCGTAGTAAGGATACAGATGATCATAGATCTGAGTTCATTAATTTGAAGTAGTTAAATGATGAATATAATTCAAAGCATGTTTTTCATTGTTATGCCATTATTAAATTTTGGTAGCTCACAAACAGTGATGCATTGGATAGATTTATATATCAAATATCAAATTCCAAACAGATATAAATGGTTTCAAGATGTTACGTGGGTTTAAGTAAGTACAGTACTAGTATTTGTTTTCATTGAGTATGAACACGTGTTGTTTATGCCATATATGCACTAGACGTGGGGTTGATTATGATTAGTAATCAAATGATGGCAATGTTTATGTAATCATAATCAAATCATATTTTTTTCTGAAAATTATATCATAATCTAATAAAAATATATTGTAATAATCATAATTAAATCATAATCAAACATTTAAAGAGTAATAATCAGTTATTAAAATATGATTATTGTATCCTAATTGCAACTTATATACTACATTCACAGATGAAAATTATTATGTTATGTTGTGCTCAGAGATGGAGTAGTAGTATTTTAATTTAGTACCCTGTAGTAACCTATGTCAATTTTAATGGTTCCCCATTGGTACTGAAGTTAATACTGTACAAATTTTACTTACTATAAGTTGCTGCAGTATATGTACTATAATCACCCTTAAAAAGGCTTCCATTAAATTGAGAATTGATCTAACAAATTAAAATAAAATGTTAGCATCGATGTTATTAATAGTACAGTATATTACTTGTTCTGTGTAATGAGCTTGCATGTTGTCACTTAATTTTCCCCAAAGCTCATGTAGGTAGGTATGTACAGTCAGGAAAGATGTTGCCCTTACATGCAGTCTATTTGATTATGTAAATGAGACCAGAGGTTGATTTATGTACAGGGTATTTGATTTGCATTACCTCAATTGCAAAATCAAATTATGAAAATGTTATAAACATTACATTACTAAATAAATTTGTACATAATGAAAATGATTCAATGCAGCAGAAGTAACATGATTGACTGTACTAGGCATTGACAATTTTGGTAATTATAATGTGAATATGAATTATTTATAGAATACATTGACATTTTCTGTAAAGCTAATTCAGTGGTGATTGCATGTATAATCATAAATCAGAAAGTAGACAATTGTGCTATATTTAGTCAATATAATTCCTTCAACAATATACAGTATAATGTAGCAGCCATAAACCATAGTTTATTGTAAATATGACTCGGAGAGAGAGAGCGAGCGAGGTCACCGCCTCCCCGTGTGACGTCATCTAACCTACACCCAGGCCTTCTTTTCTAGGTGGCCTTGTCCAGACCCCAGAGTTATTATATTTTATATGGTGATATTTAGGATGTAGTATTATTTTTTATAAGGTGATGTCTGGGATGTACACTCATGAACAAAAGTCCTGTCGCCCCTTCTGCTGCTCCACGAACCCTGAGATTCAGACTCATGAATCCGAAGCATTTATGGGCAGAATAATGCACCAGTGTCTACTGCTTCGGGTTCATGAGTCTGAATCTCTTGGTTCGCGGAACAGCACAAGGGGCGGCAGGACTTCTGTTCACGACTGTACAGTAGTAGTATTTTTTATATGGTGATGTTTATGATTTAGTGATATATATTAAAATGTAATGGTTAGGAATTAATGCTCATTTATTATTACTTGTGAGTTTTCTGATTTCTTTTGTGCTGTATAAATTTTGTATAAAGTTCCATCATCAGCATTGGTTATACCTTTGTAAATAAATACTGTAATAAGTTTGAACTTTTAAGGTAATTTTCCTTATTAAACAGGTTAAGGGTCTTGTTGTAGAGGGGAAGTACCACGTAAGAATGAATAACAGTAAATGTGTGTTTACTCTAGGGTTCCTGCACTGCACAGGTAGTAGGAAAAACCCTAAAAAAGTATATACAGTAGAGATTTATGTTAGTGTGGACAGCAGCAACTGTGTACCAAATAGTCCAACTGGTCACAAGATAAATGATAATGGAGTGTTCCTAACAAATATGGATGGTGATGTGGGTCTGGATAACATGAGTCATGAAAATTTTGTGACCTTTTTGGGTTGTGAAGGACTGAAGGGAAAGACAAGTCAATAGCATTACCAAAGTCTTAACATCTTTTAGATAACTATACCTGGATACCCAAATGATAAATAGAATATCTGTATTCACACTAAAAAAGGTGCAGCAGCTCAAAACATACCAATAATGAGAAATAATAAATTAGCCATGCATTACCTGAGCCATGATTGTGACTTTGAGTACTTAACAGTGGTGCACATGACCTTGGCTTAAGAGTAATGAAAGTGTTACCGTATTTTACAGCATATAAGACACTTTTTTGTCTGAAAATGGCTAAAAAATCACCCTGCATCATATATGTGAAGTTGTGGTCTCCCGCAAACTAATGAATCCCCCAGTTGCTGTCTCAAGTAAGATAAATTCTACCTTACCCAACTCCAGAATTAAAAATATGTTATTGCTTACTTAAACACATTATCATTTTTTTATTTAAAAAATAATTACAGTATTGTAAATATAAAAGGTCAATCTATAACTACTCTGTACTGTACTGATGACGATAAGCTGAGACGATTAACATCTGGACGGCAAACACCCACCTCATAAGAGGTAGCTAAGCATTAACCATTTCTGAACTCTTACAAGCATTACAATTGATTAATGCTATACCTGCAACATTTATTTTTCAATCTACAAATACCTGATACAAAAGAAGATTTACAGATAACTTTCTTTTCACATTTACATCGGTTAAGATCGCTGGCGGCATTGTAGCCAGGTTAGACTCATCTCTGTAACCAGGCTACTAGGCCAAGCTGTTTTTTCAACTCGTATTTTTGGGTAGGTACGGTATACGTAACTTTCTTCATTTATTTTTACTGATATACATGCACACACCATCCTATTATACTGTACTATATATATTGTGAAAAAAGTAAAAGAAATAATTGTCCTAAGGGCAAACACATAGAAGAAATATACATTTCTTTGCACACAAGTTAGCTGGCTTAGAGGGGGAGCAGGAGGATGGCTGGGCAGTTGGTGGTGGAGAGGGGAGCATTGCTAGGGAATCGGCGGAGCTAGCTTCGCCGTTGCTATGGTAAACAGGGAGTACAGAAGTACAGTACTGTATGTGCAAATGGTGACTGTGTTAAACTTTCATTTGGCTTTTATTACTGGTTTGGCAATGGAGTATTTTTTGTTGTAACTTACTTATTGGTATTACTTTTATTTATTCCTCACATTTACTGGTACTGTATTGTATAGTATATTGTTTTAAGAAAACTATGGATACAGGAGGAAAATACACAAAAGTTTTTTCTTAATACTGTACTCCCTGCTAAAATGGGGGGTGTGTCTTATATGGCTGTGCATGGTATATTAACTGACAGGGCTACATGCTAAGTACTGTATATGAACAACAGATGTACTGTAATATCAATTTGTAAAATTTTAAGACCCACACACTTTTTTGACCAAGAGTGATTTTATTACATGAGCTCTGCTAAGGTCTCTCTCTTGGTTAATTTAGTGGAATTCCCTACCAAAAATGCATTACAATGTCAAACATAACCAATTCAAATTAACCGTAGAGCAGTCAAAGGCCCAGCACCATTAGCACCAAGGCTAGCCACTCTTGTAAGATGAGCCCAAACTCAGGGAGACCAGTTTAAGATGTAAAGAAACTTTATACAATCAGTAACCATAAGTTATATTAGTCTTACTATATGATGACCTCTTGAACAGTTATAGTTCCTGCCAACTGACTCTTGAAGTGTTACAAAGGGACTCTGACACCTAACCTTTGTAGATGCAGCCTGGGAAGAGAGCTTGGTCTAAAGCTCTGCTCTCAAAGGCAATAAGTGTAAAACTAAGATGAATAGCAGATTGTTCCTCAATTCTACAGATGGCTTGTGCAGCTTTGGCATAAAGTGTTCTGATTGGACTGACTCAGCCAAATTGGAATATCAGCTTCTAAAGGGAAGCTATTCCAGCAAATCCATCCAATTTTGGGCCATATGGCATGAAGGGAATGGGAAGACAATTATTTTACCTTAAATGGGTGAATAAAATATCTGACTTACTTAACGGGGATAGCCTGGTGACAAAAAGCCCCCCAATCCAAGGCCTTGGTTTGTGAGAGCACTTCAACATGGTAAAAAAGAAGTGATATTCAGCATTTGTGTCTAAAAGAGATGTACAGGGGTCCCCAGGTTGTGAACGGGGTTCGTTCCCGAAGACGTTCTTAAGTCAAAAATGTACGTAAGTCGAAACACATGCTGTGTCCATACCGTACTTACAGAAAAATAAAGTCCCATTATATCAGAGCCTAAGTCCCTATATACATCTAAAATCACTTATATTAAGAGAAAAGAAGAAATAGAATGACAAAATACAGTAAATGAAAGTAAAAAGTTAGTCATCAGGTAAATAAAATACGTACTATAAATTTAAAGTTAAGCTTGTTAGTATCGGTGGGCGTTGGTGAGTCGGGGACCCCCTGTATTCTATTAAAGGATACATGATACAAGATGTTTCAATCCTGGCCATTATACATATTATAAGCATCAGTAATTAACACTGTCATAAATGACCAATCGTCCCAATGGCGAGTAAACTGACAAGTAATGAAAAGATAAACATCAAATATTCAGATAAGTTTTTCTTATTGGATTTTGCATATCATTAAGTGATATTAAAATTATAATTTAGAAAATGGTAACAAAAGAAGATAGGTATGTACCTTCACACAACCATAACCTTCATCATCGCGAGCTGACTCATTACCACGATGATCTGTTGGTTTTTCACATTCTAGGAATTCCAAAGGTCTGAAACAAATTTGCAAGTAAATTTATTACATAATTTCTTCAAACACTATAGAAACATTTCAATGAAAAACTATACAGAACATTTAAAGTAACGTATACAGCACACACAGTTAGTACAGGGTACTTACAACTACAGTACAGTAGATGGAGGAATGTGTGTTACCACTTATCATATATTGAGATACTGGTAAGCATAAAATCCAACTACAGCACAGACACAGAAGCTTTTGTTTTGTAAATAGAATAAAACCTCATGTGTCTGCAATGCATAGGGAATTGAGTGTGCAGGATAATCGTCTTTTCTGGATGCTTGAGTTACTCTTATAAATATGCATCTCAAACTCAAGAACATCTTAATAGTAAATATTATAAAAGGACACAGTAAATATAGTATTTTCTCAATTTAAGGGGAGTGTCTGGTTGAGATACAAGGGGCCTTAAATATTGGCTCAATGCTTTGTTATTCCTGTCACTAATTATGGACAACATGTACATCAATTTTAGCCCCCCAACTCCCTCCTCTGCCCCCTTCATATTTGGCTCTTTCCACCCCTTTCTAAATTTTCAAGGTGCTTCTCCATTATTATTTGCTCCACTATCTTGAAATTTATATGGTTTAGAGAATCCATGGTGCCCTTCAGTATGCTAAAATGATAAGTTAATTTTTCGCTTTGGCTTAGGCCTATGAATTTTTTTAAAATCACGTGTCGTTTTCTTCAAAATATTGAGATAAGATATTCTGCAAAAAATAAAAATCATATTCAAATAAAAAACCCCATCCTATTATGATGTTGAATGATCAGTGTTTGTCTAACTGAAATTCGCCAAGAAATGGCCGAGGTACGACAGTTTTGAATGTGAGAAAGTTAGCTTTGAGATAGAGGCTGATAGTTTTTTTGGTGGTAAATGTCATGTAATTTGCTAATCTGAGTTTATTTGACATGTAATTTTGTGTTATTTTGCATATTTTTATATCTCCAACAGAACTTGGTTAGGTAATACAGGGTATATATATATTCTGAACAATGGCAGTTAGGTCAGGTTAGGTTCGCACAGAAACTGATTTTGAGAAGAAACATAGCTTTTTCAAATGGGTTTTGGTGTGGTTCATTCGAATTTGATGATAATCTTTCTCCAAAACATGGATTCGATTCATGGGCAACATATAAATATTTACCAAATATTGTACAGTACAGTACTGTATTTAGACAAATTGAGGGCTAATATGGAGGACTTCACAGCTGATGCATTACTTGTTTTGATTTTTGTATTCTTACTTTATTTTCATCAGCAAGTTCTGATATACACGTAGGTAAAATTATCGTTTTGGTCATCCACCTGTTTGGAAGTTGAAATTATGTTTTTCCTGTGGTTTTTGATGTGATTGAACTATTCTGACCTCTTCATTTCTACAACATATCACTACTTTTTGAGCTATCCCCTCCCTTATCCAACAATAATTGGAGACCCACAGAGGGAACCAGGGGTTTTGGGTGGGGGAAAATCACAAAAAGTAGTAATTTGCAAAAGAAATGAATATCAGAACCGTCCAAAACCTAACCTAACCTAACCCTAAAGTTAACCCTAAACCTAAGCTTAACCCTAAATCTAAAGTTAACCCTGACCCTAAAGTTAACCTAACCCTATATTTAACCCTAAACCTAAGCTTAACCCTAAATCTAAAGTTAACCCTGACCCTAAAGTTAACCTAACCCTATATTTAACCCTAAACTTAAACCTAACCAAGCTAACCTAACCTAACTAAACTAACCTATTCTAATCTATCCTTACCTTATTAAGTGTAAGCAGTCAGACTATAACATATGTGTACTGCAGACTAGTAACAAACACACAGAGGACATAGAAAATATTCGGTGAATCCCTAACAAATTAATGCGATTTTCTCGAAAACAAATAATTTACGACGGAAACGGTACTAAGAAAAGTTGTTATAAATGATGATATATATACCTAAAACTGGACCAAAAAATGTTGTAGGACATTATGGGCAAAATTTGTAAGAAAGTAACCAATATATTATAGATCTACTGCTGTCACCTTAACCCTATATAAGAACCTCAATGGAAACAAGCTTATAATGACTATCTTTCTCCTTTGTTAAATAAGCTAACTATTTTACTGTTTGTATCTCAATAATGTCCTGAGCATGTTGAACTGATCTGAACTTAAAAGATTATTAACATTTATCTGATAGCAAGATCATACTACATATTGAATTAACTCACAAGAAAGAACAATTAACTTTAGGTGAATGTGGTATACAAATCTCTGAGCTGGACAAATCTTCACTTGGTCGTGGAGGTTCTGCCAGGATCTTAGAGGGGATAAAACTGACAGCAGATAATAGTAGTAATATAGTGAAGACGCCGTGCATGGTGTGGCTATGGTGGTAGACACTCATGGTGTGGCTATGGTGGTAGACACTCCAGGCCTACCAACACCACCTCCTCTCTTACATGATGTGATGACCATACCAATAAAACAAAAAATACCCAAAATTTATTGAATATTTTTAATTATCGCATTAAATTAATTGTTTTTTAGTGGTTATTGGAGGTGTTAGTAAGGGATGATGTGTGTTAAGAGAGGTAGTAGGTGTTTGTGGTGTGTCGCCTGGTGGTGGTCGGGGTAACTGCTGCTGCTGGTCACTCAGGAACAACACCACGCCGAGTATTGCTCTTTCCTTTTACTGATTTGTCTGATAAACTCAATTAATATAGTGGTGTTTAGTAATATAAAAGGTTAAGTAAACTCTCATCAAAGTAATGGATATGAAAAATGAGGCTAATGATGCCTCTAGACGTGAAGTTGAAGTGGGTGGTGGAGTCAGTAGTGAGGCGCTTGACAAACAATTGGAGACTGTGTCTATTGGGAACCAGGAATGTGAACAGCCTAAATTAACCTTAACCGAGTCCTTTATTGGTGATTTTAGTATTCCTTTAGATACTTCAACAATGGATACTAGAGAGAGTAGCTACGGCTCACATGAAAATGGTGAAGTGATGGTGAATGGTGTTGAGGTCAGCGGGAGCCCCACCATCACCACCACTACCATGTGTCACAGTCTCACCTCTCACTCACCACAACCTCAATCACACCAACAAACAAGTGATGAAGAAGCAAATTTTGAAGTTTCAGAACTAATAAATGAAATATTACACCAGTCATCATATTTAGATGAGGCAAGTTTGAATGGACTAGAATTTGTTGAGTCTTTGCCTGATGGTTTGGACAGTGGAGATGTGGACATTGCCATAACAAGCACAAGTGAAGTATTACCTCTATATCTTGATCATACAGAAGGGAGAAGTTCGTCACCAGATTCGGATTCTAACATGAGGACTGCCAGTGAAGGCTCTTCCACCCCGACGAGCCAGCTCTCTGCGCCCTCCACTCACTCCTCGGATCATCAAAATTACAGCAGTTTAGAAAATAGGGAAGTCATAAGCCAGCAGAATATCACTTTACTAGAACCTGAGTCAGAAAACAAGTTATGTGACACTTTGTCTCAACTTAAGGAGAGTAAACCCGAAGACGCGGAGGTTGTGGGTGTGTCGACTTGTGTAGAAAGTTTGAGTACCTTAATCTTACGAGAGGACGCCATTTCAGAATGTATAAGTAATTCAAATATTTCTGAAACTGGCCATTTAGATAATGCTGCATTGCAAAGTAGAAACGTAAGTAGTGACTTTAATACAATCGATACTTTAGGTAGTGATGAATCCAAAAGCAGAGAAAATGACTTTGAAATAAAGACAAAAGAGGATGAAAATGATACAGAAAGTGTGGACGATTTGCTTAGTGTGGAACAAGTAGATGTCATCACTACCACGCAAACTGAAAAATTAATGATGGTAGATAATGCAGGTGAAATGAGTACCTGCGAGACTGCCGTGAGTGTCAGTGCTGCCGATGTGAATGGGGTCGGTTGTCCTTTAACTGGTGACTCCAAAGAAGCTGCAGTTGACAATAAAGCTTTGCAATGTGTTGGTGACATTTGTGAAACTACTACAGCTTTGGAGAGCTTGTCCCTTAATACAGAGAATTTTGAAAATTTTAATGTTGAAACACCTGTGAATGTGGACAGTGTAAATGGTGTTTCAGAAGTGAAGGAGGAGGATGACATGACTAATTTTAGTGACAAACCTTCAAGTTCCTGCCATGACCAATTAAAAGATGCAAGTGCGTCTGAGGAAGCATCTTGTGTTGAAGAAGAGCAAGCATTGCCTGAGAAGGACACAGAGAGCAGTGCACACACAAATAATGATTGTTTGTGTAAAAGGTGTGTAGAGTCATTCATATCTATAAGAAGGTCCTGGTGTTAGCTACCTGTACTTCCAATTTTCTATAAGAGGTTAGGTTAGACCCTCATACAGACAAGTATATATATATATAATTGTCTGTGTGAGGGTCTAACCTACCCTCTATACTTATTTATTTATTTACAAACTCTTTTTAATTTTGTGCAAACTTGATTGGGGAGAAGGAAAAGTCTGGTTTCAGCTTTTGTAAATAATGCTTAAAGTATCGGCTTTATACGTGTACAGTCCTTGGGGGAGACTGTGTGTGTTGATGGGTGTAGGTATTGTCTTTACAGCGCCGCCACCTGTATTTATTGAATGCCTGCGTCTACATGTTATGGGTTAAGCTCCTTTGAAATTAAAAAAATATCATGTTTTTTTATTATGCATTATTTTTCTTAAATTTTATCTCTTTTAAATACAAGTTTTCCAATTGTTACTTTAAGTGTAGCTATGGCTATATGTATTATCTTCATGTGGCTTTTGTAGTTATTAAATTCTTTTATTTCTTTCATCAGGTAACATAAGACAATCAAGTTTAAATGAGCTTAAGTCTTGTTTCTCCACTTTGTACAATCAGGGTGTGCCCATTTCATCACAAACCCGTTTCGTCACCACAATTTTTTACCCATTTCGTCACCATTTCAAGGGCTTTGGACCTTCATTATGTATTCACTGAAGCAGTGAAGACGTAATGGCTGGTTTACCATCTCTGTGTACTTACTGTTACTACCTTCCTTTTTTCAGAAGCAGTAGATATCTCGCAAGTGTTGTCGAATTACCACTGGCTGTCCCGCCAGTCTCCGGTAATTTCCCAACGATCGGTATCGGTGTACAGACAAACAACAGGCCGGTAGAATTCCACCAGGTCACAGAAACACACTCTGTAGTTCTTCTTTAATAAACACTAATTCTTCACAACACTGTTAATAGGGCAATGTCTTCATAGTTTGACTCCACACTTCGAATATATAGTCAGCACACTATCAGTGTACAATTCCTTAGTCTTCTCAATTTATATTAATCACAACAATTCCACAATACAGGTACTTACATAACAATTGTCTTCGAGGCTTACAATAATAAGTAAATCATAACAAAAAATGATGCAATACATTCCAGAAAATTCTTACATAATTAATACATCAATAAATACATGAAAATTTCACTAAATTTGCCAAAATAACTGTTGCTTGGGATAGAAAATAATCAAAACCTCGTTTGCAAAATTGTATTAAAAAATTATGCCTCGGCATAACAATGCATTGGATCATGCAAGCATCTTGCTAAGACAATTTATTTAAGACTAAAACGAAACAAGAATAAAAACATTGTTAATACGCCTGCATTTGTTCTGTATTTTGTTTATTTACCATTGTTTTAATCGTTTTCATTATTAAATAGTTAATATTTATGTATAATAATAATAATTCTCGAGTCGTCTGTATACATGTGTAATTTCTATTCATGTAAAATAATAACTTACAATTTGTCACTAATGCCATCGACTAATGGTCTGTTAGTGGTGACGAAACGGATTTGATATTGGTAACGAAATTTTTGTTTGTGTTTTTTTGGTGACGAACCGGGTTGGTGACAAACTGAGGTGTATCCATTGTAACCTAACCTCACCTAATACAGTACTAGTATATAATAAAACCCTGTCTTTAAATGCATATTTGGGGAAAGGATTTTTTTTTCTTAAATCCAAGCTCTTACATTAAATAGCATTTTTTGGTTGTTATATACAGTAGTTGTTGTCGTATTAATACTGTAGATGCCAGTGTTACGGTATAACTGAACTCCTCAGTTATGCACACATCTGATTGTTTTAGTAGAATTAATAAATAGAGTAAGGCTAGTTACTGTACTTAATTTTTAAAAAATGATTTGTGATTACTGTACTGTATTCTAATTCATAGGTACTACTCATAAAAATATATTAGTAAGGAGACTGTCATGCTGTCAGTCCCTCATGTAAGGGGCAGCCAACGTGCTGCCACAAAAATCAATGTGTTGTTTATTGGTGAAAAGAAAGCCAGAAATGTCTGGAAGATGATGGTATATCACATAAGACCATTAATGGAACTGAAAACCCCTCATATTGTGGAAGGAAAATAATATGAGATTTTTTATTCATCTATTACAATGTAGTACTGCTAGTAACTCACCATTTAGCCTGACCCAAGTTATGCCTCCCAGGTCAAGCACCAGTCACACAGTGAGATTGTGACCACATGACCATGCTTGGCCAATCAACTCACTGCACTCAGCCACATTTAGACCCCTGATTTCTCAGATTTTTGTTTCAGGTGATTGGATGCATCCAGAAGGCCACTCCTTATTTGTTTGTCAAGTATATAAACAAAAGTGAAATAGAAAGAGCTTTCCTTTGTACTGGTACTGGTAGCTAGTCATCATGTTGTAAATAATTCTGAATTCATGTGTAAGCTTGTTAAAAAAAAAGAATTTTAACAGTGTTTATTGTTCTTTTATGATAAAAATCTCAAAAGATTTTAAATATTACACACACACATGATCTTGTATCTAGCAGATTACTTTTGGTAGCTATGTCTGATTGGTTTGAAGTCAGGAAGCATTTGAACAAAACAAACCAGTCTAGTGTCAGCCATGTGACATATATATAGAATATATACACAGCCACTCCTCGACTTACGACCACCCGGACATACGACCGCCCCAGTCATACCAAAATTTTTTCAAATTACGTATTTTCGAGTCCCGACGTTAGTGGTTGTGCTGTGTACTGAAAAATTGTTTGTTTGTAATCCCATTTAAAATGGCTGGCATGCTTAAAAGTAAGAGTTTTGTGGTGCCGAGAAGAAAAAGAGACACCCATTTTAGATTTTCTATGTACCGGGTATTATCTTCGCATTTTCGACTTACGACCTGGATTTGGGTCCCTAACCCCGTCATAAGTCGAGGAGTGGCTGTATATATATATATATATATATATATATATATATATATATATATATATATATATATATATATATATATATATATATATATATATATATATATATATATATATATATATATTCAACATACTTAGATTTTCTTTTATCAAGATTTATCTTATCCACGTTTTCATATATATATATATATATATATATATATATATATATATATATATATATATATATATATATATATATATATATATATATATATATATATATATATATATATATATATATATATATATATATATATATTCAACATTTGACTTACTGTATATGGAGCATGATGGGTCAACTATACCCTTTCCACGCTAGCCTGGCCCTTGTCTATAGCTACAAATAGCTGATTGGTTCCCCTTAGCATTCTACCTCCCCCCAGACTGTGCATGTATAAGCGTGTATTTATATCGACCTTTTATGACATTTTAAATTTTCTAACATCCTCTGAAGTGCAAATGCCTTGAAATCATTTGCATTTTGATAGTTCAGATATTTATCATTATTTTTGATAACAGGTCTGCTTACCTATTGTGAACACATTTACCCTAGTTGAGTTTTCTATGAACTAATCAACTATTAGTATAGATGAGGAGCGTGGCTTATGGGCCTGTTTAGCGTGGAAATACTATAGATACTGTAATTTTATTTAGAGGAATTTTTTATAGGTGTTTTACACTAAGACAGAAAATATTGAGTGTTGAGCATCAGTTTTTTCATTAGTACATGGAGGAGGATTTTTATAATTGGAAATGCCCTGTACTGTACAAAGATTACATAGATAGCCTTATAGCTATCACCTCTCATTCTGAAGACTTCGTGTCATAGGAAAGCTTGTTGTATTTCATGAACCACATACGGTACATAACATACTTACAGTACTGTACTGTAGTTCCATTTTTTGGACTTGAGATGAATTGCATTCTCAAAATTCTCCAAACTTGCAGTACTGTACTGTACTGTATCTTTTACTGTGTTGTAACAGAATGTTTAAAAGCCTTTTCTATTTCTGAATTTTTCAGGGTCACTTAGTATTCGTGGGTGTAGTATAGTTGTAGACCTTGAGTGTCTTGATTACAAAATGGTAAATCTCATGGGTCCCTGTTTTGTTTGGGAATTCTTCCTTTTCATATTACATGGCATGAGATTTAGTGTACCTAGTATATGAGAAGGGAGCTGATTTCACCCAAATCATTTCCATGGCAGAGATATCCTGTATAGTACTGTATAGTTTCTCTATATTAAGTCAGGGCATACTTGGTACGGTACCGATATGAGATATTTTACTGTATTTCCAGTTATTATTGGGATAGAGGACTATTTTTTCCTACTGATTCATGGACAACTCCTAAGAATTAAAACCTGACCTTAATAGATGGTGTAAAGGTCAAGTTTCCTAAGGGTTCATGTTCATGTGATCCTTGGAGCCTTTGCATCATCACCTTTTTCTCTTAGCTGGCTTGTAATTAGCAATAGCCACTAGGCTGTAAGGTACAGTATACAGTACAGTAGCTAGAATCAAAGACAGCTTGGACACCCTCTGTCATCCTTTGGGTTACTGGATTATTCAGCTGAAATTGAAGTATGATGGAGTGGCTTCATGGTTTCCCTTTTATGTTCTTTGTAAAATCTTCCTATTCTGCATGATGTGCAGTATGTAGCTAACCGGTTAGGAGTGTATTTCATGTAACTCATCTCCATGATACTGTATTATACATTGCTCTAGCCTATTAATTATTAGGACGATACTGACAGCATCTCCTTTCCCAAAGGTTTGAGGATAACATTGTAAGACTGCAGGGTTGACTCACCCAGGGGTGCATGTCTGTCTAATCCTTTGAATATGTAATAACACCATCTTTCTCTTGTCTAACTGCCTTTTGATACAGTGATCCTCTAAACTTTTTGGCATTTTTTAGAAATAGCTAAGGTATTGATCCTCTAATCAAGTTTTATAGCAGATGAATTAGTCAACTGGAATTAATTTCAATATGCCAGCTTAATTTTGAAATCAAACATGGCAGACAGTAGGCTTGGCATAGGTATGTTAATTAGACACACATGGCTCAATTGTTTAAGGGCTACCCCAAGGGCAACTGTTGCAGTAAGTTCCCCTCATGACAGAGTGGTGGGGAGGGAAGGGTGATTGACTGTCCCTGTATGAGTTAAAAGAATAAAACATCCTCTCTTACAAGAGCTGCCTGGTTGTTGGCTTTGCTAAAAATAAGATGACGGGATAATTTGTTAATACAGGTACAGTATTACAATATTACCTGCATTAGCTACTACAGTATCATTATTATTTTATTATTAATTTTCCAGTATTTATTTATTATTACAGGGCATTATATATATATATATATATATATATATATATATATATATATATATATATATATATATATATATATATATATATATATATATATATATATATATATATATATATATATACATGAGTTCTGCTATAACGCGTGTTTTGATAACGCTAATTTGCTCTAACGCGATTTATGAATTCGGAACAATATTTGTATAACGCGATCGCTTGTTTGCTATAACGCGATTTTTGCTTACTATTTCTCCAATTTTGTGGTATTAACTGTGAATATGGTAAAGAAGAATATCTCCAAAAAGCATTCTGATGATAGAATTCCCGGTGATTATCGTAAAAGAAAGGATATAACACTTGAAGAGAAGCTTGATGTTATCAACCTCAAAATCACCCTTCTCCCCCATCAAGTTACATTCATATTTTTTCAAGGTAAAGTGTTAAATTTACTGTATGATTTCATTATTAGATATGAATGTAACATTTATTTAGACTGTGCTATCCTTTGTGTTAGGCTAACTACTAAATTTTTTCGATTTCGAGTAAACTGCACCTAACCCTATTTTCTCCATAAGCCCTGTTATTTCTATTACGCGATTTTCTATAACACGATATTTTACAAGAACACAATTATCGCGTTATAGCAGAACTAATATATATATATATATATATATATATATATATATATATATATATATATATATATATATATATATATATATATATATATATATATATATATATATATATATATATATATATATATATATATATATATATATATATATATATATATAATTTTTTTTTAATAAGCAAGGTTCCAGTCACAGACAGTTGTTTCCATTGATTTCAGGCCTTTTATGGGGAAAAATTAAAAAGAAAAATGTGAGATGGTAAAGAATTCTAATATTTAGCAGTTAAAAGAAGGAAGCAGGTGTTACACTGATCACCCTTGAGTTGCTAACAGCCACATAGTACTGTACTATGTGACACAGTGGCATGTTGAGTACTGTGTGACCTCTTCAGCTGGGTGTGTGTCTGGTGGGGGACAGATGCAGCCAACTCTTGGAAGCAGAAACAAAAGTAGCTACAGTAATACAGTATTTATAGAATAGGGAGAGGGAACCAACAATGTGGTAAAAGGAGAGTGTGCTCAACTTAGAAGTTAGAAGTGGAGAATTAAGAGGATGAGTTGCTTTAGACTCAACTCTGTATAGTAAGTTAGTGGAGCTAGAGCCCCCTCAGATATAAGAGTACCTGGTATGTATTGTACTGTACCTGGTTATAGTCTGTGGTGGGATGAATCAATCATGTGTGTGATTGAAGTAGTTTCTCTGAAGAAATTAATCATTGAAAACTAAACAAAACTCCCAGTTTTGGGAGGCAGATTAACTACTGTATTGGAGTAATGGGGTTAACATTATGGGGGAGAGGTCAGGTTGATTCAAAGCATAGCTATTTATTGGATGAATTTTGAGCCATCAAATTGGATGGGAAATAGTGAGTTTTAGAAGAACAATAGGATGAAATTAAATCTTAAAAGCATTGAATTTCACCATGTAATATTTGTCCTTCTGGGAAATTCTATCCAGGCTCAAATTTAAATGATCCATTGTCAACTGCAGATGTTGCATTTTTTAATTCTCCCAGTTGGAAAAGGTCATGGTTGGCAGGGGTTTTGTCTAATAGGAAATAAAGGTTTAACCCAGTGGTTCTCAACCTTTTTTCACACCATTCCCCCCTTGAGGAATTTTCAACATCCTCGTGGCCTCCTTCATTTTTCTCCCAGAACAGACAAACAGACAAGTGATAAAGACTAAAGAATGATAAAGAAGGACAGATAAATAGGACAAGAGTTAGAATGGCAAACACACACACACATTCACATACATAACACGCCCATGCACTCACACATAAAGCACACATACAGTCATACACAAACATGCACACAGGTAAACATTCACACTCAAGCTAGCAAGCTGAAGTGCACTTCCTGTAAGCAAGAACACGCCTCCTTTGACAAGCACTGCCCAACTTGGAAGAATGAGAAGAATAGTGAGTCATACTAATTTAGCACTAAAAATAGTAGGATTATATAAGTAAAGAATGAGCATGAACAACAATGGCACCAATAAATAAGGAAATAATTAATAAAGGAAGTGTACAAATATTTCACTCACGTAAAGCAGCGACCACATGAATTATGAAACAAAATAAGTAACACCAATTATGGAGTATATTATGCTTGAGTCAAGCTCAAACACAATATATGGTTCAGAGACAATACACCACTGTTTTCGTGATGGTATCCCAGGCCAGACTGAGATCATTCGGTCCTATCACTACTTGCAAAGAGATGACACAAGGACACGTACTGAACAAGTCAGTTCAGCAGCTCGGTCCAGCGCTTGTCACACAGACAGGGACTGGACCTGTGAAATCTTAAATAATCCGTAAAAAAAAATATAAAAAATTAGCACCAGAGTATGTAAATATTAAAATTGTATTGTCGTTATGATTAAACAAAATGACCAAAAAAGAATGAAAATTCTCTTCTGCCAAGTCAAAATAAGTAATACAAGTTTTGTTTAATTCAGATTCCCAACATTATTTGGAAACGTACAATTTATAACAGCTCGCCGTGGCTCCCTTGGGGGCCATGGCCCCCAGGTTGAGAACCACTGGTTTAGGAGAAATGACTCCTGAGAGATGTAACTAAAGTTGTGAAATATACAGCCAGGGGTAAAAAATGAGTGTGGTACCTTATTTACTGTGCTGAGTGTAACTAATAAAAAAATGTACTGTATAAAAATACTTTTCAGTACACTGTACAGGTGTTAGAAACCCTAAAGAACAGTGTAATGGACTGGCCCCCGTGATGCCACATCTTTTGTCTTTAGAGATGAAGCTTCATGTAGGCATCCTCTTCCAGAACAGGCCTCTCATGTTAGTGTTACCCATCTTCATTATGAGCTGTTTCAGTGACAATGTACTGTACTCTATTAGGGGTACAGTACAGTATTTTACCATGGTCACATGGTTTGCTTATACTGACTTCCCACAGTTTTCTCATTCTCTTTCATTCTCATTACTTTCCCCACACTTTGTAGAATAGCACCACTTACATCACAAAGCTTATACTTTGATGTCATATTGCAGGGCAAAAAAAAAAATTTTACAAGTTCATTTAGAGTCGCATCACAGAGATGTTTGTGGGGGTGAGCACCACTGTGAGAAAGAGTAAGGGTGGGAGGAGTCTGTGAGCTCACTCATGTATAGTATATACCTCTTTACGCTTCAGCCACAGCCTTAAGAGGCTGGTGATGGGATCCTAGCTGCCCTACAGTCCCTCCCCGCTGGGCTAGAAGTCTCCTGCAATGGTCATGGAATTTTGTGGATATGGTACTAAAGCTGTGTGCTGTGGTTGTTAAAACATTGTACGATAGCTATATAAAAAATGGATGCCATACTTGGAACTGCAGATGGTAAACCCATACTTGGCAAGTGATTGCTGTACAGCATTACTGTTGCTGTACAATCCTGTAATTTGTAAAGAAAATATGGCTTGTATCTTTGGGGATTACTGTAATTTTCCCTGTTATTCATGGTTTTATGTAATACAGGGTATTTATGATTTGATAGCTTTTCTGTATTTGCATGCATCCTGAAGTTTCCCCATACTGTACTGCATATTGATTGATGTGTCACTTGCTGTACATATATTTCTTGAGGCTTGTCTCTTACAGAGATAGTTTTATGGATTTTGTGAGCCATAAGTATATCCTGGTCATGATAAGATAAGCTAAACCAAAAAGTGTTCAGGGAATTTTGTGTGAGGAAAGTGTTGAAGGAGGGATTCCCAGAATTGTGTGGTGATACCGTATTGTATATTTTTTGTAGGAAGTTTATGTCATATAAGTCAATAAAAACAGTAGGCAGATAAATAAGATGGTGTATACTGTGGCCAGATTCTCATAACTCATTTTTGACTTTCTGGAGTGAATTGAAAGGTACAGTATTTGTTCAGCTCATATTTTAAAAACTTGATTTCATGTTTTACTAGATTTACCTTATACATGTACTGAATAGGTGTTAAGAGAAAGAAAGATGTGTTATTAAAAGAAAAGATACATACCATACTGAGTCATGTAGGTAGAGTATTTATTCATATTTTTTAAATTTCAAGTATTTGTACAAATTAACTTGTGTATTGAAATAATGGTTCACCTTTTTTCATTACATCAGAATGCAAGCTGTGGAGGAGGGTGGTAATGTGATGGTGGGGGTGTGGGCAGAGCTGCGGTCTTCCTTACGCCAGCTTCACCGTTCTATGATCCCTCAGTCCATCCAGGGGTCTGCTCATCGTTCAAGACCCTCTTTAAACCGCATCAAGGCTCTTGCTAACATGTAAATGTCAAGTCATTTTCTATTGATTGATTTATAGTTTAAAGATTGATAAGTGTTCATTTATAACTATAATTTACTTAGTTGTCTTTAGTGGAATATTACTAATGTCTTTACATATTTTATAGAATATTGCCAACAAATGGTAAGTTTTAATGTTTCTATTATGTCTATAAATACCACTGCTACGTTCACCTACTTATGAATGGAAGATTGATATTAGTGCCACTTTTTAGCTTAGGGAATGAGTTAGTGGTCTGGTGAGATTTAGCAATGAGTGGGTGTATGCAGAGCCCACTTTACAAGCTTATGCTTAGTTGCTTAATGGTAGGGAACACTATCCTCTCAAGTAATGTTTAAGCCAGAAGCACAATAGTACTCTCTCATCCAGTGTATCTAACTGCTGGTACAGGTGGACTCATTCACCAGTGAGGGTTCAGGTCAGTAGTTTTCACACATGGATTACTGTGGTGTGATCCTTCAATTCTTGATCTATATACTGTATCAAAATCTTACATTAATAGCACAGTCATCCAACGAGGTGATTTCATGGTTTTCAGTACACTAGCACCTCAACTTGCATAAGAGATAGGCTCCTGGGACACCTGCAAATGTAGAATTTTTGTGAATAGCAGTCTTTAGTATTATGGTGTACCATAAATTAAGGATAAAAAATAAATAAAATTCTGCAAAAAATAATATTTAAGCTCTTAAATACTACACAGGTATGTACAGGTACTCTATACGGTTGTATTAGGTGTTTATTATGTGTAGATCAAAAATAAATTTAGTGAAAAGCAATGTGTTGTCTAATGGTAGACCCTGCTGCCATATGTGACCAAGTCCCAGGTTGCTGAGCTGACTTTTTACCTCATTTACACAAAATTGAAGGGTCTCAATTGTTTCTCTTACTATTGACAACACAACATACACACACTGTACTGTGTATATATATATATATATATATATATATATATATATATATATATATATATATATATATATATATATATATATATACACTTTGTTAGCTTATTCTCTCATATTTTATGAAGAACTGAAGTGAAAAATAATATTTTTTTCTCAGGTTGGTGACCCATGATGCACATCAGTTGTACATGCGCATCAGTCACTTAGCTCATGAGCTGTGCATTGAATTGAAGGTGCGACTCCTAGCAACAATTAATGACAACCCTTCCCCGGAAGAGGCAACTACTTTCATTCAGGGTAAGCCACTTGAGACAAGTAGTAGATAGGGGTATTTTATGACCTATGTGTCATCAAAGAGCTCCTCTATTGCCTGTGGCTGATGGGTAGTTTAATGACATGATTTACTCTCATGGAGGACATGGATTTGATTACTCATGTTTTGTATCAACAGATTTATTGACTGTGCCCCAGGGTTTCTAGGACCCTTTAACTTCTGTGACTGAGATTTTATTCCAGAAATTCTGCAACAACCAGAGAACTATAAATAGTATCTCTCCCAACTTAGTTAGCTACAGCTCCTTATCAAGAAAGAATGTTTAAGGTGTCAACTGACAGGCTGAGAGTTAGGTGTCCTCGCCTCCTGTGTGTGTGCTTAGTTCTTTGCAGGTTTGAAAATGGGGAGTTAGCTTAATACCTCAGTTTCCAGTCACATCTCATTCTGTTGGGATATCTTCCAGTTGACTCTGTTTTCAACAGTTAAATTAGGATAGACTTCTTGTTTTGCAGTCTTGAATGGATTTATCTTGCTGCTTGGGTATTTACAAATATTTAACAATCCAAGTTGTAGTTAACTGCGAGCCGAGGGCTGGGACTCACCACCACTTGGCATTGCATCAACAGTTCACAGCGCGTAACTCAACTCAGTTTTTCCAGATGCAGGGTCAGCAGCAACCTGTAACCCCCTACACCCGTTGGGAGATGCTTTGACTTTGTTGTGATTTTGATGTCTGTCGAGAATCTGCTGTAAGTTTTGACAAGACACTGACAGTAGCTGGCAACTTCCAGCTTGTCATGTTCCCTTTTACTCTTAAAGGAATATTTCACAAACACCAGTTTGTTCTAGGAAAACATTTTACTTGACCTATAAGAACTGATGAAGAAAAAATTATTAGAATAATGGATGTATATAAAAACTGTAAGTGATTATTAACATGATGTATTTTGAACGGATATCAGAGGTGAGGCCCAGACTGTCGATTGATCATGTAGTATATCACAAGTCCTGGTGTGCCTCCCGGTGATGTTGTTTCATTGCTGATTACACTACAGTATTTCTTATTGTCGTATTTCCTCCAACATACAATGTTTTTTATTATGTTATAGGTAAATACTGTGCATGGTTTATATAATTTATCACTGTGCCCGTCACCATTTTCAAATTAGACTACAAGATGTGTATTTCTCTCAAACGTATTTCGATCATATGCCTGGCAACAGGAGCGAGTGAGTGGCCACAAGTTAAAGCGTTGTCTGCAGTTGTATCTGTCCTCCCTCCCTCCCTGCCATATACTGTATTAGTGTTTACTGATATAATAGTGATTAAGCATGGCATTGTAGCCAGGTTAAACTCATAACTGTAACCACCAGGCTACTGGGCCAGGCTGTGGTGTTATGGTTGTTTTTTAACTCAGTTACCTGCACACACCATCCTACATACATATTGTGAAAAAATATTAAAATAAATAAAATAAATTATTGTCCTAAGGGCAAATACGTAACGGGAGGAGAGCTCAGAGTGTAGGGTAATATGCAAATGGCGGCTGTGTTGAACTTTCATTTGGCTTTTATTTACTGATTTGGCAATACAGTGTTTTGTTGGTATTATTTTGATTTATTCCTCACATTTCCTGGTCCTGTATACTGTACTGTATATTATTTTAAGAAAACTATGGCTACAGGTGGAAAATACACACAAAAAAATCCCCTAAATACTCCCTACCGTAAAATATGGTACTGTATACTGTATTTTTGGTGTTTTTTTAATGTCATTATTAATCATTTTTATACATTTAGTACATTCACCGTAGGCTGAAGTAGCATTCAAATGTTTTGCATTATTATTGAAAAATTAAACAATAACCATGGCCCCTAGGAAAGTGTTTGGTATCCATAACTTATGTTGTATTCCAACAATTTTAGGTGTGTGTGACTCATATCAGTGGGTGATGAGTGTGTGTGAAGCGCTTCACCCAGCTCTGGAGCGCTTAGATTCTGAGCACCTGAGCCGATTTAAACTCAACTGGGTGACAGTCAACATGCACATCTTCCACTCAACCATTCTCACTGATCCCGATATACAGGACTATGCACAGATATGCAAACAGAAGGTGCGTAAAAATTATTGTTATGCATAAAATTTCTAAGTCAACTGGGATTGACTGGAATATTATTTAACAGTTAAACTACATTATCATTTCCAGGTATTCAAGTTGTCAAATAAGATCCTGTTTACTGTCAAGGCATGTGATTTTTTTTAGGTTATTGGTTATTACGGTATATCTTGTAAGGATTGCTATGCTTTGTTTTTTTATTGTTAAAAAGCTTTTAGTGTGTGTACTATATTTGCATGCATGGATGAAGGAGATATAGTCATTCATATTTATTATTAATAAATGTTGATTCTTTAGTTAAAGTTTGCCAGAGATGATTGAAGTTCAAATTTCTTGCTCCCAAATTTTTTTTTATCTTAGTACATCACTTACCTAGCTTGTCATTCATAAGATTGTCTGGAACAGAGGAATTTGTGGTAAAATAAAACTTTTGCCATCCACTTGCACTGCCAGTTATTGTTTAACTTTGTACAAAATGGGTACTCACTTGTTCCATTATGTATAAATTTTGCTTAATTGGAAGAGATGGTGGGTAACCTTTTGATTTAATTATGCTTTAAGCCCTGCCTTCTTGGAAGCAAGTGAGCATTACTGAGATGGGTGCCAAGCCTATGATGACTCTTGGTCCATATGAGCAACATGGCTAGCTGGGGTATATTTAAGAGCTATCAAAAGTGGTGTTGCTCACTGTCGTACACTCCGGTCTGTAATACTGTAAGTGGCAAATAAAGAGAGGATTAACTTTTATGGGTCATGTCTATCAAATCTTGGAGCTTTTTATGGCACCACCTCCTCCCTCTTGTTCAGTTTCCTTTAATTCCAATAGCTACCTGGCTAAAAGGCAGATACCATAATTAGGAGATTGATCTTGAAATTCTATTTAGTGACAGAGCTGTAGCCAGGTAGCTTGGATACCCTTCCTTCTCCCTTGAGTTCATGGTTGAGTCAGCTGGTACTGAATTTCAAAGTGGCAGAATGACCCAATATTGCACAGAAAAGTCTTTAATGCATGAGGCAGGAGGCAGTAGTGTTTGTACCTGGTGATAGACATGCTGCATCAGTGAGGGTGATGGAACCTGTTATATGCTCTCACAACTTATTTCTTATACCAACAATGGTAAGCTTACACAAGCAGTATTGTACTTCAACTCTGATGACTAAAGACTGTATATGTACAGTTACCACTATCACATCACTATGCAAGTATAATATTGTAAGGTTAAATTTGGGGGAAAAAATTCTTAAGACTGGCTTGCATCACAAATTAACTCTTTCACTGGCAGCATGTGTGGTCCAAATTTCACCCGAAGACGAGCTGATAATACAAATCCAAAATGCTGTGATTTTTTCTTCTGTTTATTTTCATTTATTGGTAAAATTATGCCTTTATTTTTCAGTTATAAAGATAAACTATCTGTGACTAAGTGATAAAAGAACAATATAGCTGTATAAATGATATAAGATGGCTGAAAATGAGTGCGGAAAGCTAATATCTTATGCTCCAGTGTGAGAGTCGTGGGAGACATATCACCTCTTATGGTCCACTTAATTGATGCAAATAGCGTCATCGGCTGACGAAAGGGTTAAAACAGGTTTTGGGTTGAAAAAGTTTTGGGCTGGAATATATCTTGGCTTTTAATATGGGATCTTATAGGAAAATGGATGCCAGTTAGCAAGAATTCACCTATGAGCACTTTTTCAACCACCCAAGTCATTCATTAAAAGGGACCTTACTGTGTAGGTTTTTAGAGTTGATTACCTAGTTTGTCCTTCAGGTGTTGATGCTACCTCAAAATCTTTTACCCGGGGGTTCTTAAACTGGGATGCGCAAACCCCCAAGGGTACGTAGGAAGGTTTCCAGGGGGTATATTGAGGGCTGGCAAAAATCAATAAAGATATACTAATTTCACCAGATTTAATTCATGAGGTGATATATATTTAATGTTATATTTACTATATGGAAAGTAGCATCTCTCCAATCACCAAATATGTTGTAACACTGCCATTCTATAATAAATTAGTGTTAATGTAGTACTATTCTATATTCAGTGTCTCAGTAATGGGGGTACGGGTTGATGGTCTGATAACTCAGGGGACACCTGGTGAGAAAAAGTTTGAGAACCCCTGCCAGTTAGCTATACTGTACACTTGGGCAGTGTGTACATCAGAGAACATGACTGCTGCATAACATCATACATACGTACTGTCTGGGAATGTTTGATGATATGGAGGGAAAGTATGGAAAATCAACAAAGTGTAGCTTCAGTGATATTTAGTAAAACTTAATATTACAAAATAGAGTGAAGGCAAAATGAAAGAGATGGAAATTTGGAAGATAAATTTTGGCTGGGAAATGAGTCATTTTGTTATAGATTAATAGATCAAATTTAATTTTATTATTGGAATTAAACTTCTTGTATCAATTATGGGTGTTTTTTTACTCAGGTTTTGTGTCTTCATTTACCATCAAAATTTGTTTTACTTTTTATTTATATTTTTAATCAGCTAAGCGGTTCAACTGGAGGGGATGACGTCATGGGGTGCTTAGCATCACTTCACCGTACTCTAGCAGTAGCAGAGGCAGTGTGGGTGCGCGCTGATGTTCTACTGCAAGATTATGCCGTTGAGCGGGCTGCTGTAAGTACTCGTCGCAGGCAGCTTCTTGCTGACTGGGAACAGTTCAAGGCACAGCAGCGATCACAGCATCACCAAGAACATGCCGTGAAAACTGGGGTGCAAAATTCTACCGTGACATCAGCAGCAGGTACATTGTCACCTTTATTTCTGTATGAGAAAAAAGGAAAATATATTTTAGGAATACCGATATCCCTTGTTTAGTGTTAATTCGCTATTTGTTTGATTGATATTTTTCTGAAATAGAACAACAGTGTCCTTACTATTATACATTAATTATTTATTAAAATAATATTTTTTTTGTTCATTAATTGAAAATCCATTGGTCGAGACTTCCTTAAAGGAGGTATGATAATAGTCTTACTAAAGAGTCATATGTTATTGGAAAAGTGAATGTAGCAGCTGGATCAAATCTAGAAACAGGCACTAATCTTTCTAATGTGTTGGTCCAGTCGGCTGTGACATTTAAAGTTTATTTACAACAAAATATATTTGGTAGGGCAGTTACGGAGAACCAGTGGGATTAACCCATAGGCTTTGGTTCACGTCACATGAAGTTTTGTAATTTTGCGGTACTGTTTGAATTGTCACATTGGCTTGGCTAGATCACGTTGCCAAGTAGGCATTTATCTTTCACTTGCTCACACGTGCGAGCCTCCCCAGACGATGGGGATGATGCGCCGTAGTCCGTGAGGACGCATAACGAAGTAGTGTCTGATCACCGGGACGTTAAACAAGTTTTTGGTCTCCAAAGTTTAGCGACGCAGTACTGAAACGACGTTAAACGCTGACTTACTGTATTGTATAGGGATCTCACCCTTGGACTTCTCTCACCTCACCATGTGTTTCTACCCCCAACTCATAAGAATGAGTGTGGTAAGGGACTCTTAGCCATTAACAGATTTGTGATCAATTGAGGTGTCACTTAAAGTAAGGGCGTAAGTGCTAATCTGACATTTTGAGATTCAGTAAAACCTCGCTAAGGTGGGCCCCATAAAGGCAGACCCCCTCTTAAGCCAGACAAAATTATCCCCCCCACTACCCCAAAAAAAGTGGATATAATTTGTTGTAAGATGACATGTCCACCATAAGCCAAGGTGGACAGACCTTGTGATCCACCCACGCCACACACTCTTGTAAACAAAGGGAGATGCATCACTCGCTCAGTCATAAATTAGCGTCGCCCATTATAGCATCAATTCTACTCACTCACTCCGTCTATTGTGTTTTTTATTGCCATTTAGACGTGTTGAACTTTATTTTTAAACTTATTTGATATTGCCAGTAACATGATTATGCTATAGGCTGATATAGCATATATATTTTTGCATTATTATTGAAAAAGTAGCCAATAACCAGGGCCCCTCAGAAAGTGTTTGGTGTCTGTAAGGCTGGTGAGATGGTTAAGCCAAAAACCTTATCAGTGAACGAAAAGTTAAAGGTGATTGAAAAAATAGAAAAAGGTGCTGCTCCCTCACAAATATGCGCTGAATACGGAATTTCAAAGCACTCGGACTTAGAGTGACTGCAAGCCTCTTGCAGTCAGAGGCCGAAATAGCCTAAAGGCGAAGTGGCCAGTAGTCCCCAAAACAAGTACAAGATCAAGTTTTGAGGAACTTCTTTATCCCTGCAACTCCCAGAAGTCACTCACCCTAATATTTGGTGCGTGAATACAATGGGTGATGCAAATAGAACACAAATTGCAGATAGTATTAAGATGGTTAAAAGAAACGCAGTTGACACATGTAGATAGTTAATAAGTGGATAGTAGTCTCTCCTGTAGTGTCAAGGTACTGTATGTAACAAAGCTTTCATTAGCCAGAAGTGATAGAGACAGAAAGAAAATTGCACTGTTTTTGGTCCATAGTGTGAAGTATAATACATAGGGTATGGCTCGCCCATTATGCACATGAGACTTACGTGATTTTTCTATCATTTATTGTGTTAATGGAATATTTTTTATAATTACGCTACAATTTTTTTTTTCCATACAGAAGATGGTGTAGCTCAGTGTCCATGTGATGACTGTGCTGGTGGCCGGGGCAAAATGAGCGACTCCCAGTCCTCTTCTGTTAATAGTAGAATTCCTCTCTCATCCACATCAGACATCCGCCCGCCCTCAAGCTGTGAATGTCACTTCTGCAATGCATCAATGTCAGCTGCTGTAAGTTTTATGTAAAATTATATATACTGTATACAATACTTTATGTAGGCAATATAACCTCTTTAAATTATTTTTAGTGTCCATGTAAAATGTTTTAGCTCCTATTGGTCTTGTCCTCCATCACTTTTTTTTTTACTTTATACAGTATTCATAAAACAGTACCATTTAACCCTTAAATGGCAGCCAAGGATTCCCTAATCTGCCCCCATATGTGAAAAAAAAAAGGAATACAAGGAACACAAAACATCCATTGATGTTGGCTGCCGTTCTTACAGCTAACATCCGGAAAATTCCGACTTAAGAAATGATTTTCCAAGGAGCACATTTTCCGGAAAATTCTGAGAACATTTTCCCGATGCCTGGATAATTCCTGAAAATTACGGGGATGGGGGAGTTTTTTCTGGGTTTGAGAGATGAAAATCAGGCGCCTTTTCCATAAATTATGAGAACATCTTTCATTACCTGGAAAATTCTCGAAAATTCTGGGGATTGAGGATATTTTCCTGGGCTCGAAAGATGATGAAATGGGCAATTTCTGGAACTTCTGAGAAAATTTTTCTGTAACTGGAAAATTCCTGGCATGAGGGATTTTATTCCGGCTTTGAGAGCGTCATCTCCTCGTTACCCAGAAATATCTCATTCCCGGAAGTGGTCTGCACTAATTGTTCCAGCTAACGGAGATATCACATAAACAACCCATAGTTGGCACCTAGAGATTTTTTTCCCGACCAATGGATATCGATAGCTATTGGATGGGTATCGTTAAAGCAAGTTGTTTTGGTCGTACATAGCAAAATGGTGTTAAAGTGAAATATCGCATCTCGGGATATCGTATTTCGGGGGTTACCTGTACAGGTGTATCCCAAAAACCGACATCCCATTAACCGACGATTACATTTAGGGGAAATGCCTCGCAAGTTCCATTGATAACCTGGAGATATGATGATCGAGGGAGGAGCGGCAGAGCTTTTTTTAATTTGGCGGGTGGTGGCATGTTGTGAATTCTTGCCACGAGAGGGCTCTGTGCCCTTCTTTCAACTTACTCCCGCCTCTCTGCATTTGTTTACACTTGGTGTTTTTTCGTTATTTCCGACTTCGTTTGTTACGCAATCATGCCTAAATGCCCCAGTGATAGTTCCTCTTCTGCTGGCTTCATGTGATGTGATAAGGCGTAATAAGAGTGGACCAGCAAAGATCGGTAGAGACTTGAACTTGCCATCCTAGACTGTCTTTACCATCTTCAACATAGGTAAATAACAGTTTCAATTTATGCTTTATATTCCTTATTTAATGATTATTATGCCTGCTTTATATGTCTGCTTTATTTTCTTGCTTGACAGTATGCAGATACTGTATATCAAAAGTAGTTGGGAGTTTTTTGGGGGGCTGGCCTGTCCATAATCCCCTGAATTTGTTATTATTCTTATGGGATTAATTGCTTTGATAACCGTAGATTCACTAACCGTCAATCAACTTTTTACTGTCCCTACATGCGTCAGTTATTGAGGTATGCCTGTAGTGCATGCAGTATTTAAAATAAGAAATTACTATTACAGCAGCAAGAAAGAGTGAATGACAACAAATGAAGGAAGAGTCGGTATTTGATTTTGATTCTGGGTATCTTGTATTATATGTCATAGTAAGAATTATCTTGATTATTGTAAAAAAAAGATATATTTTCTGTTGGGGGAAGCCTCAAGGTTTTACTGTTTGTTTATTTATTTTGATAACATGAGTTATCATTAAGTAATCTGTAAGATCCTCCACAAGATTACCCCTGCCAACATTTATCATGGCCAGAGGCTCAATGTGTTCTAGCAGGAGGCTATACTATCCTATGGATCAGTATAAAGAAGCTTCTGAGCAGCTCTCATTCCATTGAACCAGAAATCCACCTGGAATTTTAATCTTATCCCATCCACATCATCTGGCACTGTTTCATAAACCATTCTCCTTGGTATAGAACTAACTTTTTTTTTTAAGGGGATTAGCCCACCCGAGCACAGGTCAATACCCACATCGGGGCCTGGGGGGCAAAAATGTAATAATAATAATAATTATAATAATAATAATAATAATAATAATAATAATAATAATAATTTAGATAAGTAAAATTAATGCTCCATTCTATGATTAAAAAAAATCTGGGCCCTCTCTTTAGTTCATTCTTTCATACCAAACAGGCAGCTGAACTCAATCAAGTCTACCTTAAGTACCAGAAACATAAAAAAAAACCTGGGCACATACAGTACATGTGTTACTTCACACTTCTAAGTTAGAAATTCTGTCCTCCAGCCCAAAACACATCCTCTTCACAGCGAACCTGCTAACTTCAAATCTCTTACAACAACTACTTGAACCCCAACTGTTCCCCCAATCTCACAAGTGCCACCAAAGGCCAAGATAATTCCAATCTTCTTGGTTTTATGTTTAACCAAAGAATTCACTTTGTAATGTGATAGAATCATATCCATCCATATCTCCCCCCACCCCCCTATCTGTGTCAGATTTATCCCATCTCATGAAAATACTGTATACTTAAATTTTATGTGTAATAAACACCACTAGTGATTGGCTACTGTGATAACAATCACATTACAGAGGAAATACAGTAATCTATTATCTTAATATTTCAGTATTCTGTTGTATTGGTTGGGTATTAATGATGAACACAATTATGTTTATATAATACCAAGTCATCCCATTTCCTAATTAAACCTAATTTTAACCTAACAGAAGATAAGCCATTACAGTCTACTCTCAATTTAACAGAATCCGATATAATGAATTCTCGATTTAGCGGAAGGAATTTTTTCCGTTATTTTTCACTTGATTTAGTGAACTAGTTTGCTAAGTCAAGATTAATTCCATTAATACGCTCACACCTATGGAGACACCTCAGACACATGATATGAACACAGAAACATTAGAAGCATTACTCGTGGCTTACCTTAAACTAGGGGGTTCAGTGATTGTTTTCAGTTTTTTCCATTTGTTTCCAATTGATAGCTACACTTTTTTACTTTCTCCCCTACATCACTTCCTCTCTGAAACTTCTGAAAGACTTTCGGCTCAGTAGTTAGTTGACCGAGAGGTAGTAGTGAACAACACACGCAGTGGTGGCAGGACACGGATTGCGAGGATGTAAACAAGCCCCACACGCCAAGCGGCGGGCGTGGAATAAAATGGAATCGCGCTCGGTTTAGCGTAAATTGCGATTTAATGGAGAGGGGTGGCTCAAATTAGTTCATTAAATTGAGAAAACACTGTACTCTTAATATGCCATTAAGTTTAGGGCCCATTGGGACTTGGGGCCAAGTGAGATGTGCCCTAATATGACCCAATTTTAATCAGCCAATAAGTATAGAGCACAGTAAGACTTGGTGCTTCACTGAGCACTGGTCTTCAGTGGTGGAAGAGAGATGTGCTGCCTTCCAATGTTATTTGGGTACTCAAGGTGGTTGAATGCATCTGATCTGACTTGAGTGCAATTAAAGGAGGTGCTCTACCTTTTATTGACTAGTATACTTTAACTTGAAAGAAATAGGCTCATTTTCTGGAAATTACGAGAACAATTTTCCGTTATCCAGAAAATTCCGGGGATGAGGGATTTTTTTACGGCTTTAAGAGAGTCATCTCATTACCTGAAAATCCCTCATTCCCAGAAGTGCTCTGCACAAATTGTTCCGGCTAACAGAGATATCACCGTACAGTGCCATATACTATACTGTACTGTACTGTATAACTCGTTTCCGCGATGTTTGGCTCTTAGCAGGCTATGGTCCGGAGCGCCTCATATATAGAATTGGCACTCTGAGAATTTATGTGTAATTGTAAGATTAGGACTAAAAGAGAATTTTTATATAATTGTAAATAGTATAGAGTATATGTATATATAATTGTTAATTGTCATAAGCTAATGCAGCCTGCTAATGCTCTGTGAGTGCAAGACACTCATAGTATTGCATCCTCATGGTTTTCCTGCTGGGCATGTTCCTCAAAGCAGACCAGAATATAAGAGCCTGGATACCATAATGATCATATAATTAAAAAAGACTTCATACTTCAGGTACTAAGGAGGAAATAGAGTTAGTACCTTGCCATAAAATGGTTGACGAGTACAGTTTCTTACAAAGTTTACTGTGTACTATAGCATGAGTCACCCAGTGTGTAGTCAGATATAACCTGGTATTTTAGGATTAATCCCTCATTCATGAACCAAGAAGAAATAAATGAAGCTGGACCCCCCAATTTTCCCTTGGTTTCCTTATCAGCTGGAAAATGTGAGGTTTGATTTGTGAGTCCCATATTTATGACTGAGGGATTCATGTCAAGCAAACTACAGTAGTTCAAGGTTCATCCTGTTGTGTCTGTTGACCTGTAGGCCTCTTGAAGCACTGCCAGGTCATGGTTTAGGTTTTACCCTTGTTACCACTAATTGAACTGGGAATGTAGGTGTTATTCAGCACTTACACTGATCCAAGTAAACATTGTAGCTACCTCAACAATGCCAGTGTTCCTATGAAGAGTGTAGGTTTTGCCACTTGGTTGTCTAGCAGGTGATCTTACAGGTTAATTGTCTCTTCTCCTCAGCAACAAAAATGGGATTTCTTTCTTCTCTACAATGTTTTCTATGCATTTAACTGTAGTTAAGAATAAAATTTTGTAAAGGGGATCTTTCAGTAACTTCTTTATAGCTGTGTTTCATTGTGGAAGTGAGAGTAGGTTTAAGAGGAACCTTTAGTTGAAATAAAGTGCTCATAATTTTCAAGAAGATATGGGGAAGGTATTGATAGATGTTCTGTGAGGTGAGGTTATGAGAAACTTCATGAATAGTTAATGTGTTTGGAATATGAGAAATGTTTTAATTTTTTAGGTGAATAGGTAAAAAGATATTTATTAAAAACAATTACTTTCACAGACACCAGAGGAGCCTGTACTGCCACCATCCTCTGGGAACTCTCTGCCCCCCTTGGCCCAACCACAGCTCTCACTATACCCTCACATTCATAGCACCCCCCCAGGAAGTGACATAGTAGGTGTGGGCCAGTCAAGAGAAGAGCTGGGACCCATTCCTCCTGCACCTACCACAAAGCCGCCCATCACAACAAACCCTTATGTGGTGTGAATTGTTTCTCTTTTCTTATTTTAGCTTGTTCTGTCTTGATTATTTGTTCTTGTGGAATGCTAGACAGTGAAAACCCCACAATTCAGCACATGTGGGGCTGAGACCATGCTGAGTAATCAAATTTGCCTACTTATTGGTCGGCACTTATCAACATCAAGGGGCAATTCTCTCGATGAGCTTGTGAGAGGCAGATGAACTATACTGTATTGTGTGAAACACTTCACAGGCACTATACAATACAGTAAATTGTTTTGGCAAACTACTGTATGTACTGTACACTTTATACATAACACTAACACTTCACAGGCACAGTAAATGATTGTTCTTGCAAACTTTAGACTACTTCACTTTATGCAACTGTACAAATTAACACTTCACAGACACCTAATCATTGTCAGAAGGTCTACCTGTGACAAGGGGCACACTTAAACTGTTGCTCATGGGCTGCCAGCTGAAGCTCAGTGTGGGCCATTTTGCTCAGTTCTCGCATGTGACTCAGCTCCTGCCGACTTAGTGCTAATTTGCTGACTCTTAAAAAACGTAATGGTTATCCGGTGCTGTACTGACGTAGCGGATGTTGAAGTATGGGGGTTTTACTGTACAGTATGTGTATTTAATTGCATGTGGATATAAATTTAATGTAGCAGTAAAGTCAATCCTCCAGGGAGGATTATACACATTAAAGAGGGAATTTATCTGGAAATAACTGGATATTTTGCCGTTAAATTGAGTGGCACCTTAGAACCTACTGCATGATGTTTGTTCTTCATCATAGTTCCTGGGATAATGGGTGCTAGTTGTGCTAATACTTGGGGTTTATGCCTCTGTTCTCCCATCTGTAATAACTGATTCCTTTGTCCTTGAGTTGCCAGATCTACTGTGTCATTCATAAATGAGAAAGTGATCCTGAAATTCCATTTCATAACAAGCATGGATCAGGCACTTCAGGTCCCATGCTCCTCTCTAAGGGTGCTGTGGTGAGCCGGGAACTTAATACCAGTTAAGCCTGGAGCCTGGTTTATGGCCTGCCTGGACCATGTGTGTAGATAGGGTGACATCATGAATCATGCAGCCTCCTGCCTTCAGGGGTGACTTGCTTCCATTTCTCATCGCTGAAGGGCTATAGGTGTGAGGTAGAACTTATTGTGAGATGGCTGTAGGGATAGATCTAATCAGAGGATGGTGCACTGCCACTAAGGCTTTAGGTCTTTAGGGTATGGATGCACCAGGTCAGGCTTTGTGAGTGCATTTCTTGAAATGCCAAGCTGCAGACTAAGACTCCTTATCTATAAAATGGTAGATCTCTGGATCATTTTTCCACATTTGCCCATAATTCCCATCTTGTGTGCACTACAACAAAGTGTGTGGTACTAAATAAATATAAACTGGTCAAACTCAAAATTGGGTCTAAATGGTATAGTACAGTACAGTATATTGATAACATGTGTGGGGAGATCACAGAAGTTAACGGTTTACTGTAAATATATTACAGTAGACCCTTGCCATTCATGAGGGATAGGTTCCAAGAAATGGCGCAAATTGGCAAAACCGCAAATAACAACTTGTACTACCTTAGTGTACTACTGTATCCCTACACCAAACAACCAACCAGCCGTAGCAGCACTCATCCCCTCTTTTAACTTATCTAATACATTCTTTGTCAGGGTCATCACTGATTTCTGCCTTTTTCATTTCACTCCACTAGCAACAAGCACTGACACTAGGCAGTATTTTCAGGGCCATTTCACACAGTAACACTAAAGTTTTGAGAGTACAACACAAGATGTTGCGTGGGGTGACTCGTTGTGCAAACTAGCCACCATAGCTACCATCTTCTTACCGCGAATCGTCAAGCTTGCGACTAGGAAGGGTCTACTGTATGTAGGAAAGTGATAGACTAGTTGATGTGTGAGTGATAGATGGTACATGGACTCTGTTAACAGGCTGTGTATTACTGTTCATTTTCTCAAGTTTTATTACCCATTAAGTGTTTATGTTTTCCTCAGGTATTACTGTATATACTGTTATAATACATTTACAGCTACATTTAGTACAGTACTGTTATTTTATTAGTGAGAATACACGAATTAATATTACCTTATATTTTAAGAGTGATACCACATTGACATTTTGACAATGAATAGTGCTTTTTTCTTTTTAATTAATTTCATGAAAATTGACTGGAAGTGTTTCTTGGCAGATAAATATACCCTGAGTACTGTATATACAATGGGGTCTAATTTTCGCGGGTATATTGTGCCGGTAATAGTGGAGGTGTGGGAAGCTCTGGGAGATGATGAAGTTCTGAGGCAGGGGGTGAAGGCTGATTCGAATTCAAAGCAATCAAAATCAACTGCAGATATAAGGTAACCTCAGCTTCACTACCAGTCTCCAGAGTGGCAGGATTCTCCTTAATCTTCATCACATTGTTGAGGTGGTAAATAGGCGGAGATGAGAGCTTTGCAGCGGCTTTTAATAAACTCCTGGTCACGTTACCTGTAGGGTTCCACCAAACTGTCTTAACTGTGCTAGGCTCTTCACTCATTAAAGCATTCTTGAGTTCTTCAACTTTGCTGAGAACTTGCGTCACCTGCTGCTGGGTCATGCCTCCCTTGGTGTGCTCTGGTACCGCCACACCACCAACACTTCCTTCCGCTGCCTATATGTGAGGGTTGTGTATCACCACCACTATCATTTTATCCCTGCTTGTTTAGTGGCTAACTATAATACCTTTCAGGCATATACAGGTAACTCAATAAATGTCTGTCTATCAGGGGTGTGGATTGCTCATGTTAATGTCTTGGTTGGCTAGGTTCATGAGCTGTGTAGCTGGGTCACTTGTGCCCAATTTCCTTGCTTACAAATATTTATGGCACTTGATTCACTTGAAGTTTTAATATTTATAATAAGTACAAGCATATATATTTCCATGCTTCTGTGTTTTAAAATACCAAAATTCAGTAGCTGCATCAAATGCCATAAATATTTATGTACAGCAAACCCTCAAAGATCTGGACCCGGAAAATCCAGATTTCAGAAGATCCAGACAAAAAATTTAGGGGTTCTGGGCTAAGAAGCCTCCTAGAAGTTTCCCTAAGAAATATTCCCAAACCAGAGCAAAGAACATTTTAGGCCCGTGGGCGTTGCTTGACCCGTCAGTTGCTTGGATACAGGTGCCCGAGGAGGTGGGAAACATAAACAGAGTTGACAATTGTTGTTTGTGGGAATATTATTTCATTCACTCTATCAATGATACAATGTTTCTTATTATGTTATCATAGGTAAATGCTTGGTTTATATAAGGTAATTTGTTTATCACTACATAAGTACAGTACTGTTTTTTTGGTGTTTCTTATATCATTTATTATTTCCCGGAAAATTCGGACAATCGACTTTTCCCAACAGGTGGTCCCCTCTTTTAGTCCAGATCTTCGAGGGTTCACTGTATAAGCAAAGTAAATTTCTCCAATCACAGTCCGTGTGACTGGCTGGCCTCCCTCTGCAAAGTTGCTACGATTTTTATATAGCTTACAGTATATCTACCAACTAACTCAATAAAATGGTGAGATTAAAAATTTTAAACTTTAAAGTGTGTGTGTGTGCGTGCGTGTGTGTGTGCTGAGCAGCTAACTCACCTTCCATGTGGTTGTATGCATGCATTTTGAGTTAAATTATATATTTTTCACATCGGTTACCGTCTCATCACCCCTCACCCGCCAATTCTCATGTGCATGACAGCGGGAAATTTATAATTTAATTATCTTCCAAACGTGTTTGATGCGATTAAATAGAAGTATCGGTTTCATTTAATAAAACGCACGGTAAAGCCCTGGCTCAGGTAAATGATCGGCGGTAAATTGATCGTCTACTGTACTATTATGAATAAATAAAAAAAAATGGCAAACGCAGCAACGGCCAGTCCTAATTTGTTTTGTCCTTTTATTTTGAAGTCAAATTACAAATTACTGTTTTCTTATTTAATGCTTTATATTATTAATGATAAAACGTACACCATTAGAGGGTGATCAACAAGAATATAATAATTAATAATAAAAAACAAACTGGCAAATGTGGCACGGTCAGTAACCCCCTCCCCTCCATTACAGAGGGAGGGAATGAGTGGTCAGGAGAAAAAAATACCTTTTGATTTGGTTTGTCCTTTTATTTTAAAGCCAAATTGTATATCGTATTTTGTTCTATTATTTAACACTGTATGTTACATTATTTATGAAGAAACAAACACCATAATAGGCTGATCATGCAAGTATATAATAATGAATATTGTACTGTAAATACAAATAAACTTGCGATCGTGACAATGGCCAGTCCCCCCACCTCCATCACATTTTATACATGGTGTCATTTCTGGTACACCAATTCCCCCATTAAAGTTGTTTCAGTCAACATCGTTTCGTTATAACATCTTGAAAAAATGAATGAAAATGATTGATGTACGACAATTTTAAAATTCTTTACGTAGGCAGTCAGCGCCTGATTGTTGATAACGGCTGGCTGTGTAAGCAACCAGTGTGGATGCTATATTTGTTTGTTATTGTTCGGTGGTTGGTTGTTGCTCTCCCAACGCTCACTTAAAATCTAATTATAAATTTATTTCAGCCTTGGTACAATGAGTGTAAATGTGCATTATGCACCAGTACTGGTTGTGGTCACAGAAAGATGAGGAAAAGTATTACATTAGAAGTTAATTTAAATGTGGTAAATAGATTTGAAGAATGACAATGAGCTGTGGACATAGCAAGAGCTGTCAACTTGCAGCCTACAACTGTAGGTAAGACCAATTTGTGGAAATGCAGAAAATATCAAATAATGTGCAAAAAGTGTTATGTACTCCATTATCTGCTACAGAGTTAACTGGTAACAGAAGTGGCATTGTGGAAAGAATGCCGAACATGTGGATCGAGGATCAACATAAATGAAATATTCCATGTTCTTTGCTCTCCATACAGGTGAAAGTTCTAAGTTTATTTGAAACTTTAAAACAAGAAGATGATGATAGTGCTGAAAGTGAAACGTTTGTGCCAAGTTGTGAGAAAATTTTGACCAGAAATGTTCCCAAGGAACATAACCCTTGTTTATATCATTGTGTGTCTGGTAAAATCATTTTCGCTTAATGTCGTTTCATATAAATTCGTGGTCTTCAGGAGCCTAAGGAGGATGTTAATGGGGGAATTGGTGTACCTATTAGCTTTCATTAGGCCCTTATCATATCTGATTAGATTACTGTAAAATATTCCCATTAAAGACAATACAGTGTATATGTAAGTAAGGTACAGTGATATAATTTTAAATTATTTTTATTTATTGAACTGTACTACAGTATATTACTTATGGTACACAATTATGTCCCAAAACTAAATTGACTAAAATCACTAAATTTGGGGTTAAATAAGCAAAGAATCTCTAAATTAATGCTATACTACTACCTGTGCTATCCATGGCTTTCTGCTTAAGCTATAACTATGGTCACATTTCAGCCAATCTCATAAGTGATGACCGCTTATGTGAGACCTGTGTAAAGTGAGACCCCACTGTACTTTAAAAGATCAAAATTGAACAAGGTGGACGGGATGTATATACTCCTGACTCTTCCTCATATTAGACTCTTTGTCAATCCTTAACCATCAATCTCTGCTTGATAGTTCATTGCTTACTTTTGTTTCGTAAATTAAGATTTTTTTTTGGGGGGGGGATGGGGCTGTAAACAATGAAACAGTTATACCTAAGGAAAACTAAAGTTGATAATGTAAAAGACAACAATAGTCTGCCCATATAAGAACTGTAATAGGTATTATTACTTCACAAAAGAATATAATCTGAAATCCTGTACATGTGTGATGCTCATTCTTTCTCTCCCAAGGTCACCCCCATGTTTTATCTACTGTTTCTCAATATTTTCTCCTACTTAATATTACTGTACCCCTAATTTTGAAGATAGTCTTCTGAGAATCTTATATAATAACTTTCCTCAAATAGGGGAGTGACCTGTTGACTGAGCAGCTGATGCGTGAGTGGGAGATGGTATATGGTGACACCCTTACTCCTCCAGGATCACACCCTATTCATCCTCCATCAGAAGCAGTCATCCCACATTATGAGTATGTAATAATTTATGGTATTTGTGATTTACAAATAAGTTTATGTAATGTGTGATCAATTTTATTTAGAATTTTTTTATTCATTTCAACTTTACAATTTACTTTAGCGTGTACAGTAAATAACTTGTACCTTGTGTAACCTTGGTAAATGATCCTGTAGAGTGGTCACACAGCTACTACCTGTTAGTAGTTGTGGTTAATCACAGAATTACACAAATAGTTAATTTTGGGTAAAGTTTCAAACCCAAATTGTCTCTTCTGTTTTTATTGTTAAAATATATTCTCTGCACAATGAAAGTGTGACTCACAGAGATAACGGGGAGCTTCAGTAAAAACACGACTGGTCCGTGTCAGATGCCTTGATCAACTGCCTGTAACCGGCTAGTTATTTGATGACCTATGCTGGCCATTGGTGTGCAGAGGTCATTATTTTGAAAGACACTGTGGCTACGTGACAAAGACGTCACCTGCATCAGTTTAATTAGACACTTTCTCATAGTTAATTACTGTGGGTGATGTGATTATATAAAATTAATGTATCTAACCCATATTTATTTAAGTACAGTATTAGTGTATTAGACAGGGGCTAATGCAGACTCTTTTCTTTGACTTTGTTGTTCATATTATTATGAGTTTTCCTGTATATCTTGGGTCCTCTCTCTCTCTCTCTCTCTCTCTCTCTCTCTCTCTCTCACTCATTGCATCTGTGATTAGTTGGTACACCCCTATAACTGTTGATTATTTTATGCGCACTGCCAGAAGTCAATGGACAAGGAATCACCTGTTATTGAAGTAATAAAACATATAAGAATATAACAAGTTTGGGAGGTTAGGGATGAGCCAACCCCCAGAAACATACATGTATCCCTGATATATCTCTTTCATGCTCACTGTCAAGCAAGCCCCCCCAAAAGACAAAAGCAAGCATAATAAGGATTCATTATGGAAAGTAAGCATAAATTGAGACTGTTATTCACCAGTGTTGAATTGTTGAGTCAATGTTGAGTTGTCATTCCTTCCCTCAGCCAGCCCCTATGGCTGAGGGGCTGGCTGATGCTTTGGCCACTGATTTTGCTATTAATTGTTTTAAAAGATGTCCCAATACATTTTGAAAACACTTATGGGCTTGTGGAAATATCTGTGGACTAACAAAAAAATTTAGTCAGTCAGCCTGCCAACACGTGCACGAGATGTTCTTTGAACTTTTGTTTGTTTTCGCCCACACTATGTTGATGTCCCATGCCCATAAACCTATTCTATTTGGTTACTAGAGAAATACAGCCATCTGTAGACACCTGTGTTTGGGAAGTCATGACTCAAACCCCTATTCTTTGTAAAACAAACTCTATCAGTGTCAGTCTCCATTACGGCGTTTTAAAATGAAAATGATAAAGTATACAGAAGAGTAAATAACTTCACCTTGATACTTTGTTTTATTTTATTTTTCATCATTGTGGGAGGGAGGAGGGAGAGAAGATAAAGGGACGCATCACCTTTGATACAACTTGTCCTTTATTCTCAAGTCAAAATACCAATTATAAATACTGTACTATATTTTGTCAGATATTGAAGACTTGATATTTTTTATGATGAAGTGTACACCATAAGTGAGTAAGCATTAACGGCACTAAATCCGATTGGGGTAACGTCACTACTTGGACCATTACTATTTATTATACAGTATACATAAACAACATAGATATCGGCGTAGACAGCAACATAAGTAAATTTGCTGACGACACTAAAATAGGGCGTGTAATTAAATCTGATGAGGACTACGCAAAACAACAGGAAGATCTAAACAAATTTTTTGCATGGTCTGAAAAATGGCAGATGAAATTTAATGTGGAGAAATATAAAGTACTGTACTTAGTCTTGGAGATGTAAACAGAGAAAACAGATATCAAATGAACAATGTTGTTATAGAGAAAGCTGACTGTGAAAAAGACTTAGGAGTAATGACAAGTAGGAATCTTAAACCATGACAACAATGTGTATTTGCTCGAAACAAAGCTAGCAAAGCCCTTGGGCTCATACAAAGGAGTGTTAGTTACTAGAATGTAGGGGTTGTCCTAAAGCTATACCTTGTGCTTGTGAGACCTCACTTGGGTTTCACGGTTCAGTTCCGGTCACCTTACTAATGAATGGATATAGAATCCCTAGAAAGAATTCAGAGGAGAATAACAAGGCTAATCCTGGTCATTAAGAACCTTGAATACAGACACAGGTTAAAGCATCTTAATTTTCACTCCCTTATGAAATTTAGAGTGAGGGGCGATATGATCGAAGTGTATAAATGGTAGTCAGGGTTAAACAAAAGTGATATAACAAAGGTACTGGAACTATCTAACCAGGAGTGAACTCATAGCAATGGTTTTAAATTAGACAAATTTAGATTTAGGCGCGAAATAGGTAAACATTGGTTTGGAAATAGAGTAGTGGATGAGTGGAACAAATTACCAAACATCATCATTAACTCGAATACGCTGGATAGCTTCAAATATAGGTTGGGCGGATATATGAGCTATAGGGGTCGGGTGTAAATGGGACTGCCCAGTATGGACCAATAAGCCCGCTGCAGTTTCCTCCATTCTTATGTTCTTATTTTATCTTAATAGATCATACTATCCCCAGTAAAGACAATATACTGTATACAGTACTTAAAACAGTAGCCATCGTTTATGGGTTAAACAGAAGAGGAAGTATTGCTGGGGTATTTAGTCATACATGTACAGTACTTGCATAACACACAAAGTTCGAGACAATGGGGTAAGCAAAAAACACATGCAGCGAGGTGAGACTAAGCCAGAGGCAGCACGCAGAGCCCTCTCATGGCAGGAATTTGCACCACACCACACCACTCAAGACAAGGTGGAGTATTTCCTTATTACAGTGATATCTCCCTTAGCTGGAACAATTGGTGCAGAGCACTTCTGGGAATGAGAGACTTCCGGGTAACGAGATGACTCTCGGACCCGGAAAAATATCCATCATCCCCGGAATTTTTCGGGTAACAGAAAAATTTTCTTGGAACTTCCAGAAAATGCTCCTGATTTTCACCTCTCGATCCCGGAAAAAACTCCCCCATCCCCGGAATTTTCGGGTATCAGGATTGCCTGGTTGATTGCCTGGCTGAAATGCATGGTGTCTCCCAGATAATGATTTGAATATAGAAAGAACAATTTTTTTTGCATAAGATATGTGCTATTGTATTTTATGATATGCTATGTATCAATTTTCTTGTTTATCATAGCAATTTTTGTGAACAAAGGTGTTATGACGCCACTGGTGGTAGACACACGAATGAACGACTTCAGTTGCATTCGGATTGTTGGACTAAATTAGAACTTTTGCTGAACAGGACCAAAGGGGACAAAGTTTGGATACCTGGATGATTCATATAGTTGGAATTTACATAAAAGAAATTGCCATGTAGATTAAATAAAGTTATGACATTGGATTTACTGTACAAGTGGAGACGTTCTGCATACAGTGGCCTGCAATGAATGGGGGAGATTGTTGATTGTTACTGGGTCAGTGCAGCAGGAGTCAAGTTTTACCAGTGGGTGCTGAATATTAATTCTGGTGTCCTAGATACTCTGTATAGCACCTTATACCCGCATCCATGTACTGGGTGCAGTGAGAGGGGGAGGACGGTGCTGCACAAAACAAGAGAACTGACTAACCAAGGAGTGTGTGTGGGAGATGCGCATCTGTCAACGGTGAGTTAAAAAATTTCTAACAGCCTCGCAGATAGCCGAATTTTGATTGCGAATCTTGAATAAAGGGCCACAAATAATTTTTTTGTGACTAAGTGAATTTGCAGTTATGAAGTTTGAACTCCCAAGAAAATGTGACCTTCAAAAAGGGGGGTTGGTGATTGTGAACTCATCACTCTCTGAACACAGGTGTCTCCAGCTAATTCCCCTCATCTGCACAAAGTCACATTATTTGGCTCCACTCACTGCTGTGAGTGCTTTCTCCACCATTAATTTAGTGAAGAACAATACTGCTCCAACATCACCAGTGAACACCATCATTATTGTCTCAGACTAGCTATCATACAATCTGTGCTAAAATTTAGGGAATTGGTAAGAAGCGTTTAAGTCACTTTTTACACTAATGATTATTAATCGGTTAATGAAAGGCCCACAGTACATACTATGACCTGCAGTATTTTGATGTGTTAAAACGATTAGTTAATTTTTTTATTCATGTCCCAGTGTCCCTCTTCAACTAGAGTGGGATGGTTGGTTACTCTTAACCAAATTATACACACTGTGACCTTGTTATTTTATTTTATTTATTTTACAGGGAACTAGTTCATTTCTTTAATTCATTTGCATTGACAACATATTTGGAGATTGCAAATGCTTGTAGGTGGAAATGAATCGTAATGTGTAGTCTTGTTTGTTTGTTATTACGTCATTTTAAATGAAATCTTTCATCCGGACCTTTGCCACTTTGGAAATTTTGTGTGACCGGACCTTCACAAATAGTAATTGATTAACTCTGCTGTATAGTTTTAATAACACATTACTTGCATTGGGGTGTATTGCCTCTATGGTTGAATTTATAAACCTGTTGACATTTATTAGTATGTAAACTATATTTCTAATTTTTTATTATTTTTTTGCTATAGTGATCCATCAAGCCTTGTAAGTGGTGTGGAAACTCTGCGTATTAGTTCCTCACGACCATCATATACTCGCACCATGGTGGACCCATCTTTGCCGTATGTGCCTGACTCTCATGCCACTGCTCGTGCAAATACTACCATTCTTCCCAGCTCTCAGCCTCCATCAAGCACTGCCAGTCATCCTGTATCATCATCGACTTGTCATGCATCTAAAGTTCCTCAAAGCAGCAGGAATAATACACTTTGCACAGAAGGTGGTTGTTCGTCTACACCTCAAGTTTCATCAGGGGGTGGGACAAACTGCTGTTCAGTCACGAACACAACAAGTGTCATCACACACACTCGTGCCCACCATACTCATACAACTGCTTCTGCTCAAAAAGGTAATTGGATTCTTGTCATTTTTTTTTATGATTATGTAGTTATGACTGTATCCCACGTGAGATAGCCTAAGTAAGTAAAATTAGTTTTAAACATATTCAGTATACAACAGGAAAGTTTGTATATCAGTTTGAGTCTCCATTTCTTGGTGTTTTCACAAGAATATTATACAGTACAGGTAAACCTCTATTCATGATATTCCAATCTACGATAATTCGCATAGATGTAAACAAACTTGCATTTAAGATATTTATCATCCGGCCAAGTCGGCATATGGAACGCATCACTCACTTCATTTGTCAGCCGAGGTGTCATCTGGTGAACTACAGTCCAGGTATTGTTTCTTCTTGGTCACATGTATGTAAAAATGGAGTTCAATGTTTATCAGTCATCATAGGTTTTTTTTTTTTTTACCTTACAGTGAGAGGACATCACTAAAGTTCACATTGTACTCTGTTTTAGTGACTGTGAAATTCTTTCTCTCTGACTATGAAGTGCTTATGCTCTGATCCCCAACCTGGCAATGGGTGACTTGACATTGCATCAGGTCAAGTCAGTTAACATGAGACCCACTAATCCCCTACCACACCTCCATCACCAGTGTTAAAAGACGTAAAAAGTGATTACAGTTACGTATTATATTCAGGAGATTGGACAGCATATGCCTACTGTAGGCTCAAGGCATACTACTGTTTATTTGTAATACATTGTATGTGTACAGAGGTGTTTGTGTAAATAAATACAGGGGGATCTCATACGGGAATTCAATGAAACGAGGTTAAGGGATCTGCACCTTCTATTCACCATACAAGCGACATTGTTCAGTGATACGAGAAGCGAATACAATGACCACTGGGGTTAGTTATACTACAAACTCTTTCCTGTGAAAAAGCCATAATTTTGAGCAACATATTACTGTACTCATTTAGTACTCAAATGTACTGCACTAAAGGACTAAAAAAAAGTTATCTCCTGTGCAAACTGTATGATGTTTATACTAAAATCATATGCTATCTTGCAAGGATTCCAGCAATGCAAGTTATATTCTGCTAAGTTTAATCTGTGACATTTTATAAGATAAAAACTTTAAGCCTAAAACAACCTTCACCCTGGCTGGGAGGAGGGGGGAGGGGGTGAGGTGAGGTGTTGACAGCCGGGCGGGAAGGTTTCCAAGTGCGTAGTTATCAGTCAAGTCAAATATAGGGAGTTTAAGTTTTTCACTTATAAACTGTCACTGAATTGACTTGGCAGAATATAACTTACATTGCTGGAATTCTTGTAAGATAGTGATTAATTTAAGTACATACATTGGGATAGAATATTATCGTAATACAACAGTTTTTTAACTGAAAACCATTCAAAAAGCAATTATGGTAACATTTTTTGAACAACGAAACAAAGTGAAAGTCGATTGTTTTCGTCATGATTTTATCCCACTTTCCACTGTAATACATACGTCATTTCAGAAAAAAATATTACATTTCCGTGAATGTATTATATCAAGCACAGTATGAAGAGAATATCATTGTAATATAACAGTATTTTAACCGAAAACTATTAAAAAAAAACGAGTAACTTCTCTTGAACATCGGAAGGTTAGGTAAAGTCTTTTGTTTTCGTCATGTATTTTATCCTATTTTACATTAAAATACATCACGTTTCAGCAAAACTGCTATTTTTTTCCGAGAATATATTCATTCAGGCACAGTTAAGGTCAAATATACGTGTGATGTAACAGTTTTTTAACTGAAAACGATTAGAAAACACGTGTACCGTCTAGCTGATATGCAACAGCTGGTGGTGCGTCATGCATCGTTGTAAACAATAGGAGGTTGAAGTGGATTACCGGGTATTATATTAAGTTTGAAATATCGAAAAGGTTTTTATTACCGGTATTTTTTGTAGATCAATGAGTACTGTGATACCGTATATGATATGATAAGTTAGCCTGTGCTAAGAACTTCAACAGACTACTGAAAGCACGTTGTAAGGTAATTTAGCCTGAAGGAACTGCACAACTTTTCATTACTAATTGGTACATATTTTACGTTTTCATTGTTAACTGGCAGTAAATGGTAAATATTTTTCTTGTCTGAAGCTAAAAGTTGCTCCTCGCCCTTCCCATCATGCACGGGTTCAACCTAACAAAACTATTACCTATGTAGAGGTCGACCCCCAATTTTTTGCATAAAAATTTGGTCTTAAAAACTCGAACTACACACGAGTATATACGGTAAGCAACAGGGAACTAAGTAACCAATCACCGATCAAATTTTACATTCATTTATAATTTTACCACATACTATAGTAAACAAAAGGCCTTGAGTTGCCAGCTGTCTCCAGTAGTGTTCGAAGAATCTTGAATGAGACTGTACTTAAAACATTTATTAAACATTCTCAGAGAGTTAGTGTTGAAGTTTGAGCAAGCATCAGTAATACTGTATAGCATTTTAGTGGTAGGTGGGAAATGCGCAACATTAATCTTTGAGTGGAGATTTGTGTGCCCTAAACAAATACATGTACACTAACTGCTAACAACATTACTCAGACAAAAACTTTGTAGCTCTAATACACAAATAAATAAAGAGAAAGAAGACAAATTAATTCTGAATACCCGGTAAATGTAGGAAACCATTTGTAAGCAACATACAAAGGTGGTCCAGCACACCCATGACCCAACCTGGTTTGTGTAGAAGCTTCACGAGAGGAAATTTTCCACCAACCTCTTATCATTAACGATCATCTACAGGATTATCACCGCCACTTTATCTTCTTTTTTTCACCAACTTTATTATTATTATTATTGATTTTTTTTTTTTTTTTGTAAATTGGTACAAGTTTTTTTCAAATTTTACACAGTTTGTATTATAAGTGAATTTGACAAACTATCCCATTTTGTCAAGCTCTAATTAGGAATCTATTGAGATTCTGTTTTATATGAATTATTGTTACATAAGTACCTGCATGATTATACAGGGTGTTCATAAAAGATCGGAATGAATTAATTCTTTTATATTTTCCATACTAATTAAGATATAAAGCTAGAACCATGTGTAAACACTAGAGCAACCCTCAAAGTTTATTATTAATCGGGTTGCTTGATTACTGAATGATTGTTTGACAACTAATTTGATTGATATTGTAATTTTCCAAGTTGCTGGATTAGTCATGATGGACCTATCCCTTGGCCTCCAAGATCACTGGGTATTATGCCATTGGGTTTCTTCGTCTGTGGTTTTGTTAGAGATGTTGTGTACAAGACCAAGGTTGCCAACATCCATGAACTATGAATTGGGGTCAGGGATACAATGGTGATGGTTGATGCTGGCATGCTTGAACGCACATGGCAAAAAATTGAATATCAATTGGATGTTGTACGGGCGACTAATGGCACACTTGTTGAAATGTATTAAACATGTATGAAAAACTTTAATGCTTGCTCTATTGCTTACACATAATTTTAGCTTTAGATCTTAATTAGCATGAAAAATATTAAAAATCAAATTGTTCAGATCTTTTATGAACACCCTGTATACTGTACTGTATATTATACATGGTGATTCAGCAAAGAGTACATTGAATTGGAGGATGAAATCCTTGGATAATTCTAAACCATAATGTCTCTATGGTAAAATGTCTGATTCTGCATATGCCCAAGTGTTCGTGACAGGTGCGAGCAAATTAAACATAGTCCAGGCATTCTGGAACGCGTCAGACAATCAATGGTACGACGTGTATGGGCCTGCATTGAGGCAGAAGGGGGCAACTTTGAACATTTCCTTTAGATTGTAACAAAGAGGGGTCACACCTTAGAGATCTGTGAATAAATGATTACAAAAGCCTACGGGGGTTTCACTTCAAATTCACTCTCATTAATACAGCATCTTAAATGTATTGTAACATGGAAACTATGCAGAATCTGACATTTTACCATAGAGACATTGTGGTTTAGAATTATCCAAGGATTTCATCCTCCAATTTAATGTACTCTTTGCTGAATCACCCAGAATAAACACTAATGATAGTTTATATGAACAATAGTCAAAAGAAATAATATATATGGTAATTTGGTTAATTATATTTCAGGTAAATGTGTAAATGGATTAGAAGAAAGTAAAAACCAACAGTTGGAGCTGGTAGAGAGATCACCCAGTAGAGAGAGTAAGTGGCTTTATTGTTTCTTTCTTGGTTTCTGTATACAGTTAATAACCAACTCCTTTAAATGTCATGCAAATCCTCTTCATATTTTCTGTCCTGTACAGTATCATGGGACGCTCTGTTTCTGGATTGTTTGTGCATCTATGTCACTCTGTCCTTCCACCCATATATCTTTGTATCTTTCTGTCCATCCATCCATTCTCCTATGTGTGTGCCAATGTAGCAGCTACTCAGCAACGCGTGATGGACTTGCTGTGACCACCATACCTATGCTACAGTAGTGTACGATGTTTTATATTTTGTCTTTAACCTTTGCATTCCACCTCATCATGTCTCACTGACCATCTGGAGTGTGTGTAGCATAATTAGCATCAGCCTCCTTCTTAGCCCATTCATAAGTTATGTTCACTAATTAATAGAAATAATACAGTGGGTACACTTGTGATTATTATTTTAGTATTTATTTAAATGTTTATTTTATTGATCATGGGGCCAGCTGCACTGCCACAGAAGATGAGCGTCACTGTCCTTGGCTGTCTTGAACCCAAGGACACGCGCCTCTTGCTTGTTTATATACATTCTACCCGGCATCTTTTTCCAATATAGACTAGATTCATCGGCATTAAACACTTCCTTTGGTCTATTATTTTCTTTAACTTGGCGGGAAATGCATCTGCGGCTGTGTGGTCAACTGATGCGGCTTCTCCAGTCAGTTTCACATTATGGAGAGAGAATCTTTTCTTAAAATTCTTGAACCAACCTTTACTGGTAGTAAAAGTTGGTTCAGTAGCCGCACTAGCCCCTTCACCACTTGTTGACTCGTAAAAATGGGCATGAAGACTCTTAGCTTTCTCATGAATCACGTTGCTGTCGATCGGAACATTTTTGCGGTGCTGGTCCTCAATCCAAATGTTCAGTGTTGTCTCTGTTTTCACTATGTTCTTGTCACTAACAACCTGCGCCATTTTAGCACTTGCAGGAGCACTCACTTGAACAGAATTACGAAATGCTTGTTCATTCTTTCTTATATACCGCACTGTGGATTCGTTCACACCATACAACCGACCAACCGTGGCAGCACTCATTCCCTCCTTTAACTTGTCTAATAATTCAACTTTCTTTGTCAGGGTCATCACTGTCTTCTGCCTTTTACATTTCACTCCACTAGCATCACTAGCACTGACACTAGGCAGTCTTTTAGGAGCCATTTTCACACAGAAACACTAAAATTTTGAGACTACTGTACTGTACAACATGAGATGCTGCGCCAGAGACGCTGTGGGCCCGTGGGATGACTCTTTGCGCTGCGGGAAAAAGGCTCGCAAGCTAGCCACCGTAGCCACCATCTGCTTACTGCGAATCATCAAAATCACAAATCGCAAACTTGCGAATGACAAGGGTGTACTATGTATAATTATTGTATTATATTTTTATTATAATTTTTATTTATTGTTTTAATTATTATTATTATTATTATTTCCTATTAATAATAATAATATAATCATCATCATCATCATCATCATTATTATTATTATTATTATTATTATTATTATTATTATTATTATTATTATTATTATTATAATTATATTTTTGCCCCCTAGGCCCCAATGTGGGTCACTGACCTGTGCTCAGATGGGCTAGTGCCTGTAAAAAAAAAAAAAGTATGGACTGAGATGGAATACCTATAGCCAATTGGGCACTAAAAAAAGTTCAGTGGATGGTACAAATGGGAGAATGAAAGATGAGGGTGTGGGTGAGGAACCCCCTTCTTGGGAGTCTTCAGTGCCCTCATTCCTTGAGCCAATTTTATTTCATCCTGGTCAAAAAATAAAGTATACTCACAGATACTCACAGATGATCTTCTGGAAAAGGCTCACGCCTGTGACTCCAGCTCAATAGCCTCTTCTCTACTCAGACGGTGGCTGCGTGTGGCGGATATCTGTGCCCTATAAATATATACTTGTTCTTGATTTTTCCAGTATTTATCTAATTTTGCTTCAAACTTTTCCACCGTCTTCACATTCACTACCTACTCAGGTAACCCATTCCAGTTGTTAACAATCCTACTCGGGAACGAATGTCTTCTGAAATTTAGCCTCTCTTGTTTTGTAGATCTTCTTTGTGTTCCCCCGGGTAGTGTCAGCCTCCCTCATCTGGAACATTCCTGCTGTACATGCCTGGTCATATATGCCACACACTATCTTGTATGTTTCCACTTGGTCCCCACGAGATCTTCTGTACGCCAGTGTCGGTAACTAATTTCATCAGTCTTTCCCCATAAGATAAATCCTTGATCTGTGGTACTAATTTGGTAGCCCTCCTCTGTACATTCTCTACTGCTTCAATATCCTTAATGAGATATGGGCACCAAATTTGATTAGCATACTCAAGGTGTGGCCTAACCAGAGCAGTATACAGAGCCTTGATTATAGGTGCATCCAGATGAACAAAAGTTCTTCTAATAATGCCCACTATTTTATTAGCCTTGTTGATTTTCTCAGCTAGATGGTCAGAGAACGTCAGCTTATCATCGATGACTACCCCTATATCCTTCTCTACAGTGGTCTTCTTGATTGTGGTGTACATATGATATCCCTGGTCAGCAACTTTTGTTCTTCCTATCCTCATGTATTTACTTTTTTCTGGGTGAAAGTTCAGCATTCACTTCTCAGTCCAACCCCTGATCCCATCCAGGTCCTCCTGCAGCATGTCACAATCCTCATCTCGTTCTATTTTCCTAAAAATCTTTTTGTCATCCGCATATAGATATACCTCACTGTCATGTTTAATTGCCTCAGGCAGGTCATTGATAAAAAGGACAAACAGCAGAGGGCCGAGGACAGAACCCTGAGGGACCCCACTAGTGACCTCACTCCAGTCAGATACTTCTCCATTTACCTCAACCTTCTGTTTTCTCTTAGTTAAAAATTTCCTTACCCAATCAGGATATTTTCCATCAATGCAATAACTAGATACTTTTTCTAATAGTCTTTTGTGGGGTACTCTATCAAAAGCCTTCATGAAGTCACAATACACTATGTCCACAGCCTGACTGTCATCGATAATTTCTGTCCACCTGTCTAGTACCCTAATCAACTGTAGGACTGTTGACCTGCCGGAAATGAAGCCAAACTGTTTATTACTAAACAATTTATATTTTTTCATATGGGATATCATCTCATCCCATAATATTAACTCCATTAATTTGCAGATTACACCAGTTAGACTGACTGGCCTGTAGTTTCCTGGTTCACTTTTACTTCCCTTCTTATAGATAACTGTGATATATGCAATATGCCAGTCCTCAGGTATATTTCCTTCTTGAAAAGAGCTTTCAAACAAGATCCTCAGAGGCTGAAGTAGTTCCTCCATCATCTCCTTAATGACTCTTGGATGTAACCCATCTGGACCGGGAGACTTTTGTCTTTTCAATTTTTAATCACCTTTCTTATTTTGCCCTTGGTTATCTCCAGGTGTTGAAGAGCTGGCACGTCTTTATTGTTGGCTGTTGGTATAATCAATCCTTGTTCCAATTACAAGAGCCTCTAGCTCACACATTCTTCTGACTTCTCAAAGTAGAAGGTTTCTTCTGTTCATATGTTGTATATTATTTTTTATTTCATTTGTCCTTAGTATTAGTAATTTGTCTCATTAAAGTATATAATACATGTTACAGGAATGCTTACAATTGATATTGATCTAGTTTAAGAGTTGGCCATTGTGTTGGTATGTGGCCTTTCATGACCTGACAATGTGCTCTTAATTATATTGTTGAGCCCAGCACTTGAAAATATATCTTAGGTGGAAATCATATCAGGGTTTCAGAATAACTAAAATTTTCATTGAAGAGCTTTAGAACTTAGACTGTGTAGGTGTAGGAAGTTATAAGCTGAGTCCTTACCTCTGTTAAAATAACTAGGATATACACAGTAGCTGTATTAACAAATGACTTCCCCCAACCTATCCATAACTGATTTAGAATCTTGCACATCATAAAATAATAGTTTATGCCCTCTGACAAAAGGGGGCTCATCCTGCAGCTGTTAGCACAATGGGTCTTACAGGTCACTTGTTTCTTTCCTTAAATTAAATGAATTTTTTTCCTTTAATCCTTCACATTTAGTAAAAGATCATCTCAAGACTTTCTTTATCTTTGTGTTCAGGTGTGGAGGAGAGTGAAACAAGTGGTGGAGATGAGTGGAGCAGTGGGGATGAGAGTGACTCCTCCACTACTGTGTCGTCCACCCACCAGGACCCACACTGTGACTGCTGCTACTGCCATATGCTCCATCATAAACAGGTAACTTGGTTATTAACAAGTCAAAATTATCGGACAGCCTCAGGCTGGTCATTCTGAGGGCCACCTAGATGTGCATTTGTTTAAGGTTTAGAGCCTGTCACCAATATAACCTTACCCAAGGTTAACTATTACCCTGGAACACAAACCTCAAATTTATTAATATCTAGGTTCTCAATTATTGCTGGGTAAACAGGCAAATTCAGACACCTCTTTCAATTGGGGTGACCTACAAAGGGTTCTAATATAGCTTCAGATAAGCATCACCCTAATGCCAGCCAGGATTACTGCACATTGAACCACTAGTGTGTTATTTTTTTTTTTCCTCTTTGAATTAGGCAGAGTAGTAAAGTAACTAAATAAATTTACTTGAGTACTGTACTCAAGTAAAATTTTGGGGTATTTACTTTTTAAAAAGTACTCAAATTTTTTAGTACTTTTACTTTAGTATGATTTTCTAATACTTTTATTCCAATACAATTGAAGAAAAAAATCGTGACTCGTTAACATGCAAACTCATAATATATTTTTTAGTTAATTAATTATTTATTAACCATAGTAAGAGAGCTGTGTGGGTGGGGGGTATGGTGTGGATTGAGCCATGAAGGGTACAGTGTGAGTGTGGGGAGACACCACGCTGTCTCATACCTAGAGGTCTCGTGAGGTGAGGTGGCGTCAGGTAAAGTCAGTTGGCAGTGGCCATGACAGCGGACTTTCTTGTTTCCATTAGTACCTTGACCACCCCTCTCACCTAGGCTATACCCTCTCATCCTTCAGGGACTTGGTCTTCCCGTTAAACGTCAGTTGCTCTTTGCATATACCTGTACCTAAAATGAATTTCAAAGAGGCTGTGATTCTAAAATGCTTTACATAATTCAATATTAGATATAAATCCTGTGTATATATATATATATATATATATATATATATATATATATATATATATATATATATATATATATATATATATATATATATATATATATATATATATATATATATATATATATATATATAATATATATATACACACAGTATATATTATTTTTTATTTTATTTTTTTTTCTCTCTTCGGTAGGTCATGCTGGGCTTATATTTGGGCCTGAAAGATCATGATTTGACAGCCAAAATTTTGAGAATCAGTTATTGATTGATCTCAATAGAAAGATTTGCAAATAAACATGTGTAATGCTGTGTGTCTTTTATTTTTATCTTTAGTTAACAAGTTTTTTTTTTAATTTACTGTGGATTTATTTTAATATTTGAAACAGTAATTTTGTTGTTACTTTATACTTTCAGTATTTGACTACTTTATGAATGAGATACTTTTTTACTTCTACTTGAGTAATATTTTGCCAAGGTAACAATAATTTTACTTAAGTAACAAAGTCTGGTACTTTTACAACTCTGAAATTTGGACCACATATACAAGCTTTTTTTATTAGGTACAATTACCTTGCTTTCATTGCCTATCATGGGAAAAATGGAATGGTGTTTTTAGTTGTGGTACATAAGAGCGACAGACCAAACATATCAGCCTAGAGGAATTCCCCGCTTTGATTTGGTAACAAGAGTCTCCGCCTACCCAGGCAATCAACTGATTTGCTGGACACAGCCAATGAAGAGTAGTGATGTGTTTTATGGAGTAAAATTTAATAGAGCACAAGTTTTTTGCCCAGCAAAGATTTAATTGTTTGATTATGCAATTTACTATGTAAGGGATGCCATTTAATCCCTTCAGTACGGTGACCTTTTAAGTTTTATTGGCTAATGCCAGATGACTTTATTCAGCTTGGGGTTAAGGTTGTAATCCAGAATTTATGGTAGCAGTCCATAACCTTCAACCCATGATGGCCCCTGAACTCCAAAGAGTAATATCTTGTTACCCTTCTGTGTAAATAATCCATTTAAATACATGCAGGGTTCCTAGGATTAACTGGTCCTCGATATGTATATTTACACTTTCCGTTGTTCTCATCACAGGGTGGTGGGAGACAGAAATACAGTGACAGACGGGACCGACTGCTGCAAATTCTGTCACGAAAAAAAAAGGCTCGAAGTTGTTCTGCCATTTCTTGTTCTGCTGGGACGACCTCATCAAATACCCCAACTCCTGCTGCCGTTCCTACTCCTGTGACCTCTGGTGTTCCAACAACCAAAGGTGGCAGCACTCCATTAGGGGGCCAAAATATTGATAAAATTTTGGATTTCATAGAGGGCAACCACACAGATGAAGCCAAGCATGCCAAGAAGGCCGCAAAGAAAGCTCGACAGCGACAGAAAAAGGTATTTATCTTTGGCTCCTTTAGCAAGGAAATAATGTTACAAATGTAAGTTTAGTGGTATATTTTAAGGAAGGCATTTCTGTAACTTACTGTTGCATGAATGTGATTGTTGGGTTATATATATATATATATATATATATATATATATATATATATATATATATATATATATATATATATATATATATATATATATATATATATATATGAGTCATTCAATAAATAATGAGACAGATGAATGTAATCACAGAAGTAATGATCACATACCTATTTTTCCACACTCTCCTTTACAGCTATGCACTTCTCCCATTTTTCTACGAGTTTTCTTATTCGTGTGGCGAAAATTCTTTTCGGCTGACTCCATAACCAATTTCTGATTTCTTTCTTCACTTCTTCATTATTCGAAAAATGCATTCCACGTAAAGCTGTTTTGGCCAACCAAGCATGTGGTAGTCTGATTTGTGAGATCTGGACTATGCGAGGTGCGTCTGTTTTCCCAAAACTTCCGCTCAATGTTCTGGTGCAATGTGGATATTGAAACTTTGACAGGTCGTTCAGCATGATCTTCATCCACAATGCTTGTTCGACCTTTCTTGAATTGTTCAACCCTCTTGCAAATGTTCGCTCGTCAGATGCTATTGCTTCTGTATTGAAGTGACATTCTGTGACAAATTTCAATTGGTTTTATCCCTTCCAAATTTAAACAATTACTGTATTAACAGATCGAATGAACTGACTAAACAAAAAGATGAAGATGTAGCTTATGTATGTCTAAACATGTAGCATGATCGCTGCTCATGCCCCTCCCCTCTGCCATCTACATCAAAAAGTCTCGTTATTTATTGAATAACCTTCTCGTGTGTGTGTGTGCGTGCGTGCGTGTTATATAATAATAATAATTTGTTGTGCACTTCTCCATATCTTTTTGAGGTGGATAAATGAACATATCAACCTTAATTAAGAGAAGGAAAATATGTATGGGAGAATGGTGTAAGTCAAAGGGACACACACATCTTGGTATCTTTGTTTAGTGTATGCAGTACAGTATATTATTTAGTGGTACATTGACAGTTGCCCATTTCAACTGTCAGCTGGTTAAGTCATTTAGATTTTAGGCTGTTATCCTTCACTTCCAACCAACTTCCTCATCACCCATTCTGAGGAGGTAGGATAACCAGATTGCTTAGTTATACAGTCTTTTCATTTATAGTGTGACACCCAAAATAAAAATAAAGTTAATTAAATTTCAGAACGTGTCAGTCAATGCAAAATAAAAAAAATCAACTTAAGTAGAATAAATGAAGTACAGTATTGGTATTGGAGTTATGTGGAAGTTCAGTATCATAGGGGAGGTTAACCATGTGGTGTGTACTTCAGTATCAGTCAGGTACAGTATAGCTTTTCTGTAGCAAAAGTCATGCTCAGTCATTCTGATGCTCTTCCACTGCCACCCTCATAACCCAGGGGAATGAACACATCTGTTATATTGGAAACAGGAGTGGTCAAACAAACAGTCTCCTTCAACCTTGTCTGGAGGTCTGAGTTGGTGGAGAGGGTTCAGTATTATAAAATTGGATCACCTGAAAATAGCCCCCCAGCTCATTTCATCTTAATGCTAATTTAACCTAACCTCCCCTCCCCCCCTCCCAGGTAGTATTAGTGTTGAAACTTTTACTTTATGGCTTTTTCTCTCTCTCTCTCTCTCTCTCTCTCTCTCCCAAAGTATGATAAAAAAAATCATGTATTTTATTTCTTTTTAGTTTTAAAATGTTTATATATATATATATATATATATATATATATATATATATATATATATATATATATATATATATATATATATATATATATATATATATATATATATATATATATATATATATATATATATATATATATATGTATATATATATATATATATATGCAAATTACTAAACATAAAATATTTGTTGCATATTTTATTATTTTAGCAAGTACAAGAAACTGAAAATAACTGTAATAAATATTCCGAGATAATTTAGCCATATCATGAAGAATGCTAGAAAGTAAAATTAAAATTTTATTGTAAATACATTTTGTTTGTAAATAAAATATTGCATTAGAATTTTCATGTACAAAAACATGTACACAAGTAAATAAGACACTTGGTTGGTGAAAAAATCATCTTTCTTCCATCCTCTAGCATCAGCTGAGCGGCGCCATCACAGCAGACTTAGTTTCGTCATCAGATGAAGAAAGTTCATCTTCTTGGGTATTACTACCGGATTCTTCAATGTCAGAATAATCATCAGTGTCATATGCATCATCTGAAATAATTTTTGTGGCACGACAAATAAGATAGATATGTTAAGGAGGTTGCAAAGTATGGATGGAACTAGAGTTTGATGGGCAGTCGTCTACTACAGAGTATAAACACGACTTGTATTGCCATCTATTGACAAAAATCATAACTAGGCGTGTTCACTAACATTTTTGGACTAGTTATAAGGATTTAGGATTTTAGGGGATTAATCATCAGTTGAAACAAATTGGGGGCTATTCTTCAGGTGATCCTTAGAAAAAAAATTACTTTAATGAGAACGAATGATTTATTACTCTGAAACGTATGTGTTTAAAAACAATGGTAATTGTTTGGGGGTGGGCAGTAGTGATAAAACTTAGAAGGTACCCAGGTCTGCCTCTCAACAAGTGTCCACCAGTACAGTATAATTTGAACTTTTGTGGGTGTTATTGTAACATTTTCTTTTACAACCCTGGACAATGGGAAAGCTAGGCTCAGTAACCTCAAAGCCTCACACCTTTTATGTTGCCCCAGAGAGGAGACTAATGGCACTAACAGCAGTTCCTGTGGATGGCAGCACTTTTTTAGAAAATATATCAAGGCTACATTTTAACAGTTGCCCAGGCTTTTCATTATTGTCTGCTGAACACTTTAAGCATTATCTATACTAATTTCTTTGTTTTTATTGTGTTGATGAAGATGGTGATGGTTGTGAAATATATTTTCAATATTATTATTTTTTTTAATATTACAAAAAATTCATAGGAAGAAGCAAAAAGGTGTGTTTGGGTAGGGGAGAAATCCCCCTACCTAGTTCATAATAGCTCATGCCAATGAATTTTTTTATTGTTGTCAGAGAGTGTGCAATATAATTATTTTAGACACTTCTTGAAAGAATGAAATGTAAATTAAAAAGTTCATTGGTAATAATATTGAAACAGTTTATTTGGCTAGAAAAAAATACACATGCAGAGTGTACAATAATAACATATTGATATAGAATTAAGAATACATATAGTTTTGTGTAGGAATTGAGTGCTTTTGAATTGAAAGAATTGGTGCAGTATTCAGATATTTTAAAGTATCTGTACATGGTTGTGTGCTAATTATAAGCATATGCATTCAATTGCATTTGCCAAAAAATTTAAATTTCTGCAGATGGCAATTAGAAGAGAAGAAGAGGAAGGAGATGAAGAGGAAGAAGATTTTGAGGAGAAAGAAGGTGATTGTGAAGAGGATGAGGAGATTGAAGAAGATGGGCCATTGGCAGAATTGAGACGGAGAGCTCCAGATGTGACCATAACAGTCGTACGCCCTGGCCAGCAGACGTCACGCACTTCCGCCTCACCACAGGTAAGGTTTAGTATTATTGTAAAAGATATTAAAGATGAGTATTAACCCAAAAAGCTTCAGATATAAATTTTACAATTATAATAATCTTGACTAGGCACAGTCTCTACAGAACTGCAGCTCTTTTGAAGAAGCACCTGTTAAAATATTTGTTTACTGTGTTTGTGTAGTGTGAAGTATGCCCTGGTACACATTAAACTGATGGCACAGCACATAGGTGGCAAACATTCTCCCTTAACTTTGTGTGAGAAGTACAGGACAATGAAGAAAGAAACAATGCAGAACCGCAATATCAAATTGCTGTACAGTATTGTTAAGGACAAATTATGAGAGACAATTACAGTTATGGCCAAAATTTTAGTCCTTATTCAGAAGATATGTTTTTATAGATTATTTAAATGGGAGGAGTGTAGTTGTTCCCGGAGACAATGAGGTTATGCCATTTCACACCTTCACTTAATGGAAGGTTGTGATTGTGAGAAATTCATGGGTGGTGGCCAGAGTAGGTCTGAGTTTATTAAATGGTATGTGCTGTTTGTCCAGAACCAAAATTAATAATTTTGTTTTATGGTTTACAGATTTAAAAGAAATTAGAGCATACAGCAAGCATTAATATCATGAAATACTTCACTAATGTTATCTTTTTCTTTTCTTCAGTTATGTTAGTCACAGATTTTTCCCCAGTAACCAGACTTTTTTTTTTATCTGAGGCTTCTGCTAACATAACATTATACTGAATGTTATTAAATTAGAAAAGTGAAGGTCAATATGTTTCTTGTCTATTTTGAAAACTGGTATTGAAATCATCCCAGAGCTGAAGAATATAGTATGTATTGTCGTGTTTCCTTCACGACACAATACTCCTAATGGTTTTGCATTTCTTCTTCACAACATTAGCATCGCTACCACTTGATGGGCGCTTGGTAGCCATTTCGTTGGGTAATAGTACAGTATTTGCAGCAAAAGCACTTAAACACATCCGTACACTGTGGAAGTTTGGGGATGCTGTGGTGCTCCGCAAGAGAAAGCATAGTTTGGCAAGACATGAGGGGACATATTCTGCATGCCATGCAAAGTAGTCCATGCTGGGCGACAATGATATAATGAATCGGGTGGGTTGTAAAACAATGTTGTTGAAATCATGGGTGTCTAAAGAGTAACAACGTTGTAAGAAAACAAAGGTTTCTGGGACAATGTTAAGCGAGGACTTACTGTACTCCCCCCTGCTATCATTTTTACATCCCTATCAAGCTTATTATCTGATTTCCTGACAAGTATGTATGCAATCAGAGTTTTTGTGCCACCTGATTCATATGTATCACAACCTACTTGTTCTTTTCTTCAACAACATTTAGCATACAACCATATCCAGAGCAACCCCCCCCTCCCCTTCCCTTTTTTTTTTCCTCACCATACACACCTTCATAACCTGCTGTGTATTCATCAACATAGTTGTTTAGGTCAACACCCAGTACTACAGTGTCCCTTTCACCAAGCTCCACTATTACATGCAGCAACTCATCACAGAACTTGTCCCTTTATTCCTTTCTTTCCCCAACCTGTGGTATGTATGCAGATAGAACAGTTATCAGATTCCTGCCTTTGCCTTTACCCATTTTACTCTTCTAACAATTTTTTCACCCACTTTTCAGTACTGTATTCAGGTCCGAACACCACCTGACACCCCAGAATCACTACCATTCCAGAAGATTTTGTAACTGCTATTCTTACCAGTAATCAGCATTGGTGATCCTTCTTTCCATCTAGTTTCTTGTACACAACAGTCATCCAGTTTTCTACAGCTCAGTGTCTTGACAACCTCGCTTGAACTTCTTCACATATTACCACATAGCTAGATTGCTCAAATTTGCCTTCATGTAATTTTCTTTGACAGACAATCATACAATGTGTAGGTAATTTATATGTAACAAGTTTATTTGGATCTTTGATTGTACTGTCATAGTCTGGTGATAGGAGATGATGGGTGTCAACTAGAGCAAGATCTCATTCTCAGCTCACCAACACAGACCTTGATATTGGCAATGTCTGTGGATTAAGATTGACTTTTCTTGCTCAGAAGAGAATCAGTCCACTCCAAGTTTTTTACAGTTGCTTGTCCATGACCAATATGGTTTTATAGTAGTTACATTTAGCAGTCCAGTTTGTTTGCATCAATTTCTAATACTCTGAAATCAGCTTATTTGCTGATTTTTTGTTTTGTTTTAGATATTGCCTATTTTTTCATTGGGTTGTTAGAGGTTTTTGTTTTACTTTGGGAGGGAAGCTCTTGTTAAAACAGACATTGAAGACAAAAGGAGAAAATACAACAATTTACATTTCTGTCATTGTCGGAAAAAAATCTCCAACGAGCATTTTGAAGTCTTAGTTTGAATATGAGAATGTTTCATCACAGTTGACTCTTTTACCATCATCTTTGAATGTGATAAAAACAAGGAAGTGATCTAGATTCTGATATTTTTTGTCTTGAACTTTCTTAAAGCCATCACACAAGTCACACACACAATGTTTGCTGATGGTTTTATTTAGTTAAGGAATATTTCATTGGATATTTATTAATTTATTTATTATTATTTTTTTTTTTGGGGGGGGGGTTCGTCTTGGAATAAAAATCACTCATACAAAATTGGTTTAGACAAATTGTTTCTGTAACTCCCTCCTAGGATGGACCTCATGTACTTTCTCACACCTAGGATGGACCTCATGTACTCTCTAACACCTAGGATGGACCTCATGTACTTTCTCACACCTAGGATGGACCTCATGTACTCTCTAACACCTAGGATATTAAGATGCTGTCCACCATTGTTGACACATTTCATTGGCCCAACATGACACAAGAGGTTTAAATTATTGCGTTGCTGCTTTTCAGAGAGACACTGTTGTCTGAACGAGTGCTGTGGACTTTGGACATTAAACTGGTTCTCTCCAAAAGCAAAACCAGTTTATTCAGATTAGAAAAGTGTGAACTTTGTATTTGTTTTTCATTTTAGATTTTTTTATTATTTATTTATTATTTATTTTGTTTTTTATAACAATGTGTATGTGTTTTAGATGGCTTCCCAACGCCCTCGAGAGCCTTCACCAACTTCCATGGAGAAATGCAAGCCTCCTCCAGCAAAGCTTGTGCCATCTCTAATACAGAACTCTGCAGAACCACCACCACAGTCGCATTCATCTGCGAGGACCATCTTGCACCCCTATCGGCAATCAAACCAGCAAGGTCATCAATCCAGTAGACAGGCGTCAGCACCCACTCCACCGCTGGTAGCAAATCCAGCTTCATTTAATAGCAAGGAAACAGTTGCTAATCCTACCCCATTAAGTGGCCCTAGTAGCCTAAGTAATATCTTAAAAGGCATGGACACCACTACTAAAGAGAAGGACAAAGGGTCACAAATGGTAACAATTAGGAGAGTGATGGATCCCAACAACTCAGAGCCCACTGTTACCATCACACTCAAAGGTGACCAACCAGAGAAGGATAAAGTACTCTTCAAATTGGTTAATGGACAAGGTGAGATTTCTTATCTTTTTTTTATAATAATAACTTTCATATAACTGCCAAATTTTTGCATGCCTTATTATATTAACTAGTAGTGTTTACTCATTCATGAATATTTAGCATTTCTTAGTGATTTACCTCTCAAGGGTTTGACCAAACTCCCAAAGGAGAGACCAGTCTGCAAATCATTGGCATTGCATTGCTTTAAATAATTAGTTAAAAGTGAATGTTGAATGAATTTTTAACCACTTTCTTGCTACCATTAGTGTATTTATAGCATCATGTAAGGCCAAGGAGATTTGTATATAGTACACCTTAAGTTTATGGGGTTACAACCCCTCCAACATTGATGGTTAGTACTAATTAAAACATTTAGTAATACTCTCCCCTTGCAGCCCTCACCCTTGTAAGGTACTGAGTGACCCCACCAATTCAGAAAACTTTTGGTGAATTGGTGGGGTCATTCAGTATTGCCAAGTTGTTAATGTGAGATAGTAGGTGGTGGTGTTAGCACCCCAACACTGAGTTTATTAATGCTCCACTGAACAAAAAACTTGTACTGGACATCCATGGTAAATAATTATGAAAGATTACTATTGGTATATATATATATATATATATATATATATATATATATATATATATATATCATAATTTGCATGAGAGAGAGAGAGAGTATTATACTATGTGTGAAAATAATTTTCTACAATATTAATGTCATTTTCAGTTGGGAAAGTGGTGGAACTCTACAACATTTAAAACTGATCAAGTATTTTATATTCTTACAGCAGTGTCTGGTAATGGGGGTCACTCAGGGCAAAGTGTCAAGAAGGGAGGAAATCGGTTACAGTCACAGCCTCAAGTTCAATCACATCCTCATCCTCAATCTCAGTCTCAACCTTCACCAAGTGAACCAACAGTGCCTGAGGGACTCGACCCAGAAGAAGTAAAAAAGTTCAAGAAAAGACAGAAGAAAGAGCGGCAGCGACTACGAAAACAGCAAGAGCAAATGCAGGAACAACAAAAAGGTCAGTTACAACAGCTAGAGCTACAAAAACAACAAGAAATTCTTCGCCAACAACAAGAACACATTCATCAACAACAGTTAGCTCTTCAAAGGCAGCAAGAAGAGCTTCTGAGGCAGCAGCAGCAACAACAAAATAATCAATCTAGTAACTCAAAGAAAAACAAAAAGAAAAGTAAAGTAGTCAACACTGCCAATCCTAGCAATAATAAAAATAGTGGTAATAAAGTTAGCAATCATAATAGTGGTGTATCTGCTGTTGTGTATGATGGTGATGATATGGCTCAGTCTTTCAATCTCCCTCCAGGAGTAACCATCAACAAAGTGGAAGGACAGCCAGGCATGGTCACCATTTCCAATAGTATGGGAGGTGCCTTCTCACAACCATTTCTACCAAATCCCAATGTGTACCCAAGTCCACTTGTGCAAGGATTCTCAGCAACACAGGAAACATCTATAGCTAAACCTTATGGTAGAACACATGCCCCAGGATTAAGCTGGAATAGTGCTGTAGATGGTACAGGAAACTATCCTGATAAAGATAATGTCATTGTAGTAGACACCAACAACAGTTACTTAGGTGCAAGCCCAGCCACTAACAGTAGTTCTTCAAAGCGCGAGATTTCGTCTGATGAAAGAGTCATGATGGCAGTAAATGGATTAATTGACCCTAGTACCCTCAATATGACTCAGAAAAAGAAATTCAAAAAGAAGAAGAAGGAATTACAGGAGGAAAAAGAGAGAGAAGAACAAAAACAAAGAGAAGAAGATGAGTTAATGGATCAGATGTACAATTTAGCAACTGGGAAGTGGACTAAACAGTGTGATGTAGCACAAGGTCAAACACAAAACACTAAGAACCAAAATAAAAAGAACCAAAAACAGAAAGAGAATTGTAAGCAACCAGCTGTTCAAAACACTTGCAGCAAACAAAATAGCCAGCAATTAGCAAAAAACGGTAAATTGCAGCAAAAAACTCAAGAAATCCAGCAACAAAAACAAAAGCAGCATCAAGATGTCACAAAACAAAACAGCAAAAGCAGTAAGCAGAATGGTAAGGACACAACTCTTCAAAACATAACAAACCAGCCCACAAAAAACTTTAGTTCTAGTAGTCAGAATGGAAAGGTCAGGCAGCAACAAATACAACAGCAGCAAACACAAACCCGACAATTACTTCAACAAAAGCAGCTAAACCAACAAAAGCATCAATCACAGCAAAAATTACAAAAACAGCCACTGCAACAACAACAACAGCAGCAGCAGCAGCAGCAGCAGCAGCAGCAGCAGCAACAACAGCAACAGCAACAGCAGACAAGGCAGAATCAACTACAGCAGCAGAAACAAAATCTACAACAGCAAAAACTTAATCAGGTGCAACAGAAGCAAAATCAACAACAGCAACCAAAACAGAACCAACAACAGCAGAAGCAGAATCAACAGCAGCAGAAGCAGCAAAAACAATTACAAAGGCAACTACAACAGAAGCAGCAACAACAGTATCAGCAGCAGACAAAACCAATGCATGAACCACAAGGTGTTAATAATAACCACAAGATTAATAACAATGGTTATGGAAGCTTCCCTGGGAAAGTGGGCTATGTTCTTCAAGATATTGCCCATGAGGCACGTTATGCTCAGTACCTAGAGGCTAATGCCAACACTTTAGCTAATATAAAATATAACACATACAATGGCAGTGTTATAGGAGAACATGTTCATGAACAGTGCATGGGGGGAGACGACGATAAGAAGAGCTCCAATAAGAAGAAAAAGACCAAGAAAGGTAAAAAAAATCATCTTGAAGATATGACAACGATTGATAGTGTGTTTACTCCAAAGGATGTGGCAGAAGGGGAGCTTGATGAAACAGAGAGGGATGTAGAAGCTTTCAAGCGTTTCTGTTTTAACAGTGTCCCACGATACACAGGGGAAAAACCGAAGGTGAACATCAATGTTAAGGATATTATGATAAAAAAAAGGCCTTGTAATGTAAATCTGTAATGGAATGATAATTTGGAGTAACATTATTGTATTTTAAATCTGTTAGGAAGAATTATATATTTTGAGTCATTGGCACAGTTTAAAGTATGACGAATGCTTCATTTTTTAATTAAAGGCAAATGGTTGTGTTAAATGATAGCCTCTTTTTTTCTAGCATGTTATTAAAAAAATACTTCAGCAATGCTGTGGTGCACCTATATATAGCTAAATTTATCTTTTTTAGCATTTGCATGTCCAAATTGCTTATTTTTAGAAGGAAAGCCCTAGATTTTAAACTTAACTGTGTGATAACTTGTCTTCAGTTTCAAGGAACCTGGTGTGTCTTCTCCCAAGAGGATCTTAAATTGCAAGAGAATGTCTTTTATGTTAATAGGCATGCATCTAGCATGTTTCCTTTAAAGCATGTACTGTACCTTATGTGCCAGAGATCGTGTTCATTGTGTTGCAATAAACATGTTTTGTATGTAGTAGAGAGCATGATTCTGTGCATAGCAGAGAAAGTATTTCGTTATTTAAGAAGGTGCATTTCTTATTTTGCTAAGAGTATGACCTTGATATTATAGAGAACATGTTTTAATGTTGCTGAGATTTTCACATGTTGAAAAAAGAACGTTTCTCAATACTTACAAAAAGTACGCTTCTGAAAAATGCATCTCAAAATTGGTGCTTCATTTTCTTTGATATGCCGTAAGACAAGGTGAAGAATAATATTGCACATTATGATTATATCATTTGGACAGTAAGTTTGTCTTAGGTGATACTATTAGGTTTTTATTTGTTTATATTTTGCCATCCATAAATGTACTTTATAGTCAGTTAATCTTATACACACTTGATTTATTTCATTTTCTCCATCATCCACCAGTCATTAATTGTAGTTTAATTTAATTATATCTTTTGAGTGAATGATTGCTTTGTATGTAGTCCAGGTTTAATCTCTATAACATGGAAATCTTTGATGTCGAAGTGTGAGGTTATTTACTGTATCACCTGTCCTTGTACAACTCTTTATTATCAACTTGATTGGCTGTGAAACTTACAGTTGGTGTGCTTGTCAGATTAAAGGAAGTCAGTATTAAATCACCTAAATGCTGTTGATGAATCAATACCTGATTGCCTTTGTTACATTTACTAAAGCTCTTAACAATTCCACTGCTGATGTGTAACATAAATCACAGTAAGATATTATCTTTGGCACTTGACACAAGTTTTACATGTGTAAAAAGAAAACGAAGGGTAATTTTGTGTAAAGCTAGGAATATATCAGTAAATTGTCAGTTTTCTGACATATAGTGCTATTAAACTGTACATTTTGAGGTTAGGAAAAGTATCAGTATGTTGTAAGTGGATGTGAGATAGGACATGATTAAGTTTTAAGTTGTGTGAGGATAGGAAGAATGGATCTTGCTCCCTGCAATGGCTGCTTATTACTGCAGAGGGGCAGCCTTGTTAATAATGCTTAGAATTTCAGAATTTAGAACCCATTTTTATGTAGAAGAGTATTTGGTCTTCTGAAAGGCTTATGCCTCTAAGAAATGAGTGACCAATGTGACTTTTTGTCATTTCCTGAAATACATTAATGTAGGATCATACATTTCAGTTTTGGGTTGAGTAGGTAATATGAGGTTAATTATTAGCACCATGTTTTCTAGTGTGTTAAGTACTGTATGCATATTCAGAAAATTGGTGCCAGTTTTTCTCTCAATTATATGCTCTTTTGTGACCACGATGGCAGAAAGCCTAGAATATCATAAACGTAACAATTAAAATGATCGCATTATGACAACTTTAGAGTGTATAATGATTGCACCTTATATGTCATGGTCATTTTACATTGTTAAAGATTATGATTTTTTTAATAAATATCTAGCAACTATATCCTAGATTTTCTGTTAACCTAATTTTGAATATATATATATATATATATATATATATATATATATATATATATATATATATATATATATATATATATATATATATATATATATATATATATATATATATATATATATATATATATATACTTTCAGAAAACTAGATCATAGAAAATTGGAAATTCTGACAGAAAACGGGAAAAATTTTAACGGAAACAGTTTTTATCATAGAAAACTGGAAATATCTACTTTTCAGGAAAGTATATTACATAATTTTTCGAAAAATAGATTGCCATAGAAAACGGAAATTTTATTATAGAAAACGGGAATTCATTCTCATAGAAAATGGGAAATATCTACTTTCCGGGAAAATTGGCGATCTACTTTCCCCAAAAGTAGATTTTCTACTTTTCGGGAAAGTAGATTATCGACTTTTTGGGAAATATTACCTAATTTTCCGAAGTAGATTATCATAGAAAACGGGAAATTTGTATCATAGAAACTGGGAAGAAAGTAGATTACACTGGGAAACACACTTTCGGTTGCATGAGTTCTGACACTTGATTGTGGTAGATTTGAGGCTCAGACTTGAAAATAGCAAAGATAAAACTTGATGAAAATACAAAGGTAACATTCTTTTCAACAGGAGAAAAGAACTCTCTACAGTTCTTTTGATTCTAAATTTGACTTCTTGCTCATTGTTGTGATATTTCTGGGATTAGTCACCATGGCGGGGAGCTCCAGGTTATGATCCGAAAGGAGTGGCGCCCTTTGAGATAGCCAAGTGAGCCCTAGCGTTTATTACATATAGGCAACAACATCTTTTTATGCGCTATACCCATAGGACACTCAGTACACCTGAAAGAAAAAATATGAACACATCAAAAACGGTTTTGAGCTACTTCAAATATGAAGAAATACAAATGGATCATCTAAAGGATCTAAAATGGTCCATTTTTTTACATAGGACAGCAAGGTGGGTATACAAAATTTTTGCTTTATCTGCCCTGGGACAGCAGAGCCAAAAGACAGACACTGGATTCACAGGAATGGCCAGTTAGGGAAAGCCCCAATAAGTTGTGAAAAGAAACATCATTTATGCAGTAAACCCCCTAGGTGAATGTGAAAAAATTGTTTTCCTGCCCTTCACATCAAGCTGGGCCCCTGCAAAACAGCTTTATCAAGGCGCTTCGATACTGACAGTGACTTTGCTTCAAGATTCAGTGAAGCGTTCCTGGTTTTAACGCTTTGTGAAAACCCAAAAGCAGGTATTTTCGACGGCCCTCAAATTAGGACGTTGATTAAAGACCAAGCCTTCACTCAATCCTATGACTGATGTTGAGAGAAATGTATGGGGAGCATTCGCTTCAAGGAAGGAAACTTTCTTGGAAACAGAGGAAATCAGGAGGACTATAAAAGCTCGTTGAATCTGATGAAAGTTTCACGTAAGTGAAGGTAAACATGAGCATTAAGATGCATTTCCTGAAATGTCATCTTGAACTGTTTCCGGGCAAAACTTGGGGGGACGTCAGTGATGAGCAAGAATGGCTTTCACCAGGATATCAAAGTCATGGAAGACAGGTATCAAGGTCGCTGACATTCACATGATGGCGGGACTATTATGGAGCATTCAGCGAGACTGCACTGAGAGTGATATTCAAGACAGTCCATTAAACGCAAGTTTGTGCCTGAACAATCTGGTGATAATCACAAAAAAGCAAATTGATGAATCCAAAATATGCTTGGTCAAGGTAAATAAAAGTAATTAAAAATTAATTCTACGTGTTTGGTAATTCTGTGTGCTGGTTTAGATTTTACAGTAGTATATGTAGTCTAACCATATAGTAGTAAATGGTAGGTAACTCACCGCAACAAAAACTAGACCCGATAGAAAAAACCGGTGCCATATTTGAAAATCAGTGATCTCAATTTACCCCAGAAACATACAAGTTTCAAAATGCAACTGACAAAAGCGAATTTGTTCCCAGTGTTATCGATTTTTCGGGGAAGTAGATTATCGACTTTTTTGGGGAAATACCTAATTTTCCAAGTAGATTATCATAGAAAACGTAAATTTGTATCATAGAAAATGGGAAATATATCTACTTTCCGA